GTTATGGTGTACCACGTCAAATACATTCCGATCAAGGGAGACAATTTGAATCAAATCTGTTTCAACAGTTGTGTGATAGACTAGGGATGGACAAGACGCGTACTACTGCATACCATCCACAGGGCGACGGGTTAGTGGAGCGTTTGAACCGCACAATTCAGGACATGTTAAGTAAAGTCGTCCATAGGAATCAGAAAGATTGGGAGAAATTTCTTCCCTTGGTGATGTATGCCTACCGTTCATCAGTACAGGAGAGTACGGGAGAAACTCCTGCGATGATGATGTTTGGACGGGAGGTGGAGCTCCCTGTTNAGAAAAGGTCGATACGTGGCCTCAACCTAGGTGTGTAAAGGAAGTACGTAGTTTCCTGGGAACCGTGGGCTACTACCGTAAGTTCATCAAAGGTTTTGCAGCAATAGCTAAGCCACTTCATAAACTGACCGAAAAGGAGTCGGAGTTTGTCTGGTCTGAGGAGTGTCAGGAAGCCTTTAACCAGTTGAAAAAGGCTTTGGTTACCTCCCCTGTACTGGTGTATCCAGATGCAAAGAGACCATTTGTATTGGATACCGACGCTAGTGGATTTGGAATCAAAGGAGTTTNATAAAGAGGGCGGGGACCTCATGCCAAAAGTAAAACAGTAAACATGAGAAGACTAAAACCGTATAAAGGCGAAGTAAAGAGGTGGTTTGTACCCTCTTTTGATAGAGTACTGCGGCCATATAGATCAATCAGTTGCACATGTATATACGTTAACCAGTATAAGCAGTATAACCGGGAACCAAGGATGTTTTCTGTTTGTTTGTTCCAGGTTCACCATGTACAACTACAAGGGAAACAAGTATGTCAGCCAGAGTGACCAAGATATGGTGAAGTGCGATGACTGTGGGAGGAGATTCTTCTCTGAGGCACGCCTGAAGCACCAAGTCAGGAATGACCATGGGGAGAGAGTGAGCTGCACTTTATGCAATTACTCGGTGACGAAGGCGAGGCGGCATCGGTTGAGAGATCACATGAAAACCCACCAAAGACCGAGGTCGAGTAACAATGGCCCCCTCGCCAGTTCAACAATTACATTCCCCTCCCCTAGGAAGATTACCGCCACACCACCGCAGGAAAGACTTCTGTGGACATCGCCACCCCTGTCGCCGTTGATGTCGGAGTGGGAGGGTTCCCCAGAGATTACAATCGGGGAGGAGGCAGAGCTCCATCAGGTGGTTGCGGAGGCTATGGGGTGGAGCCAGACAGCGTCTGAGGGGGCTCAACAGCCCCAGACTACGGCAGTTGTTACCTCATTGGATCTGCCAGCTCCAATAGAGGACAGTAGGATAACAGCTGTCAAGTTGCCAAAGGGATCAAACAAGATGGTGACCGAGCAATATGGGGTAGGTCCTGTGACCGAACAGGAAGGAAGGGCTGGGGCATGCAGCATGGACTTCCTGGCAGACGACCCAAGATATTTTTTTTTTGGTGCTCCCAGCTCTATAATGGAGGGCCACACAGCCCAGCTGTTGAGGGCGACCCGCACGGCAGTCAGGAGGACGGGCAGAAAATTTAAAAGGCACTTCCTGCCAGTTGGCTACCTGGGAGTCCGACGGGAGGAGACGGCGGTGATGCCCGACGGGACCCGGTATAGCCTGGTGGATTACTGGACACGGGATCCAGAGTGTAGAAAGACGCGGGAGTGTGCCACTCAGACAAACTGATTTTAATTTATAGGTATATATAAAAAAAAAAATATTACATGTAGGTTTAAACAATAATTATCATAATAATTCAAATATAAAAATATATTTGTGGCAGCTTGTCCATATTCTAAAGCATTTTAATATGTATTACTTTACTTCGTTAATTTAATTTCAAGAACAAAGTTATTATCTATTCTAGTCTAATGAATTTAGTATAGAATGTTTGGAAATCTTGTTAAAAGTTTGTTTACTTTAAGCGAAACACAGATTAGGTAAAGTCAATTATCAAGAGGAGAATTATATAACAGTTGTAATATAAAGAATATAGTATGGTGTGTACTTGGGTGAAAGTATACCATGTATAAATGGTAAATGGATGTGAATAAGGTACAATAGTTCATGCATAATGTAGATAATGTGAATAGTATGAAATTATGCGAAACGTGTACTTCAAAGTTTATTATAATATACTGGATGTATCGAGTAAGTAAGTTTTTTTTCTTTTAGAAATTGCAAGTTAAATATATATATGAGTTGCAATGTTTGAATTTATCTGCTGTTAAATACAGTCAGCATGTCAAATTTTTAGATACACAGGGTAACTGTGCACATACCATTCAAAAGAATTAACATTGTTAAGTGCATATAGTTGAGAGTTTTTAATAATTGAGGGCTATGCTATTTTTGCATTGTTTGCTCTAGTGAGAATGTGTCATAGTATTCAAACAATATATGTGAGGTTAATTGTTCATAATTATATTTATTCATCTTTCAACATAAGTATTATTGTAAAGGTGTAATGTCCGGGGCGGACATTCAAGGGTGACGGGAGTAATGTAACGCCACTATGTTAACGTTGTTTATATTCAGGACCATCTTTAATTGTTATTGTGTTCCCCAGCATCGTTGGCTCGTTCTGTTAAATCGGACTTTAGTACTACCGACACATGGCGATTTTAGACGTGCGTCTAGCATTTTAGTTTCCAATAATAACGTACTTTATAATAGTTGTCAATGAGAATCGCGGTACTTAAACATTTACATATATCATAGTTTAGTCGCATCTATAAGGATTACCTGGTCAGTTGTCATTTAGTCGTGTAGCTTGTCATTTTCAGTCGATCTTGTTCAAATGTTTAATTTCGACAACATGTTGTTCTCCGGTAATGCAGTGCGCATGTCCGAGGCCGGAAGTTTACATTTTCACATTGTGTGCATGTCAACCAATCATATTAGAGTCCCGGCACGTGAATTTCTCGGGACGGTGTCCCGTTATCGGCAGTCACGACTCAGCAGCCGGTGAGTACACACGGTTTTAAGATCTCGGAACCGCTTACCAGGTTCGAGCGTGATTCACTTCCTATTTTTCCTAGGGATATGCCTATTGTCATTTAATCTATCTATCAAACTATTTTTAGAAGGGATTTCCCTGTAATCGCTTATGGTAAAGTGACGTCAAAGTCGTATAAAATGTAGGTCAATGTTTACATTAGAAACCGTAACGAACTTCAGTCAGATATAATTCCTACTGCTAGAATTGAAACAAATAAGGTTTATTGTTGATATCTATATGTCAGATTTACTTTATAAGTCAGAATAATAGTGAAACTGGGCTATATTGGAAGTTTTAGTGTATATATGTACAGAACAAGAGCGAGATACGTTGATATGGACTTGTATTAACCTTGCAGCTGTCATGCTCGTATGGCTCCAGTACTCCTATGTATATAAATAAACATTATAGAACTGTTCATTTGGCGTTTGTTCACTGTCACTGAGTGGGTGCAAAGTAGTATCCAGTTTAGAGTATCCTTGCTTACCAGAGGCTGAAGAGACCCCATTGACCAGGGGCTAAGAAGAGACCCTATTGACTAGGGGTGAAGGGTTGGCTATCTTACTACAAATCATAGGCCTTGATAGAGATAGACCCGACCACGTTACAAGAGCATGAACTAGGGTTTTGCATTTTTCTTTATAACGTGCAATGCCACACTATCATTGCACTATAAAACATTTACTCTTGGCAATATTCCAACTGTCTACTTACCATGACCATTGTTGGAGATGCTGTCGCCAATATTGACTATCCAATCACTACGTGACCCCTCCCTGTCGAGATGTACCACTACTACGAGTTGAGGGGTGCGGTGTCCGCATTCAAGATGATTGGAATTATTACATGGCGACTGGGAAAAATCAACCTTAATCACTACGCCCTTACTGCAAGGACCGGTACCACCCTGGTCAGTGTAGGTGGAGCTCATAGACATTCCCACTAGGGGTGGCCCAGTTGTCTGTCCATTGGCGATATCCAGCGTCACGGATAGAACTGCAATGGTTTAATAAGAATTTATCTAGGAACTATGCAAGTTTATACGTTGTAAACTGATTCAATAGAGTATTATCACATATGTACATGTATTTAATCTTAACTCAGATTTAATCAAACCCAAAACCATCCATGTGAGACAAGGGCCGTGCGATACTTTTAAATATAATAAGTGTTTTCCCTTTACTGAGTTAACACATAACTTTCTATAAAAATTGTTTATGAGGTTTATAGCAAAAAACCAATTTTATTTTGAATTACCGATCTAATATGATTGTATCTCGTTAGTTCAGCAGCCAAAGTGATGGTGCGACTACATTATTGATACATATGACAGATATCGATGTATTAATGTTGGAGTATAAAACATTGGTAGTCGATTGCAAACTATTAGGATAAAGACCTTATACGTTGGTATTGTTATAAGCCACATACCTGTTTGTATCTGACAGATACCAAGTGCAAGGAAGCTCATAGCCAGAAATGTCTTCATCGTGAAAGTTACTTACCTGAAAACAAAATGAAGGTTACTAATATTTGCGGATACCACAATATTTGCATTTATCAATGCTACTGTCTTTCTTGTGGGGGTCACGTGTGGCGTGTTGGTAGGGCACATAGTGTATACTGTGACGTGGCGCGAGGCGCACGTGCTTTACCTGAGATACAGGTGAGTTGTACAGGTGTACAAGCTATGTTAGTCATTAGAGCTTTTGCAGCACACCTCGACAGACGCTAAAGTGGGATACCCCCCACCCCCCGAATTTTTAGTGAAATAGAATTTGTTCTTGTTTTATTTTCTGTGTTACAGGTTTGTAAGTTAAGCGAGGATCCGATGGTCTTGTCCAAAATATAGCATATGTATACATACAGTGTATTTGTATATCAAGTGAGCTGTGCTTTATATAATGCTAAATGCATATCAGTAGTATTTTTAATGGTCATCATATTTTCTAGCTACATATAGATATATATGATTATCCAATCACAAGTGGTGTGTTGCCATGTTTCTCTATACATATACCTATACTTGGTGGTGTCATTTGGTTAGTAAGGACTTGGGGCGTTTTGGGTCATTTTTGGCCTCATTAAAAGAAAACAAATCAAAATGAATGTATTTACCAATTTCTGTTTATTAACATCATATGGGTCAATTGGGGCTATCTTGGGTGCAGATATTGTTTACGATGCGCATGCGTAGATGCCCTACCATAGCAACATATTTGCGATGATATGCAGGATTAGCAAACTATGGTGTTTTGTTTCACTGTTAGCATGCAGAAATGAAAGTCTCCGCATGTGGCAAACACAATTCCTGGTATGACAATGTTTAAGCTTGTCAACTATTTATTTGTTTGGTTCATGCGGAGGCTTTCAAAAATTGAAGAGCGTTTAGTTGGTTTCCTTTTAAATGACTAATTTTAACCAAATAGCGCATAGGCGATATTCACGCTTTTCATTGTGAAACCGCAGGCTTATGTCTCTCTCTGTAACGCCATATATCCTAAACCAGTTGTCGTATAAATTTGAAATGTCATATGTGCGTACTTCATTTATTCCAGATGACGAATATATATACATGTAACAACTTATTTTAAACCTTTGATGATGACTTGTTTAATAATGTATGGAAAATGGAACAGTTTTAATATTATCCAGTTGCACTTTAAATGTTTAATATTCATTTACACAAAATTAACACCTAGATAAATGGCTATTAGATAAATCATCATCCTGATTGATATTGTAAATAACATTATATCCAAGTGGTTTTTTTAATAAGAAAACGAATTCGGGCGTAACCGCAAGTTATGTGTATTAGTTACTTGACATATAAATGTGTTATGCTTATAAAATACTTTAATCTATTTCTAAGTTGATGTTTTCCTATTGGAATTTTATGGCAGTTACAGGAAACAAAGTTGTATTATGGTTTGGTGTTCACAAATGTCCATGATCAATGTTGAAGCTGTTTAAACAAAGGATGAGTGTCTATAAGACCTTTTATGGGCCCAGGTATATCTGGGTTTTCACTTCCTAAATTTGTTCAAAGATGTCCTATTGTACGTATTACATACGCAAAAACTAAAGCACATGTTTGACCGAAAGTGGTGGGGGTACCGAAAAGGGTGGGGCAAACTACAAATATAATTTGGTGTTTTGTTTGAGTACACTTACATACTACACACTTTCCTTTTGTGTTATACTTAGTTACGGCTTCTGGACATATCTCAAACTTGGCAATTTCAAATACCTCTCTATCTAAAGTGTATTGAAAGGTGCATGACACCATTTATACGCTATAAGTATAAGATAGTAGCAGTTAATATTGTAAGCTATATATATCATATAATACATGCTCAGAACCTGTGGTTGAAGAGAGTTCCAGGTCCCGATTTGTTTTCTTACTTTTCAAAGTGAACTTACAAATAAAAATGGCATTTAAAAAACTACAGTAAAATGATTAATCTTATAGACCTATATGACGTTTGATTTGCTGGTAGTTTTAAGTCTCCTAGCCTCAAGGAAAGTATCTGTTTAAATCATTAAAGTTAACCCATTTCATTGTTTTATCAAATGTTCTACCTATTTCCAATGTTTATGCGCTGATTGTACATAAAAGGCATTTTGAGATACACATGCAACTTGGCATAGATATAAGTTATATGATGATATTTAATTTGTGAAAGATTCATACTTATCCAACAATGCCTTTTCACTTAAAACAACATCATTTCTTGTGTTTACGAATACAAGGACTAAAGTACATATCCTTGCTCAACACCAAATATTTCCTTACATTAACAGTTTATGTGACTCGGCCTCTCTTTGCGTTTTCAAAGCATGAAATGACTCGCTTTTGGTCAGCCTAACATGTCATACGCACCTCTGACTACAAACACTCTACGGGGCCTGTTTAATCTACAAACCTTCATATAGACTGGTATAAGGAAATACCTTTCTTTCTGTGTGCTTTTGTACTAGCAGAGAAACAACGTTGGTGGAGTGAGTCATCTGTTGAATGCCGTCGCAGTGTGAGCTACGATACAACCACACCCTCCAAATTGGGTGTCATAAAACGATAAGATCGTCATTCAACAATGTTACGCATTATTTTATAACGCTAATACGGCTGTACACACAGTGTATTATTTATAAAATATGTAACCCATTACTCATGACAAGCTGACACTCAGTGCATATTTACAAAGGTATTCACTTCACTAAGCTTTATTGTGGACTGTTTCATTTTTATCCCGTTTTAGTGATATTACTAAAAGAGGATCAAAGAGAGTTTGAACCACTCACAGTGTGAGCCTTTGCATACAATCACTTGAATTTAAACAACATTTTTCATAAAAACTTAACACTTCTACGATAGTGTTTGTTCCAGAATATTAATTTTCTGGTTTTGTTTTCACTACAAATACCCAATTGCTGTTGATGATGTTTTTGGTTGTTCCCAAAACAACGCCCACTAGCGTAACTCTGTATCTGTCCAAGCCTGTCGTTTGCCACTTTATCTGTATCTTTAAAGGTATCTGTATCCTTCGTTCTGTAGTTGTTTTCAAGTTTATATATTACAATTCTGACTTACCTTTTGTATTCGTTTTCTTGATACATTTGATAAATACTGGTATCGTATCAATTACTTATGTATAGTCGTGTCCTCTGAACAGGTAACTGCACATAAAACATATAATCCAGCCACCAGTCTCAATAAACTTGATTATATTTACAATCCATTAATGCTCGTAAAACAAAGGAAGCTTGAAAATATACCAGGCGTAGTTTCACTTACACCGAGAAACTTTGAGTGTTGAAGCTATGATGTGAATACTTGTACCTAGAATACTAAACTCTCTTTTTATCTCAGAAACTTTCATTTACATTCCGTATACATCTACTGGTAGGAGGCATTGGGTAATTGCTTCAATTCAAAAGTTTCCACCAAGGCTAAAAAAATTCTATTTTTTCTCGAAATTAAAAGAGGGAGTCTGCCAAATGCAAAATAGACCAATGAATAAGGTGTTGATTTTCAAAAATCTGAAAAACAAAACTTGGTTTACATAAACTTTTGAGATAATATTCGGCATTCTGCATGTGCCTCAAACTGCTTCTGAGCACATGGAAATACTAATTACATAGTCATTTACATACAGGCCGAATATAATGGGGTTTTATCTCCTCTTGTAGAACTTCGGTTCGCTTTTCGAAAGCAAATATGCCAATTTCTAGCTTATAAGTACGAAAGATTATTTTGTACAAGATTTTGATCCCTTTTCTCTAATCTACATCTGACACCAAGCTCAGAAAATTTTAAACTGTAGCTTACCCGTATCTACTAATAAAATACCTTCTGATAGTCCACGAAGCAAAAATTGGAAGACATTATTGTACACACAAATAATGTTTACATTCAACCACAAAGATGAGCTATATTGAGTTTTTAATGCCTATTATAAGCTATACAAAGACTTCGGAAGTCCAAGCATTAAGACCATTCTTCTACAATCGTTAGGTAACACCATCAAACATATACTTGTGCAAGGAAGTCAGACTTGTGGCGCATTCAACATTGTTTTAATAAAATTGATATCTTGTTAGTATTTCAGTTATATGTATGAAAATGAAGAACAGTATTTCAATATTTAGAAGATGTAAATAAAGGTTTATTAAAATAAACGTGGGTAGCCTACACCAGTTAACAAACTGATTATTATCCACCTCTTCTGTTGGTAACATTATTATAATTATCCCTTTCTTAGAAATTTGAGCATGATCAATTAATTGACTGAACGATATTTTATGAAAAAATATAACATAGTGCCTATGTGAATTACGTCAAAGGTAAATTTATGCTAGATAAAAAATGATTTCTGAACAAGGAAAATAAACTGTATCTTACAGAAGAAGCACTGAATAATTCTTCGGCGGCTTTGTTCAAAATTGTGTCAAAAGGGATAAAAAAAGTTAGCAAAATAAGATTGTTTTTAAAAAAAAATACAAACAAAACCCCCAAAAAAACAACAACAAACAAACCGGAAAATTTGTGGAACGTCAATGTATATGAACTAAATTTAAAAGAAAAATGTCATTGCTAGGCTGGGAATGTGGTTTTGAGTTCCAGTTCTGAAAAGCTCATCAATTACTTCAACCTCAAGAGGGACACAGTTTAATTTATCCCATAGGAATGCCTACAGTCTGCTGGAAAATCTTGTCACCGAACTTTTAACTAAGATATCGTTAACAAGGAACTCATTCATTCTCACAACTTCATCCTCAGTATATTCCATTCTTTTGCATTGCCTATGTTTTCCACAAAATATGTTCCTAATAAATGGGGGAAAAAAACCTCTTGTTATAAGACATCAAATATATCCCTCTACTTTCCTCACAATCCACATTCGATTTGTTCCCTTCTTGAGTAAACCGTTTCAAAATACGAATCTAACCCATATTTAATGGTAGTGAGTTCGGTCATGGCTAGAGTTGAGCAACTAGAAGAACCAGTGAGGAATGTTGTTTAAAAGGATTCATAATTTGTTTTCGAATCAAACACAAAAGAGGCGGGTACTTAACATTAATGGATATTCGGAAAGATTGTATTACAGAAGCGTGATTGGTTAGTATATCGTCTTTATAAAACATATAGATAGGGTTTCCTTGCTAATCAAGCAGGCCAGCAGTGTTTACAGACAAAGATTAAGTTATTGGATGCTCTGTTTGCAGACACAACTATATCCAGGTTATTTAGATCGTTGAGTGTGATTTGAACATCGTGGTCAAGAAATACCCCAATTTAGATCTCAAGCAGCTAAAACATCTTTCAATGATGGAATTGATGGGTTTGACCTACTCTGAAAGTGAATCCGCTTCAGCATGCTCTCGTTTTGCCCATTGTCTGGTTTAACCTTCACAGAATCCGTCAATATATTGAAATACATTCCAGTTGATAGTCGATTTCTCTACATACTTAGGACCATTCATAAAAAGTTCGTAGCTTTGAACTATGGATATAGATCGCCTGTAGTTACATGTCGTGTCTGACCATAGTTGTATGGAGATGTGAAGCAAAGGAGAAGTCAATCACAGGAAGGCGATCGCGAGTAGCTACCTGTACGCTGGTACGCAGGTGATACACCAAACATTCATAAACAAAAATATTGCTGAACGTGTCTTCAAAAACTGTGTATACTGACATAAAATACAATTTAAAACATGATTTTATTATAGAAAGCCACTTTTGCAATAACACCTTACTATGGGTTCGAATATTCATAGGAAAGGATTTGGGTATTTTTGTATGTGAAGTTCGGAGGTATGTTAATTACGACGGACTTTGATGTAGGATATTACTGGTGTTAAAGGCATTCATAGAAAAGGTTTAAAGAATCGGATTTGGGCAACAATTTTTTAAGAAATTAACATTTTCACTGTCAGAACTAGCAACTCAGCTGAACCAATTATTGTGTTTTAGCCGAATGAAAATATTAAACTTCCAATATATAGCCTTCGTTACGTTATTGTAATGTAAAATGATCGTGTCTCTCAACCATGAACTTAATATCAATACAAATTTGCGTTATCAAATCTGTCCTTCATATAAAACAATATACTTACTTACGGCTTCCCAACAAGATAATTTTCCCGCAAAGCACAGAGCGACCCTGATAAGCACTTGTCAGACGAGGAAGTTTTAAAATACCTAGGCCTGTGAACAAGGTAAATATTGTATATACGGATTGTGATTTGCTGGCACAAGTGTTCTCTGTCACCCGGATCAGACAAGCATACGTAAACAAATGATTCAGCTTCTTGGAATGCATGGTTGCCTTTCATTTTTTAAACTTGTCATTTTAGCTCAGGTGTTCATTTCAAGTTATCAATCATAGTTGGTTGAAAGATGTTTGATTGTCTTACAATCTAATTAAAATCATATCTCTTATTACGCTAATTAGATTGATTGTCTGATATTTTCTTTCTGTGACTCAATCGTATAATCTTTTCATTAAAATTTGTGTCGAGTTGTCGGTTTTCCTGCCAGTAAAAATAGTCAGGACTTCGAGACTCTCAAGCAGAGGGGGCATTGACATTTTCATGGTGTCATTTCCTGTCGTAGCATTGTGGTTATTCTTCCACACCAACAGGCGACTTCGAATGTGGACTTTTCAGAAATATATGTTTGTCCGATTTTTATCAGAAATCTTCGGAACTCATTAATCATGTGTTTATACACAACATAATGCCAGTAAGTTTAATTTATAATTTCAAATTATTCAATAGCATTAGAAGATTTCTCGTTTGCAATTATTCCAGAATGGTTTATTGTTTCAAACTTACCGCACCCCAGATTATTCTTTCATGCAAACCCAACCGAGAAATGATGTCGTTGATATTGTGTATACACTTCGTTTATATTACCATCCGTCTAGTCGTCGGATACAACTGGTTCTTGCAATCTTAGTTGTTTGTGTTTGGTTGTGCACAGATCGACTGTTAGTAAATTATATGGCATGCAAGAATGAACATATAAACAGCTACTTTTAATGCACATGATTTCCAGATGTTCCAGCAAGGCCCACCCATCAACGCTTCGTCCCCAAATTATTGTAGGCCTAGCAGCTCACTTAAATGATGATTTCATAGCTTTAGAAATATATATATAGAAAAAAAAAAAAGATTTAACGACCGACTTAAAAACTAGCTGTTTTAACCTTCACATGGCTCTTCAGTTTTGTTTCAAAAGAACAACTTCGTGACGTCACATGTCGTCATATATAGTACACAAGATTGGTTGACAAACTAGCGTAATTTCTTTACCGTGGCCTGTTGAAACTTGGTTTAAATATTTTGATTAATTGGTCTTCTTACTTTTCTCTTAGAATAGTGTCTGATGAAAACAGTTGATACAAAGGTAATACATTAAGTCAATCTCCAGCACATTCATGAATATGTTTGTCAACATGAAGATTTTGTAAAGATTCAGTTCTAGTTTGTTGTCTATGTACAGTCATGCGTGTTCTGAGTTCATTGCCGGTTTGACCTATGTAGAAACCACCAAACTTAGAACAAACTATTGCATAAATCACATTTTTTTTTATTAACAGTTCATATTTACCTTCACAGTAAATTTCAGACCATTCCTGAAAATAAAAGTATTACAAGGATAGTCATGCATGGGACATGTACCACATTTTGGTGTCTTACACTTAGATACTTCTGGTGGCACAAGAATGATCAAACTTAGAGTATGTCAGCATACGTTTCAAGTTCTTAGGTTGGCGTCGACTATTTAAAATAGCATGTTATTAAAAATGTTTCTCATACGCCTGCTTCTTTGCTTTAACTCGTCGCATTTGTTCTTTATCACAGGAAACATATTGAAATTCCGTGGATTGAAAGTAGAAACAAAGGGAACTAACTTTGATTCATCTTGTAGTTTTTGAAGAGGATGTACAGGGTCCCTTTTCAATAGCTTTCTGTATGCCATGTTCTATTATCTCAGTCGGATAACATTGATCTGTAAGGTATTGCTTTAGTTGACTAAGTCTAGCAATTTTAACTTATTGCTCACTGCCGATAGTGACAGTCCGTGAGGCAAGATTAAAAGGAATATTAACTTTAGTGTGTTCACTGTTGTTAGAGTAAAAAATTAGATAATTAAGTGCATCTGTAGCCTTACAATATAAATCAGTTGTAACCTTATTTGAATCTAGTTGAACTAAAACATCTAAGAAAGGTAAAGACGTCTCACTACACTCGTTGACTTCTTTACAGAGTAGGCAGGTGTTTCAACACTTTCAGCGTATGATGTCGGAGGTTATAATTTAGGTCCAGTATCTGTAGCTGGCGGCGCATTTGCTCTACTTTGCGAGGTTGGCGTGCAAGGGATAATTGTAGATCTCTTCGAAGTAGTAACCGATTTGCATACCTGAATTAATATTCTTCTAGCCACGCCCCCCCCCCTCCCCCCACCTTATTCCATATTCCTGAAGACTTTTCTTCTTCCATCTGCATTCCATTCTCCACTGTTGGTGTCCCATTGCACTTACTTCAGGACTAGACGATTTTACATTTTTAATGGCAGCAACACACTCATCCGCTTCTTGGAAATTGCGTTTAGCATGTTTTGCCTTATTGCGCATTATTCTTATGTCTGACTGAAAGTTCATAACGGCCGTATGTTTTCTGATATCACATCCTCTTCTATTTCCTCTTCCATTTCCCGTGGTCTGAACTTCATTGGGATCACATGGTTGTCCTTTAACAACCAGTCATCATAACCCGAGATGGTTTGTGTTGATTTTAAATGATTCCATCAGGACTGCTGTCTCTGAAACGATTTCCTTAACTTTCGGGCTTCACAAACTATATATGTATATACATACATGTACCATATATAACTAAAGTGTCCAATCTTCATGTAATCACTTTGAATATCTTGACAAACGCCTTTGCTTTTTTGTTATGAACAATATCTCCAATTAAAACAAAATATGCCAGTGAGCTGATCGGGATGTAAGATTTATTTTAGATTATATTTCTTCAACCAGTAGAAATGACGTCGTTTATACCATTGGTCTCCCATTGGTCTTCAGTTGCAAGATACCATCGGTTGTATATTAAACAGATTCATGTAATGTTACTTTGGTGTTTCTTTGTGCACAGATTATCTGATAATAAATGCATATAGCAGCTTTAATTTAAATGCACAAATTAATTCAATTTTACTGGGGTTTTTTATAATGAGAATCGGACTCTCATTATAAGGGTCAAGAACATTCGATGGTTAAGTACAAGTTTCAAACTGAGGTTAACTGACGCCATTACTGAGATACGTTAGCTAAAATGTGTTATTCTCATTCGTGTCTTATTTGAAAATTGTATATACTTATCGTCACAAATAACTAAAACCAGTGACATTTATTAAGGATAGTAGCCTTTTTTAAATGACAGCTATCGGAGATTTTTGGCCAGAATGAATTATGTTTTATTAAACATTTAAAAATATCAAGATATATTTGTTTAAGCAATGGAAGACAACTCGAACGACAATTAAATTGCCTACTGAAAAATCGGGATTTGGAAAATTTTAAAAGTAGTCCCATGGAAATACAGCCGTTCATACTTATATTAACAGCTGTGTTGGGGGTTACATGTGCTACTATTAGCCAATCAAAGAACCTGTACCAAAGCACAAAATCAAATTTGGAATTAAAGTGACATAAACTGCAACCCATAGATATTGTTGAAATATAAGGGAACTTATAAGTTTGGTTCGTTCATTTCCATTGGACTATCCATTATATAAGGTATTGTGTTTACATGTTTTTTTTGTGTGATGATGAAAACCATGGTTAAGTTTGTCCGTCAACTGTCACCACTTACGACGGCAGTATTGATTAACTCACATTAAACGCATTGCACTAACGTAAACGTGTTCTACTTTAGGTCGTCAAAAATACACATAACGATTGATCTAACTAGAAGATATGGAAGCATCAGAATTGAAGCTAATGTATAGTCCTATTGAAGTAATGGGAATACGCGAGCAAAAAGACAATCAACTGATCTGTACAAGGTTCAAGGTAAGTACGGTCATCCGTGCGCCACAGAAAACATGATGTTCTCAAATATCTGTCAAATTCCAATTTTTCCAATTTCTTGAGGCTGTGACATTCATATTTTGAATATATTGGGACTTCTACCTTTCTTGAATAATCATTTAGTTTTTGCGATAAAGTCTTATTTCACTGAATTTTGTCGAGAATTGAAATGTTAATTAAATGCTCTGGTGTCCATGGCTACTGAAACATATTGTGTCAAACGAGTCTTCAGATTAAACACAAACACAGTAACATTTTATATAAATGTATTCCTCATTGGTGTGTTACGATATTTTGTAAGGCTTATTCCAATCGGCAATGTTTATAACATCAAACACAGTAACATTTTATATATATTTATTCCTCATTGGTATATATATACCCGAACATTCTATGTATGTTACGATAATGTGTAAGGCTATTTCCAATCGGCAATGTTTATAACATCTAAGACTAGACATTTAACATAACATGAATAAACAATGTCATTATTAGCAACTTACGGTGCGCGATGCGTGTCACAATAAAATAGTTCAGGGGATCGAATTGGTCATACCCAGGCTATACGTACATAAACTTTTTTATTGGGTAACCAGAATCATAAAATTAATTTTGGATACACAGATCTTTATCATTTTGAGTATGTAAAGTTACACGGATGTTCGAACACCTACACTTATTAAATTATAACACGCATCCTTCGCCGTAGACTTTGTATTATCAACACACAAGTACCCATGTAAATAGTTCTGGACGGAATATTTGAACGTACGATATGTGTATACTATATACTGGCAGTAGAAGTTAAAGACGTACTACAAAATAATTACAGCCCTTCAATTACGTGTGGAAACACTCCCCCACATATTATACCAGATATGGTTGAGAACAATGGACACGTGTTCATGTTATTCTTGTACAACCAAATTATTTATTTTACAAAAATATCCGAGTAAGTATCCTTAGGTTTTATTCGTTCAGGTAGGTTTTATATCCAAATAAGTATTGTTCAGGTAGGCTTTCATATCAAAGCAAGCGTTGATTAGTTAGATTTTTATATCTTAATAAGAATCATTCAGTAAGCTATTGTTTTTATATCGAAACAAGCATTGGCTAGTTAAGTTTCTATATCCGAATAAGTGTCGTTTAGGTAAATTTTTATATCCAAATACGTTTCGTTATGTAGGTTTTTATATTCCAAATAAGTATCGTTCAGGTAGGTTTTTATATCCAAATACGTTTCATTATGTAGGTTTTTATATTCCAAATAAGTATCATTCATATAGGTTTTTATGTCCAAATAAGTTTCGTTCGATAGGTAGTTTGGTTTTTTTTAAAAATCTAAACAAGTATCGTTCTGGTAGTTTTTTTATATCCGAATAAGTACATGCATCGTTCATGTAAGTTTTTATATCCAAATAAATGCAAACTAATATATTTCTCGAATATGGTAAAAAAATATAGATATTTGCATACGCCAGGTGATTTACAGCACTCCCATGGTCTTGAATGGTAATTTGATTTTTTTTTTTTTTTAAATCCCGTGCTGACAACGAATCAGTTACATATAAATTCCATGCCACACGACTGCGATTTACAATTATTACACTGACTTCCATTAATTGTTTAACTGTAACAATGAAGTACATCAAAAGTACATCCCGACAAAGTTTCATAAACAGAAATATAAAGGTAAGAGACAAAATAGGGGACAAAGTTGATGCGAGTTCTTTCTGTACATTCCCATCACCTAACAAGAATAGTAATTAGCATCCCAATCTCGAGATCAGAGTACACAGTAACATGTTTATCGTCATTTATACAGAATGAGATTGAACATCAAGACACGGAAGTTGTAGTAGAATCTTAGTACAAAGTATAGAATGAAAAAATAATGTATGCTTTATTTTAAATAACAAAAGCGGCATCTGATTCGATGTTAGTATGGTGAATGAGAGACGATAAAACCAAATAAATCGTAATCATGTACCTCTCTGGGTAATTAGTTCTAATGGGGGCTTCAAAATTATTACACGGTAATTATATTATGTATCACAGTTCGGTGTTCAATGTCACATACACTTTTGCAAAAGCACAGGAATGTGTCCAAAGTCACATTAAGTAAATCCACAGTACTGTGCTCACTGTCACATTAATTACAGTAAAACCAATTACAGTCAAACCAATTACAGTAAAGGGCAATAACAGAAGTGACGACTTTTCTATGAAATCAGTATACCAACTAACATCTATGTACATAGTACATAACAATGTCTATAAATAACTTAATAGTTACAAGTATTACACAGTGATTTGAGAACAAAATTATATAACTATACTGTTATGAAGTAAACAGTCATTTCTTAAAATGTCTTTTTTTTTTTTACCCAAAATATACAAATAAATAGATAATTTACAAGCTTATCATAATTTACTATTATACACTAATAGTGATCTTCCGACAATTATCACGATTTTTCTAATGCAGAAAATTCAATTCTGCCCTACTTCTTGTCACATGGTATGATGCCGGAGCATACCTTTACCACAATGGTAACACATGGAATATAAGTATAAATAGGCCTGTGTAGACACCATTAGTCTTGTACTATAAATATATTTGTAACCTATGAATCCCATCTAGAGTATTAGAAATACAACAATATTAAGATTAACATTATGAGTTGCTATTATTTTTTATGACAGGGTCTATGAACAAAATTCATAGAATTTGCACTGTAAATGAATGTAAGTTACAATTTCCTCCTAACAAAATTGAACTATTTTGACAAAATGGGATAAACCCGCATTTTCACATATATTTGTACATATTTTAAACACTAAAAAATTATGCAATTGAAAACAACTAAAATATCTCCATCTTTAGGAACATTAATACAATCTAAACTCAAAATACTGTTGTGTATATGACCAATGTGAATGCAATACATTTACAAAATTAAAACATTTTCAAATGAACTATATTTTGCAAAACTTGAAAACAAGAGTTTTCAAAACATCAAAGAATAAATGTCATTATAATAACGGTATGTGATTCTGAAGCACTTTCATTGAAAATGATTTTTGTTTTAACATCTTTTATTCAAATAATTTCTTTAATTAACTTTCAAAAATGACATAAAATTCAAATGATGAAACGTTCAATTTGATTAAAAATATAATAAAATGAGTTTTGGTGTAACTGTTGGTGTCATCAATTGTGATATTTCATACAAAAATAAAAAGTTTTACAGTTAGTATCGAGATGTGTCAGCACCCAGTTTGGATTGTGTTGCTTGAATGATAAGTAGTATATATTGAACATAAAACAGGTACACATTTATAGAGTTGTACTCAATACAAATATCATAGTCAGCAACTGAATAAAGGAATTAAGGCAGATAGACAGTACAGAAAGACAGCCTCTGATTGGGCCCAGACAAATTACTTGCAAGGTTAATCTTGTGACCTGACAATTACATTAATCAATTAACTTTGTTCATACCAACTATGAAACAAGCTTTACCAACATATATTAATAACTTTTGAACCAGCTGGACGCAGCAGGGGTTCTATGTGTGGAAGGAAACAAGAAAACCTGCAGAAAATCCACCTTGCAAAGACATTTCAAACAACAATTTCACACCATTTACTTTGCGAAATGCAAGTGCGCTATATCCACTGCACCATTCTACCATCAAATCTAATAATATGATATAACTTGGTAGCCGTCCCTCCCCAGTAGGGCCCTGAACACACATACTAATCAGATGTATGTCTGGTTTGTGTGAGAATTTCCATTAACAATAGCACACCAGAGATCCTGTTACTGGGCTGCACTTGTAAACAAATTTTGTCAATAAAAACCAAGAACGCCTTAAGCATTAGAGATAACGACATCTTGCCGGGAAGTATGACTGATCTGCTATAGATTTCCTTGTTTGACTTTGAGTTATAAAATACAATGTACAGTATATATAAAATGATTTGAGGTTCCTTATGTATTACAGCACTGTCGTAAATTAAACCATATACATACAAAAATATAGTGAACTTTAATGAAGTTTCTTGAAAGTAAATTTTTAATAAGAAGAAAATTAGAAGGCCATGCTTTAGTAACAATAAACTTGTCATCAAAAATAGATGTTTTTCCTACGACCAAAAAAATATAGTAATTATATAATACACTAGCTTCAATTTTTCATGCATGCTAAATATTTTCTTCACCTGTTTACAAATTATAAACATGAGATGCAAACAACCCTCAATAGAAAAGATCTGCATCTTATAAACAATGTTAACTCTAGCAGATGATATCTCCCAACTAGACTCTTTATAAATAATGTTAACTCTAGCAGATGTTATCTCCCAACTAGACTCTTTATAAACAATGTTAACTCTAGCAGGTGATATCTACCAACTAGACTCTTTATAAACAATTGTTAACTCTAGCAGGTGAGATCTCCCAACTGGACTCTTTATAACCAATGTTAACTCTAGCAGGTGATATCCCCCAACTAGACTCTTTATATACAATGTTAACTCTAGCAGATGCTATCTCCCAACTAGACTCTTTACCATTCCTCCACATTCTGTCTTTAAAACAGACAGAAAGTAACACTCAATCAGATTTTGTCTCAAAAAAGATATCACCCATTTTTTTTTTACAGCTTGGCAGTGTATGTACAAGTTTTATTATCAGAATTATACAAGGTCATATGCACTCTAATAAGCATTACATTTATACCACAAAATAATACAGAACATGTTTTTCATTTGAAAGTAGAATACCCCCCCCCCCCCCGAAAACCCCCCCAGACAAAACAAAATTTGCCTTTTCACAGTTAATATGAGCTGTGATTTTTTTCTTGTCCTGGGCATACCTACAATTAATATCAGTAGATTAGAAGGCGGGTTATCGAGGCGAGTACCTTGTACTTAAGTTGTAGAAATATGTCATATATTATTTGTATCTTAGGAAGGCAGGACTTTCCTGGCATTTCACTACACTTTTCTTTTAAACTATACAGTTACTAAGCAGATGTTCTTGAATAGTTTATAAAAATGACTGAATTATGCATATCTGTTGATCTATTCAGTAGAGTCTACTGTCATGTACATAAATGTACACATCAAAACACTGTAACAAGCTAATTTCAACATTTTTTTTACCATAACTAAACTACTAAGGTAAACAGGATTTCTAAAATACCATCACTTTCAGCTTTCCTTATACTACTTCATTTACTAGAACATTTCTTAAAAGGTTAGAATGAGGCTTACTTGCCATATTTTGAAGAAATCTGAAATTTATGATCTTATCATAGTTGTGGTCATAGCCAAATACAGTAGAGCCTTTCTATTCAGGTTAATGGTGGCCGGATTAACGAGGCTAAACAGTGGGACAACCAGACTAATGGTGGCCGGATTAACGAGGCTAAACAGTGGCACAACCAGACTAATGGTGGCCGGATTAACGAGGCTAAACAGTGGCACAACCAGACTAATGGTGGCCGGATTAACGTGGATAAACAGTGGGACAACCAGACTAATGGCGGCCGGATTAACGAGGCTAAACATGTACAGTTGCACAACCAGATAAGTGTTGGCTGGAATAACAAGTCTGGATAGACGGACAACCAGATTAATGGTGGCTGGATTAACGAGGCTAAACAGTAGGACAACCAGAGAAGTGTTGGCTGGAATAACAAGTCCGGTTAGACAGACAACCAGACTAATGGTGGCTGGATTAACGAGGCTAAACATGTACAGTGGGACAACCAGAGAAGTGTTGGCTGGAATAACAAGTCTGGATAGACGGACAACCAGACTAATGGTAACTGGATTAAGGAGGCTAAACATGTACAGTTGGACAACCAGAGAAGTGTTGGCTGGAATAACAAGTCTGGATAGACAGACAACCAGACTAATGGTGGCTGGATTAACAAGGCTAAACAGTGGGACAACCAGAAAAGTGTTGGCTGGAATAACAAGTCTGGATAGAGGGACAACCAGACTAATGGTGGCTGGATTAACGAGGCTAAACAGTAGGACAACCAGATAAGTGTTGGCTGGAATAAAAAGGCTGGATAGACAGACAACCAGACTAATGGTGGCTGGATTAACGAGGCTAAACAGTAGGACAACCAGATAAGTGTTGGCTGGAATAACAAGTCTGGATAGACGGACAACCAGACTAATGGTGGCTGGATTAACGAGGCTAAACATGTACAGTTGGACAACCAGATAAGTGTTGGCTGGAATAACAAGTCTGGATAGACAGACAACCAGACTAATGGTGGCTGGATTAACGAGGCTAAACAGTGGGACAACCAAATAAGTGTTGGCTGGAATAACAAGTCTGGATAGACGGACAACCAGAATAATGGTGGCTGGATTAACGAGGCTAAACAGTGGGACAACCAGATAAGTGTTGGCTTGAATAACAAGTCTGGGTAGACGGACAACCAGATTAATGCAGGGAGTATTACTGAGGCTAGACAGTGGGACATCAGATTAATGACTGCTGGATTATCAAAGTTTGACTGTAAAAGCATTACAATTTTTTCATACCGTTTTAATAAATTAACACATGTAAACCTCAATTAGAACTGTAAAAGTAATCAGTGTTATTTCAAATAACATAAAAATTACTGGATTTAGGCGGTGAATTTAGGCCGAGAAGTAAAATATCACAAAGGCTGTGCCTCAAAACATAAATAAAGGCATAGCACTACTTTAACTCCTATTTGCCAGGATATCCTGGTATTTTGTGACCTTTGGAATCTGCCCATGATTTCAATAGTTCATCCTGCTGCGTCAGTTGTTTTTCAGATTTTGTCACTAAAGCTTTGAGATCTTTGATAGTTGCGTCACGTTCCTTCACTGCCAGCTGAAACTTTTCGACCTTGCCGAGCGATTCCTGACAATTTCCACACCCGCCAGCCGTGTTATTCTAAAGGAAACAATTATGAACCATTATATATAATTAGCCATTCAATGATTGTATATACATGTATACTGAACAAAAAAAGAAAATCACAATTAAATTATGCAATCATAGCCTATGATATTTTGGGAATTTTGTACAAAAGTTTATATCAATATGAAGGGACAAGTCTACTCTTTACAATACTGTAGAAGAAAAGTCTGTGTGACGTCACTCGTGTCTTCAGTAGTTACTCAAAGTGGGATACCCGCGAAAAACAAAATGACACTTCAGTACCTGGTGTGGGGCACCTTTTGCACAAATCCCTGCACGGATTCTCCTATGCATTGAATTCATGAGAACATTTATTCGCCTTAAGGTAATGTTGTTCCATTCTTGTGTTAATGCTGTGATCAACTGGGCGCGGTTAGTTGGGGGGTTTTGACGTTTCCTAATACGCCTGTCCAGATCATCCCACAGATGCTCAATGGGAGACATGTCAAGGCTATATGGGGGCTATTCCAGAGGCTGAACGTTGTTTGCCTTGAGAAAAACATGACAGACTCTGGCAACATGCGGTCGAGCATTGTCTTGCTGGAAAATTAGGTTATGATGTCCGAGAAGTGGAAGGACATGTGGTTGGAGGATCTGGTCTCTGTATCGAACGGCATTGAGGTTTTGATCCAGGACCACTAAGGGGGATTTTACTCCATGGGAGATGCCTCACCAAACCAATACAGAAGCCCCACCGAATCTATCGCGTTCAACCATGCATGCGTTGGCGAAATGCTCACCGCGTCTGCGATATACCCTTTTTCTTCCGTCCGAGCGATAAAGATAGAATCTAGACTCGTCGGTGAACATCACACGCCTCCATCGATGCATCCCAAACCTATTCGGGCCATGTCTGCGCATCCAGTCAAGACGCACTTGCTGCCTCCGTGGTGTCAGAGGTGGCCCGACATAAGGTCGCACGCAATGATTCTCTCGGCACGCAAGCGGTTCCTGGCAGTTTGAGGACTAATTGGTCTGCCGTGAGTACCTAAGGTATGCGACGCAGTCTCTACAGCAGTCTTCTGTTGCGCAAGTGCGACAATCGAATCGCCCTGTCTTGTCGTGTGGTTGTTACACGCGGACGACCGCGGGGCATCTCAGTCAATGGGGAAATCAAAATGCCAACGTGGAAAATTAATGTGGCTGAACTTAGAGTATCCGTTGAGATTATTTGTTTGAAAAACTCCGGCTTGGCTTGATCACGCCAGGTGATTTGGACGAAAGAAGCTCACAAAGTCACACAATGACATTGTCACGCTTGGCTGATTTTAGGGTAGATTGTTGAGAAGGGAGATTGTTCTTGATGTAATACCTGACCAAATATTCCATTATTTCCTTACAGCTAAGGTGTACTGCAGGGGGGAAACTTTGTGCATTTCTTTTTTTGTTCAGTATACATGCAATAATAAACATACAAATGCATTATGTTTGCAAAAAACTCTTCAGTTATTATAAAAAGAAACTATTGACTTCGCTTAATAATAACAAGAGGCCTTAACGGTCACCTGATATATTTATACAGATAGTTCTTTTTGTTTTTAACACAAACAGAAATATTATTCAAAGTGACAAAAAACAATAAAACCACCTTATTCAATATCTAGCATACAGATTTAAGACTAAAAAGTATTTGAAACTAGCACCTCCGATTCTAAACAAGGAAAATGAAGAAATTTTAGCACACTGACTCCTTTGGGCCCCACCCTACAGCTCTTGGGGGTAGGCCTAGCTGGCTCAAAATTTTCAAAGTATCAAACTGTCAACTCAGGGTTATAATTCCAATCAAGTTATTAACATGTAATATTCAAAGTATCATTTGCCATTATAAACCATAATAAATTTCAGTAAATTCAACCCTTTTTGGCCCCACTCATCAGCCCCGGGGGTCAGTCAGGGCTCATATGAGCATACCATCAACCTGCTACCCAATACTGATAATGCTAACCTAAATTGAATTACTTCCAATGGAAATTAAACAAATGTTGGTCCCAAAATGCGATTTCCCTATATAAACTATAGTAAAGTTTACCCCCTCCAAAGGGGTAAACATGAGACCCCAGGGTCAAGAAATTCACAATTTTGGGAAAGCATCGTAAGACCCTTCCATCTATGAAGAGTATTTGATTCTTACATATCTGGGTCTTGAGAAGAAGATTTTTGAAATTTCAGTCAATTTGACCCTTTTTGGCCCCGCCCCTCAGGCCCCTGGGGGCCGGGGCCCAAACCGGCCATCATTTTTTTTTGACCTTTGGCTATCGAAGGTATCTGCAAAATTTCATTGAAATTGGTTCAGGGGTTTTGAATAAGAAGTCGAAAATGTAAATTGTTTAAGAACGCACGACGGACGCACCACAACGCCGGACAAAAGGCGATCGCAATAGGTCACTTGAGACTTTGTCTCAGGTGACCTAAAAAAATTCAAGGGGTAAAAGTTAAGAAATCCTACTCAAAGGGTTAAAAAATGTAGAAGTCCCATCCCAGGTGTTGTGAGTTTGAAAATCCCTCCTCAGGGAGAAACAATAGTAAATATCTCATCCCAGGGGTTATAAGTGTGGATAAACATGTGTAACGGGAGGGGTGTACTTGTGTGCATGCACCCGCTCCACATCGCATAAAAATAAATACTAAATACCACGAGACTATTGTTCAATGACGAGAAGTTAACAAATTTGGAATGATTTGACAGATGTAAAAACCAACCCCGTTACACATGAATACCTGGAAATCCTAACAAAAGCTTGCTATATTGGAAAACCCACCCCAGGAGTAGCTAGTTTGTAAAGCCCATCTCCTGCTGAAAGTGGGGATCCCATCCCTGAGATTACAATTGTGGAAAATCCCACCCCAGGGTTACAAGTGTGGAAATCCCACCCCAGGGTTTCAAGTGTGGAAATCCCACCCCAGGGTTACGAGTGTGGAAATCCCACCCCAGGGTTACAAGTGTGGAAATCCCACCCCAGGGGCTACAAGTGTGTAAATCTCACCCCCAGAGGTAACGAGTATAGAAATCCTAACCAAGGGGCTACAAGTGTGTAAATCTCACCCCCAGGGGTAACAAGTGTAGAAATCCTAAGCAAGGGGCTACAAGTGTGTAAATCTCACCCCCAGTGGTAACAAGTGTAGAAATCCTAACCAAGGGGTTACAAATGTGAAGTAATGGTTGCCATTTAGAAGACTGTCAAGCTATTTGCTGTAAGCATGAAAATTAACCTGCATTGGGTATTTTAGGCTCAATACACAATGCTTGTATTTCTGTATAAAATTACCCCGACTTGTAGTTATAAAGTTTACACATTATCAGACTACCTTCAAAGTTTTGAATGACTTGAGTTTCATCCTCAGGCCATCAGCTTCCTCCTGAAGACGACCAAGCTCTTTCGTCAGCTCCTCCAACTGTTGTTGCCGTTCCCTGCAGGATGGATGAGAAGTGAATTACAGAAGAATGAAATTAAAGAGTTAAGAAACAACCAAAATCAAAATAATGATTTATTTCTTACAAATACTTTTATTTATATCCAATTCAAAAAAGCATGCAAAGACTATTGGGAATTAATGTTGGTTTTTTATTATTCTTTTTTTATTGTTTACATACAATACTCACCATGAGTTGCCTTTTAATGCATCTGCCATTTGCATTTTTAACCGATTTAGCTTTTCATCTCGTATTTTTATTTCTTTATCTTTCTCAGCAATTTCTAATGAGTGTTTTTCTTCCAACTGTTCAAAACAAAAAAAGAAAAAGTTTTAAGTGAAAAGAAGATCCCCTTGAACGGTGCAGAATGAAATAAAAAAGAAAAGGAATTAATGTTTCGAGGGGCCTGTGTTTTAACAAAAATTGAAGTATTGAAATGTGATCTAATTATATATAATGAGGAAGCATAACTATTTTTGCTCTTGTTTAGTAATTTATGATAGAGAAAAACTGCAAAATTAGGAAATAGCAACAATCCTGTCTCAAAATTACGGGAGAGGAGCTAACACCTTGTTTCTAATGACTGACTGTTCCTTGTTGTGTCACCTATAGGCCTGGATACTATAGGGTATGCAGGGTGAACGCATGACACAGATCTAGGAACATGGAGGTCACTCACAACACCACCTGACAAATATATGTTCACAGGACTTTGAGTTAAGCCTATTATAAATGCCAAAACACCATATAGCACCATTAAAGAATATAAAGAACTTGGATGCATGTCCACAAGTAGTACTGTATGCCTAAAAGACTTGAGTAATTCTTAATTCATAAACTTCGATTTTAACAATGTAGGGGTTATCCCCCTTCTTTCCTAGAACTTTAATTAACAACTTAGGGAAAGTACTTCAGTTGTAAATTATGTTGTGTGAATTGCCAAGATGAATCCCTCCCCTTGGGGAAACCGGTTGGCATTGATAATATGTAAAATAAAGCACCACAGAATGTCAGGTTGTGTTGTGATCGCACCTCCATCATCATAAATCCTGTCTCAACTTTCTTGTTTGACCGTCACCAAAAATGTACTTTTCAAACTTTATCTTTTAAATGTCAATGAATATCTAATCATTATTTAATTTGAAAATATTTGTTAAAAAGGGTGACAGGTCAGAATTGTTTTTCCAAATTTATAACATATTTCTCCCATATTTACCAAATATATTAATTGTGTAAAATATTGCTGTATGTATGTATTTATTAACATTCCTTATCTTTATACCATAAAAAATGAATTATCAACATCTTTATTTTCAAGTATATCCTTACAAAAAATGTGACAACAATTTCTGATATTGACACAGAGCCAGAAGGAGCTTTGTGAACAATGCCGAGGATTAAAGGTATTACATCATAGTCTTTCAGCATCATCTTATCAGTTTTCATACATGTAGCTACCCAAAATGTTTTTCTGTGCTTTACATTTTTACATGTTTGTATTGATGTTACAATAACTTTAAACAATCAAACCTCTTTCTTCAATTCCTCCATCTTTTTTACATTTTCCTCACGGATGGCCTTGACCTCTGCTTTGAGTTTTTCGAGTTCCTTCAGTAGGTGATCTCTCTCTGAGCGTGTGGCATCATGTGACGTCCTCTCCTCCAATAGTGCTGCTTTGTGGGACTCCTCCTTAAGAAACAAGGCATGAAGTTGTTATATCATTATCATTACACAACACATGTATTGCATGAATTACAACATTATTTATGTTCAAGGCAACATATAATACAAAGTTTATATTTTTTTCAAACTGACTTTATGCACCTGTCTTACCCCTTTCTCCTGTCTCAGGATCTTGTCCTAAAGACGGACTCTTCTCACATGTCTCAGGATTCTGTCCTAAAGACTGACCCCTCTCACATGTCTCATGATCTTGTCCTAAAGACTGATCCCACTCACATGTCTCATGATCTTGTCCTAAAGACTGATCCCACTCACATGTCTCATGATCTGGTCCTACAGACTGACACTTCTTACACGTCTTGTGATCTTAACCTTAAGACAGACCCCTCTCACATGTCTCAGGATCATATCCTTAAGACTGATCCCTCTCACCTGTCTCAGGATCTTGTCCTAAAGACTGACCCCTCTCCCTTGTCTCAGGATCTGATCCTAAAGATTGACCCCACTCACCTGTCTGAGGATCTGGTCCTTAAGTATGACCCATCTCCCCTGTCTCAAGATCTTGTCCTAAAGTCTGACCCCTGTCCCCTGTCTCAGGATCTTGTCAAAAAGACTTACCCCTTTCCCCTCTCTCATGATCTGATCCTAAAGACTAATCCTTTTCCCCTGTCTCAGGATCTGATTCTAAAGACTGACCCCTCTCCCTTTTCTCTGGATCCTGTCCTTAACACTGACCCCTCTCACATGTCTCAAGATCTTGTCCTAAAGACTGACCCCTCTCACATGTCTCAGGATCTTGTCCTAAAGACTGAGCCTTATCACATGATCTGGTCCAAAAAACTGACCCCTCGCACTTGTCTCAGGATCTTGTCCTAAAATCTGACCATTCTCCCATGTCTCCGGATCCTGTCCTAAAGACTGACCCCTCTCACATCTCTCATGATCTGGTTCTAAAGACTGACCGCCACCCACCTGTCTCAGGATCTTGTCCTAAAGTCTGACCCTTCTCCCCTTTCTCAGGATCCTATCCTAAAGACTGACCCCTCTCACATGTCTCAGGATCCTGTCCTAAAGACTGACCCCTCTCACTTCTCTCATGATCTGGTTCTAAACACTGACCCAACTCATGATCTCACTCACCTTTCTCAGAATCTTGTCCTAAAACTGACCCCTCTCTCTTGTCTCATGATCTTATCCTAAAGACTGACCCCTCTCCCCTGTCTCATGATCTGATCCTAAAGACTGACCCTTCTCCACTGTCTCAGAATCTGATCCTGAAGACTGACCCCACTCACCTGTCTCAGGATCTGATCCTGTAAACTGACCACCTCCACTTCTTTGTTGCGTATTTGTTCCTGTAAGTCGTCCACTAGTTTCTGTAGAGAGCTGATTTGCTTCAGAAGGTCCCGCTCTCTTGCCTGTCAAACAACAAATGTTTTAAGCTGTATATGTTTAACAAATACTTTACAAATTACAGCAGAATGGCTTTCCCCTTTCTCCACCTCTATGTTAGAAGACAAGGAAAACTCAAATGGCTAGATTTGGGTTGGAATGTGAGACATTCAAATTTTTATTAACTAAAAGGCTTCCTGAACTAGGGGTGTGGATTTGATCTGTGTGATTCTTTAGTCTCTATTTGTCACTGTTGTGATTGTTCTGTAAATGACAATGTGTAACAATAGAATAAAGTAAATGCAGATAGAACAAGTAATATATTGGACAGACAGAACTCAGGATTGACAAACATTTAAAGAGTGGCTGAGGGAAAGAAGTTGTTTAAGAAGTGTACACAGCTACCAGATATTGATATTTGCCTAGAGATTTCACCAACTTCATGAAATCTGTGACTTAAGAATCTGCACATAGAATATATATATATTTGAAAAATCAAAGTGTTTATAATACACTTCCACACAGGTGGGTTAAGGCTGTCCCTTCATACATGCTAGATCCTTACAAAGGTGGGTTAAGGCTGTCCCTTCATACATGCTAGATCCTTACAAAGGTGTGTTTCATAATGAGAATTTTAGTAATTTTTACCTTATCTCTCAATCCAACCCTTCGGCGTGCCTTCGGCATGTTTTCCTAGTAGATATGTCTTTTAGAAGTCCTTAAAAGTTAATGTTTAAAGTGTCCTTACAACACCAAACAAGCCCAGAACTGTCCGAACTACAAACTAATATCACACATACTTTTGGCATGGAATTAATTTCAGTTAATTTGTTGGGTATGTGTATTGTTATAATTCTATAGGTAGATTCGTTATTAGTCTCTGAGCTAGTCGTTTGGAGATTAATGTATACATATGGAAGGTAGAACACACTTACACAAGATTTAAATCAAGATAATCTGCTGACTGAAGGTCACTGCCATGAATGTCTGTTACAGCTAAACATTGGCCACACACTTGACACAGTGCGTTTACTGTAAACTCATTACCAACTATAACTTAGTGTCAATTTACGATGTTCATGTTCTGCAATAAATACACACGAGCACTTACACATGACTAAAATCAGGAAAACATCCAGTGCTATGAAAAGGTCAATCAAGGTATTACAATTAATTGCTGTCTCAGACAACTATGTAAATGTACCACAGTGTGTATCCAATAGAGCAATATTGTATGATAAATTTTAAGTGTGCCTTCTCTCTTGCTGTTAATTATAACCATTTGCTCACTAGCTACTCAACTTTAAAAGTCTATATTATACTCTTACTGATGATGTTTTTTTTTACAGAGGATGTATATCTGGTAACAATATCTTGCAAAAAAGGAGGGATGCACATGCCCACTTTAACTCTTTTAACATCGTAGACCATAATGGACTCATCCCCATAAATGCATGGTAGAGTCTACTAAAGTTACCTAGGGGTGAAAGGGTTAATGATCCAGTGGGTTGTAATTATAATGGATAAGCGTTATTTCTTGCAGAAATGAAGTTTTTGGGTAGGTCATAAAAAATGAGGATTCCTTTTCGAATTAATTAGTCCTCTTGAATAGAAAAAAAGGAAAAGTGAAACTAAAGAAAATGTGGTATTTTGTCTGAGGATAAAAAAAACCATGTATTATCTCTGATTAGACCTCTGATTATCAATACATGACATTGTATACTATGTATGCTATGAATATATCCGATTGCTGTATTTTCTACCTAATAATAAGCTGCATGTAACTCGCATTGTAAAAGGTTACTACTGTGGTACAACCTAAAATGACCAAAACTTTATTTTATTTACTTTATTTGATACAATTAAAACCCATGAATATATCGTTTATGTCTACCAGTTATGTTCCCAACTAGTATATTACATTGATGTAAGGCATGCATCTTTATATATATATATGTATGCAGTGTTTCTCCAGAGCAAAAGATCATACATAAATATATTGATCTATTTGAAATTCTAGATACAGAACACTGCTAATACCCCCTCCCCCCTCCCACATGTCAATTTAAAGTTATAATTGTTATTTTTACAGGTAAACATGTCATAATTTTATCAGTCTTATATGTATCCATTTTACCAGTTCTAACAGGTATTTTACAGGTAAATGTGTCATCATTTTATTAACCTTATCTAATCACTTATAGCAGGTATTTTACAGGTATTAAACTGTGTCATCATTTTATTAACCTTATCTAATCACTTAAAACAGGTATTTTACAGGTAAATGTGTCATCATTTTATTAACCTTATCTAATCACTTATAGCAGGTATTTTACAGGTAAATGTGTCATCATTTCATTAACCATACCTAATCACTTAAAACAGGTATTTAACAGGTAAATGTGTCATTATTTTATTAACCTTATCTTACCAGTTAAAACTGGTATTTTACAGTAAATGTGTCATTCTTAACAGGTATTTTACAGACAAGAGGCCCAGAGGGCCTGTATAGCTCACCTGGATATCTGTATTAGATTTTTCATGCCAAGCAATTTTATGTATGGTTATGGGGTGGGGATCTCAACTGTTTCCAAGCTGTGACTTAGAAGCTAGGTCCGTAGGGTTGTGGCCAGACCCCAGGATCAATTCTAATATCATGACTGCATTTGTCTCTTTTTGCCCAGCATTTGTATATATAGTTTTGGGGTGGGGATCTCAACCGTTTCAAAGATATGATCCAGGGGTTAAGTCTCCAAGGGTGGGGCATATCCCAAGGCCATCCTGGAAGCATATGTGCATTCATCTCTTTATAATCAGCAATTGTATATATGGTTATAGGGTGGGGATCTGAACTGTTTCCAAGCTGTGACTAAGAAACTAGGTCCCAAGGGGTTTGGCCAGACCCCAGGGTCTATTCTAATATCATGACTGCATTTGTCTCTTTTTGCCCAGCATTTGTATATATAGTTTTGGGGTTGGGATCTCAACCGTTTCAAAGATATGATCCAGGGGTTAAGTCTCCAAGGGTGGGGCAGATCCCAAGGCCATCCTGGAAGCATATGTGCATTCATCTCTTTATACTCAGCAATTGTATATATGGTTATAGGGTGGGGATCTGAACTGTTTCCAAGCTGTGACTAAGAAACTAGGTCCCAAGGGGTTTGGCCAGACCCCAGGGTCTATTCTAATATCATGACTGCATTCGTTTCTTTATGCCCAGCATTTGTATAGATAGTTTTGGGGTAGGGATCTCAACCATTTTGAAGTTATGGCCCAGGGACTATGTCTCCAAGGGTGGGGCCAGACCCTAGAGCCATCCTGGAAGCAAATGTGCATTCTTCTCTTTATACTCAGCAATTGTATATATGAATATATGGTGGGGATTTCAACCATTTCCAAGTAATAAAACTTTTTTTTTGCCCCACCCCTTAGCCCGGGGGGTCAGCCCCACCATTGGTACAATTTTGAATCCCTGCATCCCATGGATGCTTCCGACCAAATATGATCGATATCCATGGCACAGTTCTACAGAAGAAGTCGTTTATAGCAAAATACCCAAATTGCCCCATTTTGGCCCCCCCCCCCCTTAGCCCCCTGGGGTGTCAGCCCCACCATTTGTACAATTTTGAATCCCTGCCTCCCATGAATGCTTTTTATCAAATATGATTGATATCCAAAGAATAGTTCTACAGAAGAAGTCGTTTATAGCAATATAGCCAAATTGCCCCCTTTTAGCCCCGCCCCTCAGCCCCCTGGGGTGTCAGCCCCACCATTTGTACAATTTTGAATCCCTGCCTCCCATGAATGCTTTTTATCAAATATGATTGAAATCCAAAGAATAGTTCTACAGAAGAAGTCGTTTATAGCAATATAGCCAAATTGCCCCCTTTTAGCCCCGCCCCTCAGCCCCCTGGTGGGTCAGCCCAAACATTTGTACAATTTTGAATCCCCACCACCTAGGGATGCTTCCAGTCAAATATGATTGATATCCAGTGCATAGTTCTACAGAAGAAGTCGTTTGTAGCAATATAGCCAAATTGCCTCTATTTGGCCCCGCCCCTCAGCCCCCTGTGGCCAACCATTTGTACAATTTTTAATTCCCCACCACCTAGGGATGCTTCCAGTCAAATATGATTGATATCCATCACTTGGTTCATGAGAAGAAGTCAATTAAAGCAATATAGCCAAATTGCCCCCTTTTCCCACGACCTAGGGATGCTTCCAGTCAAATTTAGTTTAATTTCAATCAGTGGTTAGGAAGAAGAAGTCATTTAAAGGAATTGTTGACGTACGGACGTACGACGGATGCCACGGTATGGCATAAGCTCATAATCGGTCATCATTTTATTAACCTTATCTAAACCAGTTTAAACAGGTATTTTACAGGTATTGGACTTCAGCGTCATCACTTTATATTAAATGCTTTATCATTTTTATAAGCTGTAATTTTATTTAGTACTATATTTTCTAATTTCAAGCATCTAAATCTGTATATGTTTCTGGGATTTGTGTAGTGCTGGACTATTTTACAAAAACTTTGTACAAACAAGTGCTTTAAACAGTTTCCCCCCCGCCGCCCATTGAAGTTCAACACTGAGTACATTTTGAACCAATTATGGTAGCGTATCAAGATTTAATATATGTAGGTGTGTAATCTAGCTGTCCTGAATAGTGAATTATCATCTTAAAGGCTCAACTTCAAATTCCATTAAATTATTCAAATGAAAGCAATGTTTATGTTTGTTCTTTAAGGCACTCCGAATAAAAGGATCACAACTTAACGGTGAAGTTATAAAGGCTATTAACATATACAGTAAATGACAAATTATTTTCATACAGAGCTGAGGCAGTGGATCTCTACACTAGGGTATCATACTGGTACTGTAATACACCATTCCCTGTTACCTATTAGTAGTATACCGGTACTGTGATACACCACTCCCTGTTACCTATTAATATTATACTGGTACTGTAATACACCACTCCCTGTTACCTATTAGTATTACACCGGTACTGTGATACACCACTCCCTGTTACCTATTAGTATTACACCGGTACTGTGATACACCACTCCCTGTTACCTATTAATATTATGCTGGTACTATAATTCACCTCTCCCTGTTACCTATTAGAATTATACTGGTACTGTAATACACCACTCCCTGGCACCTATTAGTATTATACTGGTACGATAATACACCACTCCCTGTTACCTATTAGTATTATACTGGTACTATAATACACCACTCTCTGTTACCTATTAGAATTATACTGGTACTGTAATACACCACTCGCTGTTACCTATTAGTATTATACCGTACTGTAATATACCACTCCCTGTTACCTATTAGTATTATACTGGTAATGTAATACACCACTCCCTGTTACCTATTAGAATAATACTGGTACTATAATACACCCCTCCCTGTTACCTATTAGTATTATACTGGTAATGTAATACACCACTCCCTGTTACCTATTAGAATAATACTGGTACTATAATACACCCCTCCCTGTTACCTATTAGTATTATACTGGTACTGTAATACACAACTCCCTGTTACCTATTAGAATTATACTGGTACTGTAATACACCACTCGCTGTTACCTATTAGTATTATACCGTACTGTAATACACCACTCCCTGTTACCTATTAGTATTATACTGGCCTCTACATATATACTGATCTCTACATACATACTGGCCTCTACATATATATACATACTGGCCTCTACATATATACTGGCCTCTACATATATATACACACTGGTCTCTACATATATATACATACTGGCCTCTACATATATAAATATACTGGCCTCTACATATATATATACATACTGGCCTCTACATATATATACATATTGGCCTCTACATATATATACATAGTGGCCTCTACATATATACTGGCCTCTACATATATATACACACTGGTCTCTACATATATATACATACTGGCCTCTACATATATATACATACTGGCCTCTACATAGGTACATACTGGCCTCTACATATATATACACACTGGCCTCTACATAGGTACATACTGGCCTCTACATATATATACACACTGGCCTCTACATACGTACTGGCCTCTACATATATATACATACTGGCCTCTACATATATATAGATATTGGAAATAAATATATCATCCTCAAACTATTACAATAGCAATGGTAGACCAGACAGGTCTGTGACCTCTTGAGTTTTTCATTTCAAAGTTAGTACTTGTTACATCTACGGAACAACATGAATATACGTGTATGATGTTCCAACTACCTAGATATGTTATGCAGTGTAGCCACTGATAATTTGTCAATCATTTAGATTTTTTCATTTTAACAAAATTAAGGAATTTCATATCCAGATAAAAAACAAAGGAACAAAAAATGACCAATTAATTGCTGTCTTCTTATTTCTGTATCTTACCTATTTAGTTCTTATTAGTTCTTTTTAGTAAGGCCATTTTTTTTGTTAATTAAAGGGTTTAGGGTTACAAGTTAAAAAGTGACTAGGGTCATAATTTGGGATTATTTTGGTCTTAAATTTTTTGTGAACTCTTTATATCATAGAATACATGTAGGGACCCAAAACACACTTACTTCATAGTAATATATTTTTATCCTAAGCTTGCAGTGCTATCAAACATTTGCCTGATATTTCATTATTTTCAGCACTAAGTACTATAAAACAAATTAATATGCTGGAATTGGATGTTTGAAATATTCAGAAAGATTAAAGTCTTATCTAGCCACTAAAAAAAGTCAGACTATAGATGACATGTATGTGTTACCAACGGTATAATAATATCACCGACATACTACAATATATAAACAAACATAACTGTCTCAAATTAGACCAGGACTGTGTTATTTCAATCTGGAGTTTATAAATTGTTCAACAACTTGACAAACATCCATTAAATGACTCTGCCATACATATATATAAACCCGGTACATAGTTTGTCACCGATGTGGTACCTATATATATATATATACACGACATGGGGGATTTCTCACTGTTGACATTACTGTTGTTTAAACCCACTGCTCAAAGCATTCTAGTCTTGTTAGTTACTTTAATATTGATAAAAATAATTTATGTCAGTTTTATTATGGAAATATTTATTTCATTTAAACAAATTATAAAGAAAAAAACTATCTATGCTTTGTCCTTAAGCTTGTCTCATATAAGTGTTAAGAAGCTATTGATTATGATTATTACTTTAATTTCTACACACTACAATAGTATGGTAATTTTCTTTTAGTTAGCGTGTTAAATGGCAATCACCAGAACAAATTAAAATATCAAGCTGGAAATTGATATTTTCTTTTTCAAATTATTCCATGGACATTTAGGCAGTATGAAGGGATACCTGCATGCCAAAGTATGTATAGATATTGAATGTGAATAAAATATTGATCACGCCATTATTTCCCACTCCGATTGTTAAATCAATCCATTACAGCAATGGACGACCTCGAACATTCAATTATACTGCTGGAGATCAATGAAAAGCAAACCTGACGTCATTAACACATTAATAAATATCTACAAATTCTTGAAATAATTGATTCTACCATTTTGTCAGGAACTACGAGAACAATGATCCATTATTTCACTCTAAGCAGAGGATATTTTTATTAATGACTTGTTAATAATACTGTAAACATATAATATCCTCACAATTTTTAATATTAAATTGATTCTGACAACTATTATGATGTATATATAACATGGGCTAATTGGCCTTCAATCTCGAATCTCGAACAAACGGAACCTCACAGCAATAATATCTGACGGACATACTGGTATAAAATACCTTAATGTACATCGTAAAACTTACATACATTGCACTACAGAAATATCATCTTCTGGTTAGCAGTCTCAATGGATCATATATTTTGAGAAAATTTGTTAATTTGGAAACTTGTTTAATTAATAATGTCCCTGAATAGTAATGCCACATCATACCCTTCAGTATTATATTGTGGAATTAATCTAGCATTGATAAATCTTCTTACTGCTATCAACCAATACAATGGATTAAATACTCTGGCTCTGGTAACCAAACAAATATAATACTGGAGATTAGAATTGTCAAGATCAATAACTTTCTCAAATAATATCATCATTCAAACTATCCGATTTTCTATTCAGATCTATTTTACCAATATAAAGTATTATAAACCAGCTGAGGGTTTATAGTTTGGCATTAATATTCCATTACTTTGTATAATACAGGATAAATGTGGTGCCAGACCTACCCTAACATGATATGTAACAATATTTCAGTGAAACTCATTTGTAACCAAAATCTTATTATGTAATGTGGTGGTAATCGCTCAAGTGGCTTGTATATATATATATATATATATATACAGTGTACCAGTTTACACTGATCCTTTGAATACCATGATGATTAATCATTATATTTTCATCTTGCACAGGCAGAAATGTAAGAGGGCCACTTCGAACTATATTTTCAGTCATCCTCCATATTTTGATAAGGAATTTATATAGCTGTATATATATAAAATAAGTGTTCTATAACAATTATGGTGTATTCACATCCTTATGTGAGGTTAAAAATTGTATGCTGGTGATTTGTAAGTCATTTCATAGGATGTTTGTAAAAAAAAAAGAAAAAAAAATGTCATTGGAGGAGATGTATCATTGAACAGTACATCACTATAACTACAAGATTCAATTTCCTAAAGTCCTTTATGATTTAGTAAATCTTACTTTCTGTTTAAAAATCACAGAGGATAAAAAGCAAACGTGTTAATTTTCCCCAATATACAGGGAGGAGGATCGATACATTATTGGCCTGTGATTCTGTAAATGGGTCATTTTAATTTGGGCAAAATGTGTATTATTTGTTAAACTGATAGTTATATTTGATATTCATACAATATGTAATGTGTATGATTGTAATATTCGTAATATTGTTTGTATGATTATATGATAAATGTAATTGTCTGTGGGGTGTATTTCCACCCGCAACAGCCTGATTCTTGAAGCCAGAAATACATAAAACTTTCTCAATATTAGTCAAATAAAATAAAATAAAATTACCATACCTTTAAATCTTGAATTTCCTTTTTATCCGAGAGCTCCTGTGATTTGGTACTTGAAGCTGAATCAGATTTTCCAGAATCAGATTTGATACTGACACTTGAAGGTTTTGTTTCTTTCTCCCTTGCTGCATTTTTCTCCTTCTGTGGTGGCACAGCCAAGGCACTTCCTGTAATCCCCACCATACCACCCTTTCCATCCCCTGATGAGGATGCGGCATGGAATGAGGATAATTTGGGGATCTCATCCTTTACTGGAGTCTTTAGCAACTGTCTGATAGCACCTAGTTTTCTCACTTTGGTGTTGGACTTTGACATGTTTGGTAATCTAGACAATCTTTCAACCAATCCTTTTATTGAAAGCACTAGTTGTGTTTCTTCTAATCTTTTACATATTCCTTCATATTTGAATGTTCAGTGCTAACCTGAATTTATCCATAACATTTAAGAACAATTGAAGCATTTACAGATGTTTCCTTGAATAAGTATTACATTGTTCCCTCTGTAATATTTGTCTGTTAATCCAAGGCAGATGCACCATCTGTAAAATAAACATGTTCTATTTTAACATATAAATAAATGACACAGTATGTGTGCCCGACATCACAGAAAACTGGATTGTTTACAATGAGTTTCCCAAGTGTCAGTCTTCAGAAGTCCATACCTATTATAAATCATGCCATGATCATGGCCAGTACATATCACTAATTAATAGTAGGTCATACACTGCTTTACACAAAAGGCCTGTGTTTATATTAGCTGCTGTATATGGTGTGGTCAGAACTCATTGAACTCCGCATTAAAGCCATTTTGGTCTCTGTGGAGTATAACATATAGATAGATAGATAGATAGATTTGGTCGGATATGAGTCCGGTCCTGTACATTTAATATTATTCTAGGACTGGTCTAACCGCTTTCTTTACAATGACTAGTGTATTGTGCGTTACGTACATATTACACTATCGGTGATTGAACCGTACCTGAAAATTTCTCCATCGGTACTTCCACGTAATATAAGTCTAAATAACACAAGGATTATCCAATTCGCTACGGGGGTTTGAAAACAAGAGCAGTAGCGGGCTTTCTGACAATGGCCAGATGACAACATGTGTGAAAGGTGACATGTGGTTTCGGCGGCAAATTACAGCACGACAGTCTACACGATCGCTTTCAATAGACATTTTAAGATTTGACAACGTCGAACCACCGGGTCAGTCAATCCTCTCTTCTTTAAACGTATCGGATTTCAAAGTAAATCACATAATTATACTCACGTGCTCTGTTAATTCCCATTTCCCCCAGTAGGAAGGCACTCGAGAATGTGACAGAAGCGTCCTTGTCGACAAGTTTAAGCCGAACACTGTTTTGACACGAGCCAATCGATTGGTTATGCAGACACAACGGGCGACAACTCTCACGATTAGCAGTTGGTTGTCTGCTAGACTTACGCCCGTCCCCTTGACACCTATTCTCAATAAAACTTTTACGTTATGTACAATTTAGACCTAGGCCTTCACTTATTTAAGATGTGTACTATTTAAATATTTAAGAACGCTTAAACCTAATATGAAATACTGGGGCGTGACTCAATCAGCGGGCAATCAACCTATCACGTAAAGTGAGATAGGCGGAGACAGGGCAAGTTTGGCCCCGGGGTAAGTCCGACCACCGCAAATATTTACAACTTTGAGGATCTTACCATTTTAGTTGACTGGGCGGGACTTTCACATGGAAATATGTTGCGAAGAAACCTATTAATTAAATTACTAAGAGGTAAAAAAACCCACCATTAATGCGGATTACCTCACTTCTTTATCGAACGCCAAATAGTTGAAGATAGGTATAACTAATTGAAGATAGATTCAATTCAGTTGAAGATAATTACAATTTATTGAAGATATATTCAATTCAGTTGTACCCATCTTCAATTGAGTTGGACCTAGCTAGGTACAAATACAACATATCCTGAATTGAATTGAATCTATCTTAAATTAGTTATACCTATCTTCAATTCAATTAAATTGAGTATAGGTACAATTAATTGAACATATGTTAATCTATGTATAAAGATATGTTTTATTCGTCATATTTAAACCTCTCTTTAATTGAATTGAACCTATCTTCAATCGAATTGTACCTATCGTCATGAACCTATCTTCAATCGAATTGTACCTATCTTCAATATATGAAAATAGGTGCAACTTTTAGAATACGTTAATTTGGTGTTCCATACTTCTTTCTAGATTTGGGTGGACTTTTTGTAAACTGAATAACTGCTTGTATATCAACGTGTAACACACGAAAAGCTTCGAATGACAGTAGCCTATACATATAAGCCTAGCATTGACTTTCGTATTGATCATAATATACGAATTTATCAAAATATCGATTTGGGACAGGTTCGGCCCATGGTGACCGGGGCAGGTATATTCGCCCCATGCAACACATGGACAGTCATGAAATGTCGGGGAAATATGACATCGCATGCCGTATGCTGATTCCAATGCCGAACTTACCCCAGACAGCATGTCCGAACTTACCCCAGACAGTATGTCCGAACTTACCCCAGACAGCATGTCCGAACTTACCCCAGACAGCATGTCCGAACTTGCCTCAAGGCAGAACACGTTCGCACATCCATTCTTCCGTAGAGAATTGTATGTTATGATTAATTTCTATACGTAATTCATGCTAATTATCATTGTGCAATTTACCACTACTTTGTGTGTCTTTTCAGACCGTGTTCATTGCTGAATAAACATATTTAAAGTAAACGGAACAGAGTCCCATTGATGAACACGGTCGGAATACTGAACTCCGTCATTGCCACATCACCACAATGCCAGCTGTAGCCTGCCCTATCACAGACTGCGACTATGTCACGGATGACCTGGGTGCCACTATCGTCGCGGCACTCATCACGGCTCACTCCGCTGTACACATACCCAAACGAGAACACGCTGCTAAAGTTGAGAAAGTTAAGCGCCCCACGCTCAGTGCCGCAGGATCTAGCGAGGAGTGGGCATATTTCCAGTCTCGGTGGTCGGACTATGTCAGTGCCACGAAAATCACTGGACGCGATAAAGTAATCCAGCTACTAGAATGCTGTGACGAGCCATTACGGAAAGACTTGACACGATCAGCCGGTGGTAGCCTCGCTGACAAAACCATGGATGAGGTGTTAGCTGCAATTAAAAAGCTCGCAGTACGTGAGGAAAACACTATGGTTGCAAGAGTGATGCTACACAATATGCGACAGGATCGTGATGAAACAGTCCGTAGTTACGGTGCTAGACTTAAAGGACAGGCCGGTATATGCAAGTTTGTGATTAAGTGCCCCGGATGTACAGCCGACGTCAATTACACTGATGCTATCATGCGTGACGTACTCACCCGGGGAATTGCCGATCCGGAAATACAACTTGATCTGCTAGGACACAAAAATCAGGACATGAATCTTGAGGACGTATGGCAATTTGTCGAATCAAAGGAAGCCGGTAAACGTTCAGCTTCTAGACTTTCAGATTCTCATCCAGTTGAGGCTGCCAGCAGCTCATACCGGAAAAGCAAGGCTGACAGACCGTCGTCCAAAGACACCTCCAACAAAGCAGAGCAATGTGCATATTGCGGAAAAAAGGACACGGCAAATCTGCCCTTGCTCGCATACGTAAAACAGAGTGTACAGCATATGAACACATATTTGGGCATTGCCATCGCGAACTTCATTTTGAAATTGTATGTAGAAGCAAGGACAAACCCAAAGTGACAGACCGTGATACACTTTCCGGAAGTGCTTTGTTCGACGCATTGTGCTCTGTTCATGATTCTCTACAACATCACCACTGTACAGTTAGTGATTCTGGCATCGAACGCTCAATCTGCATCGACCACCATGTCTATGACGAACTGACGAATTCCTGGGTGAAACAACGCTCCAAGCCTCAACCTTTCGTGAACGTGACGGCTAAAGTCACTGCTGAGGACTACGCCGCCCTAGGCTTCAGACTAACACGAGACACCAGCAACGTCTCAATACAGGCTATGGCTGACACGGGATGTCAGAGTTGCCTCGCTGGCTTGAAAGTAATCCGCCGCCTTGGTCTACGAGAATCAGAACTCATACCTGTAACGATGCAGATGAACACGGCTACATACGGTGGGATCAAAATTCTTGGGACGACCATCCTTCGCTTGATTGGGAAAGACAAGGCAGGAAACACCAAGGAGACCAGACAGATGACATATGTCACAAGCTCAACAAACAAGCTCTTCATGAGTCGTGAAGCCTGCGCTGCATTAGGTATTATCCACGATTCATTTCCAACCGTCGGAGCTCAAGTCCCTTCAGCTAGCATACATGTCGATGCTACTTGCTCCTTACCGGATCACCAAGTCAAAGCATGCGATTGTCCTACACACCAACTGCCACCACCGCCTCCGACAAAACTGCCTTTCCCTGCTACAACGGAAAACGTTGGTCACTTAAAAGGTTACCTTCTTGACCACTACAAATCTAGCACATTCAACACATGTGAACACCAGACTTTACCACTCATGAATGGACCTTCCTTGAAGCTCATGGTGGACTCCAACGCGAAACCTGTCGCTCACCATACACCAGTACCCGTTCCAATCCACTGGCATGGTGCAGTAAAGGCTGGACTAGACCAGGATGTTCGTTTGGGGGTTATTGAACCTGTTCCGGTTGGTGAGCCTGTCACTTGGTGCCATAGAATGGTTATTTGTGCGAAAAAGAATGGTACACCTAGGCGCACTGTTGACTTCCATCCCTTAAATGCACATGCCACTCGCGAGACTCATCACACCCCTTCGCCATTCCACCAAGCCCGGTCTATTCCACATGGAAAGAAGAAGACATTATTTGATGCATGGAACGGTTATCACAGTGTACCCATCTGCAAAGAGGACAGACACTTGACCACGTTTATTGCTCCTTGGGGGAGGTACCGTTACAAAACTGCACCCCAAGGCTACATTGCATCGGGCGACGGATACACCAGGCGCTATGACGAGCTTGTGTTGGACATCCCCAACAAAACCTCTGATGGTTCCAATGGTTTAATAGACTGTCTCCGAAGGACATTTGTTACTTTTGGTATCCCTGATGAACTAGCATCAGATGGTGGACCCGAGTTCACTTCTGCGGCCACACGTCGATTTCTCAGGAACTGGGGCGTTCACCATAGACTGTCATCTATAGCTTTTCCCCATAGTACTGCCGTGCTGAAGTGGGAGTCAAAACAGTGAAGCGTCTGATCACTGGCAACACCAGTCCCAATGGCGCCTTAAACACCGACGCATTCCAACGCGCTATTCTCCAGTATCGTAACACACCTGACAGAGACACAAAACTATCCCCTACTATGTGCGTGTTCGGTCGTCCTATACGAGACTTTATTCCTATACCACCCGGTCGGTACATTCCACACAACACTTGGCTGGAGACTTTAGCAGCTCGCGAGGAGGCTTTACGGAATCGTCACATGCGAGAAAGTGAACGTTGGTCTGAACACACCAAACGCCTCTCACCTCTTGCAGTTGGAGATCATGTACGCATCCAAAATCAAGTTGGTCCTCACCCCCTTAAATGGGACAAGACTGGAATCATTACCGAAGTTCGCCAGTTTGATCAATATGTAGTTCGGGTTGACGGATCTGGCCGTGTTACCTTACGCAACAGGAAATTCCTAAGGAAGTATATCCCAGTCGTTACACCACCAGCGCGCTACACAATTGACAATCAAATTGGACTCTCCCATCGTACGACGTCTCCTACTTCTAACGCCCCAGACACCGTCGTCGGTGAAGAGAGCAACCCTCCCCGTAAGGATACGAGTCCTCCACCATCCACTCCGTTGACTACTAGAACCATACAACGTTCGCCTCGTTCATCATCTGATGTTGATCACCCTTCACCACCATTTGGTATTCGAGACATCTTCAGTCGACGTCATCTAGCGTTTGATTCTCCTGCAACCCCAGTGAGCAAAATCACCACACCCCCGGCAACGATGCCACCTATCTCGACACATACGCCACAAGCAGTAGTTCCGTCCCCTGCACCGATCCGGACTTCTGGTCGTGCCACAAAGAAACCAGCTTGGCATTCAGATTATAAAATGTCCAAATAACAATTGACTTGTTTCTACTTGGAACATTTCCTAAGTGTTATATCTGTTGTGCAACTTTTCACGGAGACTCAGTGCTTAATTTTGTTTATTTTAGGACAATTAGTCGGACATTTCTTAATAATTCTCATATTTCACATCAGTCTTTGTTCCTAGGACTAATACGAGTGACCCTATTACTTACGTGTACCAAAGACTTGGGGGGAGATAGAGGATTGTATGTTATGATTAGTTTCTATACGTAATTCATGCTAATCATCATTGTGCAATTTACCACTACTTTGTGTGTCTTTTCAGACCGTGTTCATTGCTGAATAAACATATTTAAAGTAAACGGAACAGAGTCCAATTTATTCCGAAAGAAAGTTAAATAATTCTGCAAATGCGTTACATGCATTTACAGTTTAAAATGGTGTTCCTTTTGATATTATTTAATGATCAAGACATTGACATTCCCTTCAAAATGGTATATAAATGTATACACACATCAATTTCAACAAATGCCACACTGTCCACAGCGAATGTAAACAAAAATGGTCCAAACGTGCCCCGGTCTCCCCTAGCTCGTATGCTAATATATTCAACAGCCCTCTCCCCCCTTAACATTTAACAATTTAACCGTTAGCTGTTACCAGTGCACGGTTGGACGCGCGCACCAGCGGATCATAGCTTTGAGGAAATAGGCATAGCGACCCGCCATAGCTCTTTGTTCACTGTGAGCCAATATTCAAAGTTTGACCTTCATTATGCAAAACGATAATCAGAATAAGTGATTGAAAGAAAAAATAATTGTTGCTTGACCAAATGAAGTCACTGTGATCTAGTTTTTAGAGCTACATAAAAAGGCATTGTCACAGGGTTCACAAATTAACATATACATGTATTTGTCTATGCCAGGTCCATGAGATCTCCTGTTTCCTTAGTTTGACCTCCAATGTTGAAATTGTTACAGGATTCAGAAATTAAACTACAACCTACTTTATAAAATTAGACGTACATTATTGTTAATGTTATTGAGTTCAGAAATGAGCATAACTGAAGAATCTGACTAAAATGACAATTAATGACGTCGCGTATCACATCTAAATAACGTCGCTTTCCAGAACGTCAGCTAATATGGTATTGAAAAGGACAGCTTGAATAAAAAAATAGTTTTTTATACACTGGCTAATCAGTATATAGAAACACATAGTTCCTGAAATGGGGTCACAAAGTGCTCATATATCGGATATCAATATACCTGTTTGCGATAGACTTATCCCGCGTGTCTGTTCAACATGGGACACGTGCATCTAGGCCTGCATACGCAGAGGTGTGAGAAAACAATAATATACAACATTTGATATAACGCTCTATCTAGCTAACATAAGCCAATCTAAAGCGCTTTACAGTACAAAGATATACAATTAATACAATTAGCATATACATTTATCAATACAACTTTGAGGAATTCGCAGGAACTGCCTTATCACACGCCAACTACTAGTCCTATGCCACTTGGCTAATATCTCCCTATGTGTGTATGCCTGCGTGTGTGCTGGAGATGTAATGTGTTTTGTTTGTAATGGGACCGTGCTTCCAACGGTATCATTTATAGTGCCACCTCACTTGAATGCTACAGCACAGATACCGCAACATCCACCCCAGACCAATATATACTCCACCCGGGTTGTTGGAGTTGTGTGGGCAGGAGGAAAAACATATCCATACGTACGACGACTTCAGGGATCGAACCTCTGCCGCCCTCGCGAAAGGCCGGAGTGTTAATTACTCGACCAATTCGCCCATTGTATATGGAAGTAAGACCTATTTTATTTAGCATAATGTAATAGGGCATATATTTTGTATTGTAATTAATTATTACTAATATACATATTGTAGGTATTAGGTTTTGTGATACATGTTTGTATTTACATATGTTGTCTGGTGTGAAAGATGGTGTAAGGACCTTTAATGAATCTGCCTGTGTTTGTGACATGAACTTACCTGTGTGTGCGTGTGAGTGAGTGAGTGAGTTGTTATGACACCTGACTAAGGACGGGCCATATGATTGGTCAGGACGGATGCCTCAGCTTACCTGTGTAAAGGCTTTGGCCAACTTTGACACTCTGCTCCTGACCAGCTGAGGTGAACCATACATTTTGTATGTTGAATTTGGGGAGAACTTGTCAAAAAGTCTTTAGCTGGTAAGTTTTTACTTTATTTAATACTCTAATAGCTTTTTGTTCATCTAGTATAATAGAAAATGTAGGGAATATACCATTTTTTTGTAATTCAATTGTGGTTATTTTTTTATTTTTTTTTATCTTTTTCTATCTAAAAGTAATTGATATTTTGTCATTGAACAATTTCAAGGTCAAAGCGAAATTCAGTATTAAAGATAAGTCTTTGTTAATTTAACTTTCTATGAATTTGATACCAATTTGGCGCCTGTCACATCTACTGGTGGATCAACTACACAGCACACATCCTCATCCGTATCATCCTCAGTTTCCAGTCCACTCCTGTCGTCATCATCATCATTATCCGATTTACTTCTATTCCGTTTGATCTTGTCCTTTTTCATCGTTTGTACCGGGTCATTTTCCAGAGCAGTTTCTGTCAGTCCAAGATCACCCACCGGTAACGGTAGGTTACGGTGTAGAGTTCTGGGACGACCACTTCCTGTCTCTGACCTGACTCTGAACACCGGTATTTCTGTACTATTTCTGTACTATGTAGACTGTGTCCTCCCATTTGTCAGCAAGCTTGTGTTTTCCGTCTTGAACAAGCTTCTTGACCAGAACGCGGTCACCACATGCCACAGTAGCTCCTCTTACCCTTCGATCGAATAGTTCTTTCTGCCTTTACTTGGCCTTCTCGGATGTCCTGCTCACCAACTCATAGGACTCCTTTAAACGTGTCCTTAAATCACCCATATACCTAGAATTGCTATGATGTTCCTCTCCTCTGGGAATAACGAAGGCCATTCCACTGGCAACCTGGGTTGTCTTCCAAACATTAGCAGGAATAGGCTGTATTCAGTTTGTTCATTCTTGGTGCAGTTGTAGACATGTACAAGAGGTGCAACATGCTTTTTCCATTCCGACTTCTGTTCAGGTTCTAACGTGCCAAGCATGGCTAGCAAAGTGTGATTGAACCTCTCACACATGCCATTTCCCATCGGATGGTAGGGCGTTGTTCTGGACTTCTTGATCCCAGTAATCTGACACAACTCATGGATTAACTTCTTCACAAAATGTGCTCCCTGATCCGAATGTAGACGGAGGGGAAATCCATAATGCACAAAGAAGTTATTGAACAAGACTTGATCCGCTGTGGTCCGTGCAGTCTGATTGCGGTTGGATATGCTTGTGCGTACCGAGTGAAATGGTCCGTTAACACTAATATGTCTTGATATCCTCCTTTTGATGTTTCCAGGGTTAGATAATCGATGCATACTAGCTACAATGGCTGTGACGTAGTGATATTTACCAACGATGCTCGCTGTGCTGTGGATGTTTTTCTCCTGATACATCTTGGACACTTCTGCAACCAATTTTCAACATCACTGGACATCCCAGGCCACACAAATCTATTCTTTACAAGTGATAGTGCCCGGTCCCTGCCTGGATGACCAACATCATTATGCAATGCCTCTAACACCTGATGTACCATACCTGATGGTAGAAGTCGCTGTTCGATTTTCTCTCCTCCCCGAATGGTTTCTCGGCACAGAATTCCATCTTTCAGCACTGGGTTTTTCAAAATTACGAAGTATGGACAGTTGTGCCGGGCTCATGCCTTGTCGCTGTGGTTTACGGTTCCTCCCTAACGTCACTTATGAATGAACACAACACTATCCTTGAAGTTTCCTCCAATCACGTGAAGACAATTGTTCCATGTCTTGCACATCCTCCTCTAGGGTATCGCCCATGATAACCGCCTCAGCCCTTTCATCACCCTTGATGCTTGCACATATGCCCTTCACTGATTCCCTATCAACCTCCAAGGGTGTCTCCTCTGGTATCCTCGACAGAATGTCGGCATCAGTGTTTTTCCTCCCTTCAGTGTACTTGAGAGTGAAGTCAAATGATGACAGCGCGGCTAGCCACCGGTGTCCTGTGACATCCAGTTTCGCTGTCGTAAGGACATATGTAAGTGGATTGTTGTCAGTTACAACAGTGAAGCGATTTCCGTAAAGGTAATCTGTGAACTTATATGTTATTGCCCACTTCATTGCCAGGAAATCTAATTTATGGGCCGGGTAATTCCGTTCAGCCTTGTTTAACCCTCTGCTAGCATAGCTAATAACCTTCTTCTTTCCCTCCTGTTCCTGATATAAAATGGCTCCAAGTCCCTTGACACTGGCATCTGTGTGTACCTCAAAGGGAAATGAAAAATCTTCGGCAAGAGAACAAAAACAATGATAGGGATATTGTCCCTAAAGAAAAGCGCTTTGACAACGTTTAATATTAAATTAACGTTTCTGTTGAATTTGGTAGACGCTTTTTAGTGGGATATAGGTATTTTGATGAGGATATGCAGTGCACCAATATAGTCGACCTGTTTTTGTATAATCATGAAAAAGATAATTTATATAATACCTGTATATCGAGTTTTTTAGCTTTCCGAAAACAATGTTAATATGTTTTACTCAAGAAAACTTTAAGTTTGGGAGTCATTTTATCGACGTGACATTAAGAATTTCCATGTTAATTTTTATGCAGTCGATCGCGGCCTTATTCTTTCTTTTTCAGCTTTTAAAAAGTTAACTTTAACGTGTAAATCAGTGAGCTGTAGCCCATTTCACTCCACGCTCCCCTCTCTTTATCATGCAACGCAAACCACAGAGTACACATCCAAAAGTTGTATTTATATTAACGTTAAGTTCAATGTTAATTTGTTTTTACTTAATTATAATAATGTCAAAATCGTTATCACACAACATAAGGTAAAAAAACAAAACGTTACAAGTATGCCGTTATTCAGGGTATATTCGAACATTTCTAAACACTTTCTTCAGCTTGGTAAGTATGGATTGTGAAAAGATGCATGCAACACTACCAAGACGTGTTTATATGTGACGTCTCGATGACTAGTACGGTGTGTGACCAGTGAAGCGTATGTACACAAATAGGTAAAATATACACGAGTTGTCCATAAATCGATGTCGATTCGGCTACGCTATAAGCGTATACATGTACAATGTACGATGTCGATTCGGCTACGCTTTAAGCGTATACATGTACAATGTACGATGTCGATTCGGCTACGCTTTAAGCGTATACATGTACGATGTCGATTCGGCTATGCTTTAAGGGTATACATGTACAATGTACGATGTCGATTCGGCTTCGCTTTAAGCGTATATATGTACAATGTACGATGTCGATTCGGCTACGCTGTAAAGGTATACATGTACAATGTACGATGTCGATTCGGCTACGCTGTAAGCTTATACATGTACAATGTACGATGTCGACTCGGCTACGCTTTAAGCGTATACATGTACAATGTACGATGTCGATTCGGCTACGCTGTAAGCGTATACATGCACAATGTACGATGTCGATTCGGCTACGCTTTAAGCGTATACATGTACAATGTACGATGTACTCGTCATTTCGGTACATATATAACAATTCATTGTTCATGCGTTAGCAGCGTAGCCGAATTGACATCGATTTGTGGACAACTCGTACACATTTTACACCTTTGTGTGCTAACGCTTCACTGGTCATTTGTCTGCTGAAGGTAGCAGAGTACATACTATACTAGTCATCGAAACGTCACATACAATGTACAAACGTCACATACAATGTACAAACGTCACATCACATACAATGTACAAACGTCACATACAATGTACAAACGTCACATACACACACGTTTTGGCTGAATGGTTACACAATATCTATACTCGAACATAATTTCTTTGATCGTCAATTGAGGAAACATAGTTAAATAGAAAAGCCGAGCAAACTCTTACTGCAATCTCGCTCTAGATCACTGAATTATGCCAAATTCTGGTTATTCTTACCAATGATCGTCTGTTTTGGAGCGAAGTAATTTCTTTAAGATAGCCTATTGGCATTTTTTTTTTCTGTCAAATTGAATTTACTTCAATAATCTAATCGGCATTTTTGAATAACTAATGTTGTTATTTTGGTGATAACCATTTACATGTACATGCAGTTACAAATGACCTAACTCTTAACTCGTAAATATACTCTTACTTATAAAACAAAAAAAACCCGTTTATTTCGTTTCTTTTGAAATTAAAATTTATTCATTTATACCGCTGGGCATGAAAGAGTCTTATAACTTGCATGCACAGAGTTGGGAGAAAAAATTTCTTTGTATATAGAAGAAAGACCTATTATGATTAACATTACATGACTAGCAAGGAAGTTGGGATATTGTCCCTATAGAAAAACGTGTTGACAACGTTTCACGTTTCAGGTGAATTTTGGAAAGGATTTTTTTTAGCAGGATATAAGTATTCCGATGAGAATAACCTGTGCACCAATATAACCGACCTGTTTTTGTATTATCATGAAAAAGATAATTTATACTTTACCTGTATATCGATTTTCCTTTGCTTTTAAATAACAATGTTTACATGTTTTCCATGACGTTAAGAAATTCCATATAACTTTTTATGCTGTATCTGAACTGTTCGGCCTAAGCATCGATCGCTGCCTTATTCTTTCTTTTCAAACTTTTAAAAAGTTAACTTTAATGTGTAAATCAGTGAGCTGTAGTCCATTTATCTCCACGCTCCCCTCTCTATATTATAAAATGCAAGTCATAAAGTACGCTTTCAAATGTTTTATTTTATATCAACGTAATGTAAATATGTTAAATGTAAATAATGCTTTACTTAGCGCGCTTCATTGAATTTGCCTTTGTCCAGTTGGAATTCATGTTGCCCATGAATGCTAACTGCAAGCAGTTCAGTACTTATATTTACCATTTTTGGAATCTGTTCATCTTATAAAAAAATCAATTACACTAATTATTATTCACTATTTAGTTCAAATAATGTATGTATCGTGTATGCTTGTCCAATGAATAGGACAGCCATCATCCGAGTGGGGTCAAAGTTATCAAACGTTACAATCATGACGTCATAACAAAGATGATGTCAGCAATCGGTCCATGGCATTCATGGCCTACATGAAGGCCAACTGAATTTGGTAGGGTTATATAGTTGCAATGCCATACGATGGTAAATATATTATTATAGTAATGTCGTAATCGTTAACACACACCATAAGGTAAGAAAGCCAACGTCACAAGTATGTCGTCATTCAGGGTATATTCTTCCATTGTAAAATGAGGAAACACGCAAAAAAATTGTTACTGCAATCGTACTCTAGGTCACTAAACTAAGCCGAATTCTGACAATCCTTACCAAGGATCGTCCGTTTTGTAGCGAAGCAATTTCTTTAAAAAAAGCTTATCGGCCTTTTTTTCTGTCCAATAAATTTTACTTCAACAATGTGATCGGCATTTTTGAATACCTAATGTTGTTATTTTGGTGATAACATGTACATGTATTCAAATGTGACCTACCTCACCTACTTAATTCAAAAACATACTCTTATTTATATAACAAAAATACACAAACAACAACTAAAGGAATACGTGTTTATTTTCTTTCAGTTACAGAAACAAAGCTAAACAAATAAAAGGAATGTTACTACATAAACAAGTTAAACAATTTAACGGGGGTTGCTTAAGACAAGCAGGATAGAACGTTAATAAGGTATCTTACTACGATCATTTTTAATACACTAAACATACGTTATTGTTACTATTGATGAAAACTTGTGTAGTTTACTATATACAAAGTAAACACAAGTCCTGTACCATGTATATTTAGATCTCTTGTGTAACTATGGAAATATCCATAGGTAACATGCACAAGTGTTTCTAATTTGTCAGATGTCAATTAAACAATTCTGACGTCATTAACCTGATATCACTATAGGGATGGCACGAGATCTGACTTAGCATGTGAAAAAACAATGCAACAGTAAGCTGTATACTACGATATCAATCATGTTCTCTTGAAATTTCCGTTAAGTGTTACCAGTCACAATTAATTTCGTAACTGGCTTTCTTTTAATATTGAACTTTGTTCATTTTACAACATTTACGAAACAAATTTTATAAAATTGTGTTAATAGTTCTTATTGGCCCGGATGGGGAAAAACTCAAAAAGTCAGGAAGGTGACCTCGTACCTTATCACGCATAATGGAGTCGAATCTTGGCCGTCCTGTTAAAAGGCAGCTGCTCTATACACTCTGCCTCTCGATCACCCGTTTTCAAGTTTATAATCATTTTTAAGATACTCCCTTAGTACTTATATGACGTCAAATGATTAATGAACACTCCAAACTTTCAAATGTTAAAAGACAAAACATGCACACATGCTCCAACATCTAGCTGTGTACTATGATCTACTATTTGTATTGCATATCTAGTGGCTGAATCATATTTCCCGTATCTGTATTAGGCAAGGTATAACCACCATCGATACGACGTGGACGAGTATATTGAATACACGAAAGTATTTCCAATCGTTTTATATGTAATTAACTTTCCTCCGTTATAATTATGTAAATCCTCCAAGAACAAACAAAGACAATATTATAATCATATCACATCATCAGCAAACCTTTTTACTGTATGACTTAAAAGCTGGAGCATTTCAATTGGTTTAAATGTGAACTTGCATTGTGACGCTATGATGCACCGAGATTTCTTCTAGGTAGAAACTAAACTAATGAAATGTTACGTCCTGGCATGTGATGACAGATTTAGTAGATACTCGGTTAATCTCGTGTCTTTACATAGTATCACAGGCAACTATTAAAGATAAGGGAATATCTAGGTATATTATTTTAACACATATAATAGAAAAAAGTACATACAGGCACTATATTGAAACATGTCATGTTCAGTTAGGCTAATCACGCGCACCCGATCAACTGCAATGTCCATGTCCACTGTCTGTGGTATATTATACAATGAAAAGGTTCATCGTAATTAATTAACATATTTATGCCGTTAATAGCTACGACATTTGCAGATGTAAATACACACAAAAAGAGTTTAAAGACACTGGCTGTTTGCAAAGAAAAAGACTTACATGCAAGCAGATCCATAATAACAACAGCAAGTGCGCTATGTAATACATTACTGAGATTAAACACATTCCAGACTAAGGGATATTTAGTAAAGCCATGTTAGTTGTGTGACTACATTTATAGAGGGGAAAAGATGGTGTTTCAGAATGTCGCCACAGAAAGGTAGCAACGTGAACTGTCTATAAAGTTCTTGTTTGATGATTAATAACGCTTGCTGGCAGTGTTTCATTCTTAATGAAGTAAAGAGATGTTTATCATACTGTTTATATTAAACAGATAAATGTTAAAACTAATAAGCTGTAAGTTGGGTGACAAAATGATATTCTAGCTGTATATAGGACTAATGTTACTACCACACACCATCAACATACGAGTTCATTGTATTCATTCCGCTGTGTCCAGACAAGATCAATTGACTGAGACGCGTACATGAAGTGAATATTACGGATCCTGTCCTCGTTCTATTCTTAAGTGATAGCAGATCGGATAATATATACTAGAGATGACTCTTATCTTGTTTCAAGAATTCTATAACCAGTTTACCTCATAAGGTTCTAAAAGATGTTTACATTACAGTTATGGCAGCGAACACTATATTCACTATATAGGAATATTAGCCACGTGCTAATGTATGTCTAAATATGTAATATAGAATAAATAAATAAATTCACTACACATAAAAGACAAAAACTTGAATACTGCTCTTCAGTTTGGGACCCTCATTATATAAATAACATAAATCAATTAGAAAAAGTTCAACGAAGAGCAGTACGATATGTCCTAAACAAATACCATCAACAAGCTCAGTCACAGATATGATACATAACTTGCAATGGCCAACACTACACACACGCATAACAAAAACACGCATTATTCTTCTCTTCAAAATAATAAACCAACAAGTAGCAATACACACTAACAATCTCATCCCGGCAAACACCAGAACACGTCAAGGACACGACCTTAGTTACAGACATATCTACACATCCAAAGGCACATACAGACACTAATTCTTTCCATACACCATACTATAGTGGAACCTCCTAGCAGAATTCAGGACATGCACCACATATAACATAATCGAACATATCCAAAACCTACAACATAACTAACACTCGCTGCTTTTAACCTGTTTATATCCTATAGCAAAAAATAAAAATACAATAAAAAATCACTGTACATAACAACGCACTACAGCACAAGATATAGACGGAGGGATGTACAAAGATTAAGATGCAGATGTAGTCATATGTCTTCAAAAGTTGTGGTCATTAGTTCTCGACACGCTTTGCAACACAGAATACCAGACCAGGACAAGTTAAGTGATCATGTTGCACCGAGATCGATTTTATAATAACTTAACGTAAAACGAACACGGGGTACATTTGAGACATTGATGTCCTACATCATGATTCCTCCCTCACATTTACACTGCTCAAGGTTTGAAATTCTTTTAAAGGTCATTAGGTCAATATATTAATATATATATATAAACACGATTTCATTGAGACAATTATAGCAAGAAGAGCACAATTTCTTCAATCGCATGATTGTCTAAGTAACATTTGTCTTTTGCTGTGCCTCTGTCTTAATCATCTTCGTCACTTTCTTCTTCATCGGTATCCAGATCATTTTCATCTACGAGGTCATCGTCATCAACCACGAGGGCCAGGTTTGGGTTGGAAGCTAGAAATAAACGAGTGAATTATCAACATTATTATTCAGTATAATACAACGAATAACAGAAGAAAAAGGCCAGTTTAATAAGAAAAGAATACTAGATAACAACCGATCGACACCTGATGTCATATTGATATATTTATACCAGGTAGTCTAAATGATATTCGAATGGCATTTTGAGAAGCAAAAACATGTTTTCGTCCATAAAATGAATTTGAGGGGAAATTGCTAATTCATTCGGTATAACTTTATTTCACAATTGTTAGCAAACGTACAAGTACGTATTAGATAAGCTAAATGACGTGAAACAAGTGCATACATGAACATGTATTTCGTAAATTGAGATTAAAAATTAAAAATACAAATAAGTCGATCATTGTAATGTTTCAATCTAATGAGATCAACGATAAGAAGACGAATTGATGACATTATTGTTTTATAAATACCATTCAGCTGGTTGTTTATGCTTGATTTCTAAAGATTTTATATGTGTTTAAGTTTTACCTGTCCCCTTATACAGCATCGGACAGGACGACAAATTGGTAGAATTATCTACCCCTTCTACTCTCCAGTGAATAAGGCGGGCAGTTGGACTTCTTGTGGATGTTATGAATTGTTTGCCATCCGAACAAACCGTGGTCGATACAACCTTGGAACAAATAACAGTCAATGAAACAATTATTTCAACGTTGCAATGAAACATTAAATCAATACTTTGAGATCAGAGACACTTATCTTTTTTATTCTAATGTAAGTAAAATTACAAAGTATAACCCCAAAAAGCGAAATATGGTTCGTTCTATGAAACTGTTACAGGTATTTGTGTATTCAAAAACACAAATCTTTATTCACAATACACATAATTATTCAAAATTCATCCAATAATTCTTTCTGTCGTTAAACATAATATTCGTTAAGCCAGGACCTAAATTACCGTTTGATCTAATCTGTAGCTCGCTATACATTGAAGTGTCGATTTATCCCAAACTCGAATGGCATTTTCCTCTTCATATTCTGCATATGAGAAGATGTAAGGGCCATCCTCTTTCATGAACACTCGCACAGCACTGCGATGTCCCTCCAGACGATTCAGCAGTTCTCCTATAACACAATTTTTCAAATAAAATTAAGCATATGTTCTAATACAGATGAGCCTTCTCAACCCTAACCCTAACAGTGATGTCATAAAAGACAACATCATCAAATTACAAAAACCAAAAGGAAATATTAGATATATTAGCTATTATGAACAATACAAAAAGCAGTATTTTAACAACATTATACAACATTAATATAAATTAAAACCTTCTAGATCTTGATTGGTGTGATCGTCAGACCCAAAAATCATACAGAGCCAAATGAAAAATTGCTGTACAAAGAAAGACTACGGTCGATAACCAACACTTATTAACAAGATAATAAGGTCGTTTTAACAAGATAGCTAAAGGGTTTTAACGAGATATTTAATGCCTTTAACGATTTAGTTTGTTGTTGAAATTGACAACAAAAGGANAGAGAGAGAGAGAGAGAGAGAGAGAGAGAGAGAGAGAGAGAGAAAATGGGGAAAGCAAACAAGACTAATAAAAGTAGACTACGGTTTCACGAACGATAGTACTTAAAACAAGTTTCAAGCAATTTAACATCGTGACATTTCCTAACTGTACCTGTGTTTCTATCCCAAACTCTGAGGATGAAATCATCGTGTACAGTGAGCAGTCTGTTATCGTCCAGTACGTGTATCTCATCAACCGACACGTCCACACCCTTCCTGTTGACGATCTCAAAGTAGTGGTTCTGGTACTCGATGTCCTCACACGTAACAATACCTCTATCTGGTAGATAATAAAATAAACTAATATTATCTCTGAAGTTGTGCTTTTTTGGTTTATCGCGCACTTGTTTATTCTTCATACAAATAAAACCATCGCGGTTTCAATAAACAATATAACACAATGTCAACCAAAATAGGATAAAAGATTCATCCTAAAGTATTAAAGGAACCATCTGATATAATCAAAATACATTTATGTCAAACTTAAAACAGTTCACTTGGAGGAGTAGACCTCCTGGAAAGAGCTAGCTGGAAAGAGGGGCAGATAACGGCAATTCACAAAAAGAGAGACAAGAAAACACCAGGGAACTATAGACTAGTAAGACTCACCAGTGCTAGGAGTAATATCATTAAAAAAAATTATACGAAAAAGAATAATGAAACCCTTGGAGAAAATTAATTTATTAATTAAACATCAATGTGGGTTTGTCAAGCAAGATCAACTGTACTGCAAGTACTGAAAGTCATTGATAACTGGACTGAAATTCTCAGCCAAGGAGGATCAATCCAAACTGTGGAGTTAGATTTGATGAAGGTGTTCGAAACTGTACCACACAAACGCTTAATTGCCAAATTACTTTCATACTGACTATCGCCCGAAATTATACGTTTGATGGAATGTTTCACTTAAAATGGAAAACAAAAAAGGATTAGTTAATGACGAAGTATCGAAATGGATGAATGTTACCAGTGGAATCCCTCAGGGCAGTGTCCTTGACCCGTCATTGTTTGCAATAAACATCAATGGCTTACCAGAAACATTAAAACACCAACATTCCAATTTGCGGATGACACTGAAAATTACAATCACAGCGAAAATATGAACCTCCAGCCCAAATATGGTAAGATAATTGAAGGTTTGAAACTGTGCCGCTTTATTTTCTTGAAGACACCGACGACGGGAGGATCAAAGTCAAATAGGATAACGTTGATAAAGGAAGGGATCTCGGAGTTATCACAGATAACAAACGTAAACTTAATGATCATATACATGAATCGTTAAACAAAGCAAACAGGATTATGGGAACAATGAGAGGAACGTATACATATTTAGACGTATCAACGTTTTGTCTCCTGTATAAAGCGCTCGTGAAAACATGTCTGGGATACGGAGCTTGCATATGAAATCCATACCTGTAAAAGGACATTAATGAAATCGAAAATGTACAAAGGAGAGTCACAAATCAGATACCGGGAATGAAAGACCTAAGTTATCAAGACAGATTAAGGATTCTAAAATTGTCAACTTTAAAACACAGAAGTTTTCGAGGAGATTTGATAAAGGTTTATAATCTTATACATGGATACTATGACACTTAAATAACGGAAGGCTTTTTAAATATAAACGAGAACAACCAAACAAGAGGTCAGAGTCTTCGACTTGAAAAAGGAATGTCTAAGTTGAGAAAGTACTCCTTTAACAGAAGAGTGGTCAACCATTGGAATTTCCTGCCAAATCACGTCGTCACATCACCAACAATAAAAACGGTTGAAGCCCGACTGGATAAGCACTTGGGACAACCAGAATGTTATTTTAATCACGAACTTGACAATAAGGAACTTATTCACTGTCGGGGCGTCAGCCTAGAGGCTGACCATACATATAATATGGATATGAAGGCTTCTGTCTGCGTCCAGTATTATTATATTATATTATTATTATTATGAAATCCGAAATGGAAATGGCAATGCATTACGCTTTACCATTGTGCTTTGACAAAGATTTAAAACATATTTGCATGTTATGGTTGTAGTAATGGTTCTCTGGTTCTCTGATGTGCGACATATCATGCAGAATAGTGCATGTTCACCCCTGTGCAGTATCGGACTCCCCACCGGATATTACAAAACTGTTAAAACCTAACAAAACTTACAACACACCATAGGACAAGTCTTATATCTTACGATATGTAGTAGTTTGGCAATTGTGACTTTCTGACTTTGTTGAGGTGTTTCTTCGGGATGAAAGTCTTCGCAACATATTATGTTTATTAATAATGCGTTTTACCAGCATGACGTTGACATCTGATGCAGCAGATCAGATCGCTGCTTTAGTGTTATAGGTAGTTTGTGCACAGTATCACTAATTGAATATAATTACATGATAGTCAACAATCTTCTGAGTGCCAATGAATTCATTGCGTTTGTCTGCAAGAAAACTTACTTTCTTTTGTACACAAAATGGCGAACGATGTTAATTGGTATTTTTCTGTGGTGGACCCTGGACTTTCAATGTAGGACGTTACAGCGAATACCAATGTCTGTCCATCTTCAGACATAGCCGTTTTCTCTATTGGTATATCGCTGAAATTATACTCGTTGGGCGAAATTGATTTAATACACTGTAAAGTTGATAAATCATACACGAGCCATGGACCCACAGATATACGCCCCGCCAACACAGTCCAGCCTTTGTTCACCTGAAAACACAATAGACTTTCGTTACCACCTTCGTTTTTCCAGAGTGGTATATTCGGGTGCAAAAAGAAAGATATTGAATGTACGGTTACGTACTACGCTCTCTGTCGTGGTAACGCTACGTAGATCTTGATACACGACACATGGTTCAAGCCCTGTTAAGTAAGGCTAATGATTTAACCACTGATCAACATGAATGACCGCTGACTTCTTTACTATCAAAGTATGATATTCCCTGATGTTTATGTCAGTATTGCAAGCGTCATTTATTCAAACAGTCGCATTAATTTTAGTGCAGGATTAAGGTTTCTAAAGGGAAGAATTTCATACGTAAAATATTTCCTCGAATGGACTTTTCTTGTCCTTTTTAACATTGGACGGCCTTCTGATAATTGCTTTCGTCTTTCCGGTTGTAGCGTTGTATATCTTAAACTGCTGTCTTCCTCTAGTGTGAGTAAGGATTTCTGAAAAGTATAATAATTGATATTCAAATGAACAGAAAATCAATAAAATAATCTGTGAGATTTTTACAAATTAAAAACCAGCAACAATATGAAATAATATTGGTTAAAAGCCATTCTTGTACTGTTCTGTTTATAGAAAAAACATTCCTGGTAACAGATACACTACATATGTGCCCGTAAAATATTATGCTCGGCATAGACGGGTTCTGGAATGCTGAAAGTGATCCTGAACGATTTGTTAACAATAAACCCATGTCCTAATTGTTGTTTAAAGAAAATGTGTTTCAGCTTTACTTGATCGTTTATATTGATGGACAAAGTCGCTTTATATTCAAGAGTTTGATAACAATGCTTCGATATGACCTCTTCACATTGTTACTAGTGACATCACTATTGGTTTATTACGTATAATGCATATAAACATTAGTAAACATATGCTACTCTGATACACGCACTCCTTACCTGATCCGTCAGATTTGACCTGAAGATCCACAGTGTAGGCGGAAACATCGCCTTCGAACACTTTGTCCACAGTCATGGTGTCCAGATTGATGGTCTTAATTTTCCTGGAATACGTGACCATTGCTATCTGCTTGTCGTTTAGGATCTTTATCACACCAGGAGGTACATTCTGAGGCAAAAGTGACGGGCAAAACAAATCATTTTAACGACCTCTCTAAAATGATTTTCTGATTTCATCCTAGACATAATGCTTACGCGCAATGCTATTTCACCCCAGTAAATGCATCCTGAAGCAAAATAGAAGAAATAAACCTGGGATTATGACTTTTGGTCTATATGTGCACATGTATGTACATGTTACTAAAATGTCATTAGTCACATTTAATAAGAATTTATGTTGATATATGTTATCAGACATGCTTTTACGATAATATAGTTAGTATGCAAGAGGAATTAGATGTATATATGTCACGAGAATATGCATGTTTGGGAAATCATTATAATCTTTTAGGTATGTTATGGTTGTATGCATATGTATAAGGAAATGAGAGATAGTATGTATGCGTGTTAAGTAATGATTATATCTATATCACGGTAATATGTATGAATAACTGTATGTATGTCATATTATTACGCATGAGTGTCATGTCATGGAAGTTTGTGTATGCAACTGTCAGAGCGTTGAATGAATCTCCTCCTGCGAGTGGACAACCTATTATACGGAAACTGACCCCAGGGACCCAAACCTGGCAGTCATCCATATGCGTGTCATGTGTTGGGAAATAAAAACTTAGGTAAGAAAATACAAAAGGCACACAACAAATCATTTACATAACCTCTCTATAATGATATTCTGATTTCCCACTTGATAGAATGCTAAGCGCCATGATATTTCATTAGAAATCATTACTAATATTGTCCTGAAAACCAGCTTCGTCAAGGTTTTATCATATTTCTAACCGGCACATGTAATTGTGTGTCCACAAAGAGACAAGGCATGTATACATGTATTTCTATTACTATTTTGTTTATGTATCTCACAAACAGACCAGGCATGTATGTACTTCCATTATTAGTTTTTGATGAATGTATTCACGAACAGACCAGGCATGACCAGGCATGTACCTACATCTACTTCTAGTTTTTATGTTTCCGCAAACATACCAGGCATGTACGTACTTCTATTACTAGTTTTTATGTATCGACAAACAGACCAGGCATGTATGTTCTTCAATCACGAGTTTTTTACGCGGTTTATCTTCCTGGTTTATATCCGAGGATACACTTACACTTTTTTGAGTTGTTATTATTAAGAAAAAATGTTTGGTAACTTTTGATGATTTTAACTTGATGAAAGTGTGATATATTAAGAAGTCAGTTTGATATACCTTTTTAAAATTCAATCACATGACAAAACACTAAATTTCTGTGTATGTCTTCTAACTACGTCATTAGAACATTGCCATGTCTGTGCACCAGACTAATGTAACGTACATGCTTGACCAACATAATGCCTGTGGGAAGGGACTGCTCTCACTATTTCAACACCCTCATAACAACAGAACATATCCTTCAATGATAAAGTGTCTTGTGCAGAGTAAGACATACCGGTGTGCCCTCGCGGACAACTTTCTTTGTCAGGATGTCGTAAACCTGTAGACAGACACTCTCAGTCCGGTCCGTCTGTGCCATAACAACAGCATAACGGGGGTTGTTCATGGGGACAAAGTGCCTAGAAAATATATAAGAGAAATCCATTATTTCATTTTAGTTTAACTGACGTGTACAATTTAAAATTACCCTCTATACTTGCATAACACGCTAACCGGACATGGAATTAAGTATAGAGACCACTACCATGACAACAAAAATTCTATTCATTATGTTGTAACAAGACTTTATAAAAACATATTTATTACAACGTCAATTCCGGCTTTGCGTATTGCAGAGTTATCTTCTCTCGTGAGCAGGTATTGATTGTTACGTCATTGGTTTGTGAGAGTAACGTCATCAATTTTTGAGAAAACGACGTAATTTTCTCACACAAACCAATGACGTAACAATCCATACCTGCTCAAAAGAGGAAATAACTCTGCAATACGTGAAGACGGATTAGAAAACCTGTCTGAAGTAAAACATTCGTACGTACGTTTTGCAAATATTTCCTCTAATAAGTAGTAAACGGTCAGGAAAATTTACTATATTTATTGTTTTATTCGCATCTCATAGTCGAATTATACCGACTTTCCAGAGTTGAAACGAAAACATTCAATCATTTAGGAGGGATGCAGATCTAAATTTTATACCCTCGGGTAGAGTTTCTGCTTTCTTCATACCTGCATATGATAAACTCTATCAATCAAACGCCATACTTGCAAACGTTTATGTTGTATATTTATGATTTCAATATAGGGTTACAAGTCCATTGTCATACCGTATCACGTGGCCGAGGACCACACTTTGGTTTTTTGTCTCTTTTTCTTTTCCCTCCAGATCCCAAACTCGAACTGTGGTGTCGTCTGTTGCCGTAACCATGGTTTTCCACCCCCAGGAAATGGCGTCACGTAATGGTACAGGGTGAGGAAGTATACCTGACCGCTGTTCCTTCTTCAGGTTCCAAACAACGACCTCACTCTCGCTAGGAAAGTACAGAAAATTACCGATGCCTGTGATCCTGTAGTTCTGGGCATAGTCCGTTCGGAAACCTTAATTTTCACATAAGATAATAACATGTTGTGAAAATGTTTGTAAATGAGAATAACACTTGATAAAAAATAAATAGAAAATATACGCCATGGTAAACGTGAGCAGCACATACTACATGATTACATCAATCATAAAAGGGCAACAACTTAAAAAACAAAATGCAATATGAAATAAAACTCCACTAAATTATCACACCTGAGAAAAACTGTATTCACAACTTAAAGATATATACAACATTAAGAACTGAAAAAACGTAAGCATACATCATATCTGATAAGATACACGCCATGTGTTCGGAAACATTGTACAAAAACTGTATTTAAAAATAAAAAGCACATGTCACGTATACTAAAACCATATACAAAATTCGCATTAGATCTCAAACACATCGACATGAAATAAGTATATCAAAGCAATACAGAACACTATATTTACAAAAATCATAAGTAAGTTTGATTTTATAAAATTATACATCATGTGTAACATAACAATATACAAAGAATAATAAAAATAAATTAATAAATGAATAAATCACAAATATGTGAATATTTGAAGCGTTTTACCTTTAATTGTTTTGAGCCTGTTCAATGATTTTATATCGTAAATATGCAAGTCGTTGTCCCGAACATTAGATAGAATGAATTGTGTCTCGTCCGGTATAATCACAATGGCGTCTATGGTGAGGTCTGGTTGACCGGAAACCCGTTCGGAACTGAACACCTGTACCCAGTTACTGAGGGTCCGCTTGGGAAAGTTGTACACAGTGAAGAAGTGCTGGTCTGTGTCCGTCAGGACCACGTAGTTCTCAGAGGCTAAGGAATATATAGGAACATATGTTTTTTTTTAATTTATTTAATCGGTGTTTCACTTCATATTACAAAATCAACGTATAAATACATAAACAGAACGTATTATTTACATCTTTAACGCGTGTTTGATAGGAGACAGATCTATATAAACATTGCCTCGGAGTATGTATTGAGTAAAGCAGATGGAAGTTCAGCGTTAAAGACGATTTCACGCCGTTCAGTAAAACATCCATTGAATATGTCACGACTACTTGACCATGTATGTGTTTGTGTATCGTTTGAAGCGTAACGAAGTCGCAATGTTAAGGTTAACGAAGGACTGAGACAGGCGGTAATAGAAAAACAGAAAAACAGGCGGTAATAGAAAAACAGGCGGTAATAGAAAAACAGAAGGAAGAGTAGACCCCTCCTATATACCAGACGTAGCACACACGCCGATCATGATTTCCCAAAGGGCGAAAATTTAAAAGATTTTTTTATTCGGATTTAGTTTTGCTAAATCAATATTAAAACAAAAAGGTACCTCAATGTAAAATGTCAGCATGTAAGCACAAACAATAAACAATGACCTTACCATAAAAATATTGAACCTGGTGACGGAAGTCATATCCAAAAAAGGTATAATCTCAAATTTTCGTTTAGTTTTGGTTTCACAACGAACTCCTATGTAACATATTATCATGCTACCACAACAATTATAAATTGATATATTTATAAATGGCAATTAAATAAAGCCTCCAGAAAAGAGACACAAACATCTTTTGTAACCAAATATCTCCAGGTTTCAGTCTAAAAAGGTGAAAAGTCTAACCCCTTAAAAAAGAAAAGAAAAATAGCACTCAGGCCGGAGGTAAAGCATTTATAAGTTCTCTGTTATCAAACAGGTTAATGCTATAACATCATTCTTACCCGCAATTGCACTTGGCATGCCCAAAGAAAATGCTAGCTGAGATTGCGAAGCTTTCACCGTATTAACGCATTCACCGTTTTCCACATTGTAAACATCAACCGTATCATCACAGAAAGTGGCTAGCAGTGTATTGTTCTTCCCTCCTACCGCTGACTGACCGCCGATATTTTCTATGGAGGAAGCGACCTCACCAGACTCCTGTATTGCGATGTAGTCGTCATCGTAGTCTACTAGGATATACTTGTCATTACACACATAACGGACTTGGGACGGATTTAACTTAATGCCATCATAAGACTTGAGAAGTTTGCCTTCAGTCAAATCCCACGTTTTCACGGAATCTTCATCGTCATCAGAACCTAAAAGAAATATACAAATGATAACATTAGTCGTATTATACATGATATATGATTATCGAATACTGCCCGATTTATAATCACACATTTGCATGTCATAACATAACATAATACGTCCCGTCTTTCGAAGGACGCATTAAAAGGGGTGTTAAGCCCTGATGCAAGGGGAGAGAAATTCAACAATCTCCATAAAAGACCAGTTAAAGATGATAAAACAACTTACATGAAACTGCAACTTTTCCGTCCTGTCTGATATCCACTGAAAGAACAGGACCCTGATGTCCGGTCAAACAATAGATCAGCTGACCCCCCGGTTTTATAAGGACTTCCTGGTCCGGAGCGAGGAATGGCACATTGCATTGTTTACACTGGCCTAGGAGGTCTATGGTGAGCTGAGGTAAACAACGAGTAAAACGTAATGACGATAGCAATACGGTTAAGAACATCTAAAAGTAGACACAGTATGTCTAAAGAATAGCATGCTATGTTGGTCAGGTTATCAGGTTATAACTCCAGTTGATCACGTGTAAGTAGAATAGATGGTGAAGCAAAGCCATCAATGATACTCGAAAGGAAACCTGTCACATTCTATGGTCAGGTAATGATATGTTAACTCCAGTTTGCGGGAACAATGGTGATATTGAGTGAATATACTGTAAAGATTATAAAATAGCGACATAAAATGTACTCTTTGTGATAACCATACCTTTTCTCCTGCCAACCGGTCCATGAGTTGTGGAGCCAATTGTAAGGGGTCGTATAGCAGTGCACCCTGGGACATCTCAAACGCCGCTCCTACAGTCTCAAGGTCACGGTCTTTTGGATATAGTTTCCGGGCAAACGCGAAATCATCAAGGATATGTCTGATTTGATATAGAAAATATGGATATTATAGTTTTTGTATACAAGATCCAGGCGAGAAGACATTGTTGGCCATCATTAAAAAAGAGACGAAATCCTATTATGGATCACGTAAGCCAGAACATATTTATTCACTGAGACTAATATAATCTCTCACCCCCTTGGGGTTGAGATAGGGGAATCTCAACCATTACCATTAGGGTTGAGATTCCCCTATCTTTCCCACAAGGGGGTGAATGATTCTTTTTCTCTTACCCTGTTCCCAATGTGTATCATATACACAATGTAATGATAACGTTACATGTTAAATTCAGGGTTGACGTGACGTTGATGGATTGATAGGGGAATCTCAACCTGAGGGGGAAGATTCTTATGTTGCAAAACACGAGGCTTTGCCGAGTGTTTGGCAACTTAAGAATCTTTCTCCGAGGGTTGAGATTCCCCAATCTTTCCCACAAGGGGGTGAATGATTCTTTTTCTCTTACCCTGTTCCCAATGTGTATCATATACACAATGTAATGATAACGTTAAATGTTAAATTCAGGGTTGACGTGACGTTGATGGATTGTTGACGTGACGTCATTGCATTGTTGAAGTGACTTCATACCATTGTTATGAATAGGGGAATCCACCCGTCTCAACCCTAGGGTGAGACAAGGAAAGCTCACACCGGTAAAAGTGCGGATACACCTGTCCAGGGTAAGAGAAAACTGCGTGAAACATCCATAGACTACTTTAATCAAGGTAAAGTCTTTTTAAACTAAATTTATTGACTTACCGTACTGAAGAAGCCATAACTTTAGCCTGTAAGAATTTAAAATTCAGCAGACATTCGTTCTTTAGTTCCAGAACATCGACCTGTGTCCTATGATAGGGGGCGTTATTCAATCTCCGCAGATTATACGTGTCTCCGTGCATGAGGGGTTGACTTGAAACATGCCGGTCACTCTTACCAGGCTTTTTCTTCTTGTCTACATATGGCTTTTTTCCCCCTTTAAAACAAAATACAATAAATGAAAGTCATTCAATAGCTTATTTCACGAATGAGATAAAAAATAAAATATATGTTACAGTTTCAAAAGGCTTTACGATCTGAAAAACGTGGGCAGAAATAGGAAGTAACTCACCATCTGCCCATTTCCCAGAGAAGAAGTCTGCCAGGCCTTTGTTAATGTTGACGGACACACTTGAGTCACAGTACCTGGCTCGAGCGGCCTCTATAAATTGGCGGTGGTACCAGTACATAACACGAATTCCATCAGAACCTCTCTCCACTACAGAATCAATGAAACAAATGGTGAAGTTAATTTTTGGTTGTAACAGTAAAATAAATGGATTCGATTGGATCCCTTCTCCACTACAGAATCAACGAAATGAGAAAAAATGTAAAGGATATTTTACCAGTAAAGTACAAAGACTTCATCAGAACTTCTCCCAACTACAAAATAAATATGGCAAAACATAGTTAAAGGACAATAATATCGATAGAATATTTCTTTATTCCTGAATTAAGGTGATTAATTAAATTCTTACAGAGTAATAATTAAATCAAAATAGAATGCAAAAAGGTCGTAAAACTAAAAAGATTATCCTTCTAACAATCATTAATTATAAATTATTCTTTTTTTTTACAGTTTCTTAATATGTCTGTGTAAATATATTGACACTTTAAACGTAAAGTAGTCAGCTTGGGTGTATACCCACCTACATACTGCTGTATTTCCGCTTTTAGTCGGACCAGTAGCAGGGGAGGTAACCGTCGGACTGGTGGTACCCAGAACTGGTACACGTCATTGAGTACGTCATCGTCACATGACAAAACGTCCTCGAGCTCTGACTCCGACAGCCCATTCCTAGCTGAAAAAGTAAAACACGTGACAATACACGTGACAATTCTTTTTTAGCCATTCAATACAATTAAAAGTTTTTCTTCAGATCATTTTCTGCTATCTGTTATATTACACATTCAATGGTTTAAATGATTTTTTTCAATTAGGTAAGACCTCGCGAATCCATATGGTGTTTTTCTCTCCATACGGAATGTTTTGCATTTCTTTTCAACTTGAACGAAAAAAAAATGCGGCTAACTGAATACGTACAGGCGGTTGAATAACCGAGGGTCCTCGACACGAATATCTGCCCGTGACTAGTCTCCAGTTTAGAAAACAGGGTATCGATGCTGCTTCTTATCGTCTTTTGTAGAACAGTTTCGCTTTGGTCCCAGTAGGAATTCCACCTGTGAGCACTTTCAAAAGATAGTTTCAGGAATAATGGCAGTGAGCAGTGGTAGACACTTTCGTTGAGTAAGGTCAACTGTGGTGGAGTGAGAGTCCTGTTTCGGGATTTAAGCCATTGCTGTATTATACCCTCAGCATCGATTGGTTTCAGTTCAGGCACAAGCCAAAAGTCCTCTTCGTCTTTGAACATAGCCTATATTTATTGTAAAAATAGCATGACAGTTATCAATGATACATATTACATGTATATTAAAGTCATTATTCTATGTTAAGAGCAATTAACAAGCTATTCCCAGAACATGTTTCTTTTACAGAAACAAGGCAGTGATATTGTTTTATGAGTGAGAGGGTATATATATGTATCTGTTAACTTATATGAGCATGTTCACCTGTCGACCAGCTTTTTTGTTAATAAAGTTAAGTACATGATTTGAGCACTTGATATACTAGATAACAGAGGGTTAGCGACTTTCTTTCGAAAATTGACAACTATGGCGACTTCCTGTGTATTCGGGGATGTCTCGATGTGAGGGATATTAATGGGTGAGTAATCTTTGTTTACAATGGTCGTCTCGGTCTAATAGTTATCTAATTTTGATTAGCTCGTTGATGTGATGTTTTAAACATGTAATGTCAGCTTAAAGTACCTTTAAGTTCGAAAAACAAACTTGCAAATAATACATCCATGTGTATTATAGCCATATAATAGAATACGACATGAAATGATGTATTTCATATAATTGAATATTGAATAATATGTCCAAGCATCAGTGCATCCTCGAAGTTCAGGGGTTACGCTCATTTTCGTTCTCTGCACCCCTGGAATTTGTAATGGCAAAATTGAATGCACGAAGATAGCTGTTTGATTAGTTTTAGGTAAAAAAAAACCTGACCAATCGCTAGGCTGATACCACCTGTCCTTTGAGGATTACAAAGGAGAGACGCCCGACTTCAAAGCCTGTCAATTTTTACCGTTACGTGACCGCAAGATTCTTTTGATATACATCTAAAGATCGAACAAGTCTTCTCGTCGCGTCCACAAGGTGCTACACATTGAGCCTTCAATTTTGCAATTACATATTCCAGGGGTGTAGAGACCGAAAGTGAGCGTAACCCCTGGATATCGCGGATGGCATCAGTGAGGAATGAGGGCTTAACTAATGATAATTCGCAACGATGGTCCTTTAACAATCTATAACAGAAGCCTATAAAGACGATACTATACGTTAACACATATATACTCGTAAACTAATAATTGTCCTCAACTGATTTTAATAATCTTCACACTTTGAAATGACCAGAACGAAAGTCATCTTCTCTTTTTTTTACAGACTATTCACCTTCAGCTTTGGAAAGCATTCGAACTCCTCGTCCTCGAGTGTTGATACTATGAGTTTGACGTGTGTGTCAAGCGTCCTTGGTAACCAGAAGAGACTCCGAGCGTTGTGGGAGATGTCAATCTGGTCTAATGAATCCAGAAGGATAACAAGAGGTTGCGCAGGTTTGGCAAAACTCAGTACATATTCCAGTTCCTTATCCAATTCCTGTAGGCTCTGTTATCACAATTAATCAGCAATCTTGTTTAATCTTTGTTCAAAGGAAATAATGTTTAATCCAGTAAACAGTTCACAACAACATTACCGAGATTCCTGTGACATGATTCAAAGAATAATTAGGATAATAATTTTATCAGGCATGTCAGTAAACTTTATATGAAAACCAGGTCCTGCTTTTTTTCGACATTTTACTTTTTGAAATATACAGCGAAACGAATATGTTTAGCGTAACTATGATAGTATAATAAGGCCTTAGGTACCATCAGTAACGACGTTTAATGTCTGTTACCGTGTTGTCTAGTCTCTCTAACCATGTGTGGACAAGAAGGGCTCTATATACACTAACGATTCTGACACTTGAAAAAACACACAAGTTTGGTTGTACCCCCATTACAGATTTGTCGAAGTGACTACGTCACATAATGTTAACTACTTCTATATAACTTATCGCTAATATTACTAATATTAATTACCATTTCCGAGCGTTGCTCAGGCAACATTCTTGTCTACTCTACATATGTCTACATAATTATATTCTAGGAGAACACATAACACACAACATCTTTTTCTTTTTATCTGAAACACAGTATCGTTTATATCATGCAATACGTTTATTGAACTACCTTAAGTCGTTTAATAAGAACTTTATACACAAAGTATGTCAATGCCAATGGCCTTACCTCTGGATTCTGTGATTCTTGTTTGTAGATTGCCTTTATCTGACAGATGACGGAGGGGAGGAGGCCACTGATATTTGAGCTGTCAGGTGTCGTCCCAATAAACCTATCAAAGACAAACATCAGATATTGTGATAACAGTTAATGTAAATGTAAACTTTATCTATTAACAATCATCAAGTGGATGAGTGGACAGGATTTATCTTGGCTGGTGTCTTTGATGAAGCTTATCGTATCGGAACACCTGATCTTACTTTCCTTGTAACTTTTTCAAGGGAATCCATTCAAAAGATTCCATTTGTACATATTGTGCCCTTAGTTTATTGATTTTGAATTCGAATTATGGTTTTGTTGATACTTTGGTATTCTCTTACCTTGGAACATTTGTTGCACTTTTTCAAGGGTATCCATGTAAATCTTCCTTTTGTTCATATATTACCCTCGCTTTTATCGACGCGAAGTTGAATTAAGATTTTATTGACACCTCGGTCTTACTCCCTTGGTCACCCATCCCTCTTTGAATAGTTTATTGATATTTGACACGTCTTTATCTTACTTTGGACTTTGAATATTTTTTACACAGCTTTGGAGAACAGACTTGATAATATGTATGCATCTATATATCCACGCTTCATGATATAAAGTTTTATAAATCTCTCACCTAAAGTTGTTGTAATATTTATAAACTAGCTAGAAATGTGGTGGTCTTGAGAAGACGGGGGTGAACACTGCATAGGAGCTTTATACGTCCAGTAGTGTAAATTTGTCCTCATTCGTATTAACACGTTGTTAGGAAAAATAATCGCTCTATTAACCGTGTAAAAACAAATACATTCCGACTTTGTCTTAACTGATGATGAGCGTGTAGGACATTAATGTAGGTAACATCAATTAACTATTCTGTAAATGATCATCCTATCAACGTTTAAATGTACTGGTGCTATATTGGAGGTGCGTTCTTTATCAACAAACTGCTTTTTGATTATTGATTCCAGTGCTAAAATACGAAAGTGCTACTAGTATCAGCCGTAGCCGTGTATAATGTATACGTTTAATGACCTTAGACGTAATCTGTTCACACTCAGCATGCATAAACTGCATATTTACGAGTTAGTGGCCGGTGCCTATCCTAAAGTTTTTGATATTCGTTCCCCTTTCTTGAGAATTGGAGCGGAGCAGAACTATATATGATCAATATAATTTGGATAATTTCGTTCAGAGTTATTCAGTTATAAAATATCAAAGTTGTCTACTCCTGTAATTATTCTATTAGGTAGGATGATGTGGATAAAATATGGCATACTACCAGCAGTAATGCATTACGCCAGATATACATGATCTTCGTTCATCTACTTTTTAGGAAATAGAACATTATTAAGTGTCAAGACCATAGCGTTAAATACAAGAATCAAAGTCGCAATTACAATAACTGGAATCGCAGAGATATTATGTTGGGAGGACATCACCAACCCCCACAGTATATCCGGATGTGCAACAGGTACAAACGGAAAGGTAAACGTATCCAGCACAACCCGCAGTTATTATAGCAATGTTTGTAAACACGATTTAAATAAGTTTACCTGAGCACGACTGCAGGCTGTGTGTCTGGCATCCACGACCGGACGTTTCGGGCTGTCATGGCCATCAAGGAGGTCTTTCCACATCCAGAGGCCCCGTGTATAATAAGCGGCTTCGTGGTCGTAGATTTGATGTACGTCTCTATTTTCTTCAAAAATATAATAACAGCTCAACTGTCAGCGTGTTAGAAATACATATGATTTTTCTGCAATGGAATCCTTGTAGATTAATAAGAAACAAATTATGGCATGTTTTCTTTTAGTCTACAATCATATACGGTGCTAGTTTAAGAAGAGACACAAGCTTGGATCTTGTACAATAAACACAAACAAATATTTAAGAGCACCTTCCTATATCAATATATAGCCCACAGAAGATATGCAGAATTTCAATAATAATTGTCCATATGAATTTGTTTTCTTTACGTAACCTTTACAACATAGACAAATATCAGTAGAATTGATCGTGTCCACTGCTGCTTACTTCTAGGGACGCCTGCCTTCCACAGAAGTTCTCACACTTTTGCTGACAGAATCGTATGTGTTGGCAACATTCCAGCATGAGGGGATCGGTCAGTTCCTTGGCTGACCGCTGTTTTATCCCAAGGTCAATTAACCGGACCATCTCCTTGAAAAAAATCCCCGTCATAGTTTCAAGGTATGTCTGGTGTTCAGCAGAATCGGGGTCAATGCCTGCATAGGTAGCAATACGATAGATATTTTAAAATTTGTAATCATGAAAATAGCAAAGGGAATTTTAAGGCCGTACTTGAAAATGAATCAAATGATAACATTTGTTAGCCTTTTTCGTTAAACAGGTAAAGAGGTACGTACGCGGTCTAAAATATCACGCCTTTGCATTTTTTGTTATCGAAATGAAGGAATAACCCTCGTATATATTTTGTACCGTAGTAGGTAAATCTTTATTCGCTTAAGATGATTTTTTGTTCCAAAAACATTTTTTTTTATTTGGGAAAATTTAATAAATATTTTATTTTAATGCATAGATCTACATAGGATTTGGGTAATAGGCAAAGTCTATTATAGCCCTCTTCTTAAATGATAAACAATGCACACCTATCATATTGATACTAAATATTGCATTGATTGTTAAATATTTATCGTATATTTAACTGCTGACACAATGGGTATAGACGGTGGTTACCTACCTTTGTCAGTCCACTGGACGATGGTCTGGTGTATATTTTCGGCTGGGAGGTGAGATTTCATCTTTGTTTCCTCAAGGGTATGGAGCAGCCTACGGGATTCCTGCCAGTACTTCTCCTCTCCACCGCAGTCTAAAAACATAACCAATGCTGTTTATGTATTTCCTGTTGTATTAAGTTACTCTTGATTTAAAATGAAACAAATGTACAAATGATTTGTTCATTTATTAAATTGCACGTCTCCTTTAACCCCAGTGTGTTGTATATGTAACGTTTGTATTCTTCTTTATTCATGATATGTTCTGTACTCTATTAAGAGGAGAATTTCTCTGCCACGTTATACTCTATTTTTTATTTTATCCGTAGGTGTTGTTCTGTATTTGGGACTATTTTCCCTCAGCGTGTTTAACTTTGTTTTAGACTATCTTTCCAAAACAGTTGTAAGTACTAATATTGTTGTTTTGTATTTGTGACTTTACATGTAAGCGTCTTGAATTTTTTTTCGACCATTTCACTTCAATGCTATTATCTGATAAGGGACTGATTTTCCTTTGCATATTTTACTCTATTCTGGTTGATCTCTCCTGAAGGACTGTGTTGTACTGAGTTTGAGACAAAAGTTATTTCCTTAGTCATTTTTCTTTATTGTTTTTGACCGTATTTTTCGAACTGTTTTGGGGTTATTTCTTTTCCTCAACGTGTTTTAATACGTCTAGAATAGTATTTCCCCCACGTAGTGTACTGTATTGTGGGACCATAATTACTTTTCATATGCTGATTGTTAACCTCTCCTTCTTAGATAGTTGTACTGTATTTTGGTATTTAGGACTATCTAAATTTAATGTTTGTACTGGTGTCTGGACTATACTTCGTTATCGACTTGAAATATATTTGGAATCATGTCTTCTAGTGTCTTGAGCTTATTGGTACTTTATCTTCTGGATTGATCTGTATTATATTTGGGAATATATCACCTAGGACGTTTTAATATACGGTATGCCTATCTATCTAACCCCTTAGTGTTTTGTATTAAGTATTAGGCTCATGTGATATATCTATCCCTTTCATAGTTATATGATAGGCAGATCTTACTTCCTGTACGTATTATTTTACTGCAAGTTTTGTAATTTGCTTACAAGAATACTATGTATACATGATGAATTTATACTTGACTGGATGTTTTCACGGTGTTTTATGTTTTACGTAATGATCATCCGAGCTATCTGTATTCCTGTTAGAGCTCTATGGTGTATTACAATTTCTTGTATTTATCTGACAACACTTACTAAATACCATACAAGGTAACTACATACGTGTTATATACTTGCCTATATAATTTCTGAGTGTTTCGTGCTCGTTAAGGTCGATGTTCTCAATGCCATCGATTTTTCTCCAAAACCACAGGCAGCTTGAATCAGGACTGGTCACGTCGAGCATGCCTTTCTGGATCTCTTTCTCCGTAACTGCACACACAAATAAAACTAGTCAACAATGTACAGCATAGAACATCACTTTTGTTGAAGCAATTACCGCTATTCTATGCGTATTTGAAGATTATAATACACATTTAATAACACTATCCACACAATAGTTTATATCAGAATACATGTAGCTTGGCAGTTTCTTATCAAACCTTTGTTCGTGGGCATCACGAGCCCGACCGGCTGTGTATTACATTCTTGTGAAACTAACTACAGTGAGAGAGCCTGCTATCAAGCAGTGTAATACAATGTTCCGTATTTCACACCGTGATAATAAAAGATACAAGGCATCAATCTTGCAGCCAGACCGCCATTTTACGCTATGATACCGTTGCTTCATTATCTTGTCCTCGAAATCAGTTTGCCCACTATTATTTATTGGTCGGTCAGGATTTTTCGAAAGCAACCTGAACATTGATACGAGCTAAAAATGAGAAATATTGTACAGAAAATATCAAATATGCAGTAATAAATATGTAGCAGAAGAGATACCTCACATGTGTGTTAATTTGACGTCTCAGTTTGCAATTGTTTTTTTTATGCTAAAACTAAACAGACATGTTAGTACTCGATAGTTTCCTTGGAGAGCCTTGCTCGGTCTTACCTTTTCACCGTTTGGTTGTGATAGATAACCCATTAGAGACGAGTGTTTTCTTCAGATTATTTAGGTACTGATAAAAATGAGTTACAATGAAGAAACGTAGCATTTCTATACCGCTTCCCAGTGGAGCCTGGCTCTGTTATTCCAATATAGGATGGGAACTGTTACTAACTACTGACGTAATATTACTTTATCGTAGCTTGGCACGAGCCAGCTCCTTAATTACAGGGTGTGAGAGGATTGCATCTGTTAAAAACCAAATATTTGTATGCCACTTCTATATAAAGCCTTGGGTTCATCCACAGTATGATGGAGATGCTACTAACTAGAGACATAGTGTTTTATTGGTTATTTGCTTCTGGGGCTTGACTTGAGCAACCTCTTCCAGATGTAGGATAGGATTGGATTGGTTATTTACTTAGATGGAAATGCTTTTCTGACACCTTATTGCAAAGCATAGCTTTAGCCGACTCTTTCATCGTATGATTAAAAGGGTTTGCTCACCATGACGTACTATTGCTCTGCCGCCTCTTAAGGGAGCTTGATTCGGGCTGGTTCTTGAAGTGATTTAGAAAGGGTTACTTACTAGAGACGTAGTACTTTTCTGCCTGTTCTTTAGAGAGGTTGGCTCGAGCTGACACTTCCAGCGCGTCTTTTATTATGTACTCATCATCGTTCCATTCATCCTTGGCCGTTTTCTGTAGCGCTGTATCACTGCTCAATCGGTTAGGTATGTATTTGCTGATTGGTTGTAACACATATTCGGGGGGCACAGCATTATCATCACAGAGATACCACCTGTTAGGTTAGAGACATAATGTACAAGCATCTGCACATCTATTTATACAACGGATATAATAACATTAACATACCCGTAGGACGAACTTAGTTCGTTTATAAAACACTTTCGAATACAATAATAATACATAATTTGCATTTTTGACATAATTTTTTGCAATATAGTGAATTTAGAATACCGGTACAATAAATGCAGTTTATAAATATAACTCCTTAATGCCCGCCAACCTTCAACCACCCACCCACCCAAACTGTAAAATGTGTTATATTACTCTGATATTAATTCTTATGACTTAGAGCATAAAAGTTATTCCGAATAAGTCGATCGTTTTTTTGGAAAATCTAGATGCATTCCGAAAGTGTACTAAAGGCAGACCTTTGATAGCATGAGTTTGCAGAAATAAGGAGGAAAATCTGCTTATTTGCATAGATAGTATTCACTAACAATAACGAGTTTTAAATTGGCAAAAGAAGAATTCGAACTACACCTACGGGTTTGACAATTATTATATAATACACGACTCTCACCGGGTGGTTTTAACTTTATTTCAACACGTCGATAAAAAGTGTTCCTACTCTCGCCGTTTACACCTTTGATCTATTTGAATTAACTGCTGGTTCTAACCTACCTACTGTTACGTCGATAACGGTATACGGTTTTACATTGCACTTATATTCACCCTTTATAACGATTTTCCTTTCATCAATGAGTCCGTAGTTTCCCCACAAATGAATATTAATTAACATGCATACAACCATGACGTTTTAGTGGTTCCTGTAGAAGGCTGTGAGGGGGTATAAGATTATACCAATGCACTATAGAATGCATATAGCGCTGTTTAAAAATAAGGTATGACAACCACACGTAAGAACCTAAGGTAATATATTCATAGTATTTATATAAGTTTGACTGTTTCCTTCTTCTAATTATATGTAGTGTAGTTATGGTGTAATTGTAACAACCTGTATGAAAATAATCTTTAGAAATTTCACTTTCTTTCACGATTACTGAAAATTCTTTGTCAAAAAATTCTAGTCCTTGGCATTTGCATATGATTTAATTCATAAGATTCCTCAGAATATAATGGACATGTGAGAAATAATTCGATAATAGCATTGCTGTTCAAACCTGAAATAAAACAAAACTTACTTGGTGAGTTGAGCTTTGACTTCTTCTTTTTCTACTCCTTCCAAGAGGATCTGGAACTCGTTCACGGGTATGGTGCGCGGGGGGCTACGGTATCCGTACTTATTGGCGAGTAGGGACTGTAAATATATAACATGTATGTCAGAGGGCATTTATCAAACATCTTAACAGAGAAAGGGAACATAATTTTCGATCATCATAAAAAACATCTCACTTTAAAATACTGTTAATTATATTTTCATTAATAGCTATTTACTGACTGTCGTTCAAACGCTAACTACTGCGAGGATTTCAGAAAATTGCTTGCATAACTTTATTTCATATTCATTCCTTTATATTTATAATAATAAACATCTCTATAATAATCCCTTGTATGACGTATAAATGCCATAGTACGTGAGGCACATAGCTACCTGTACGCTTGAGAGAGAGAGAGAGAGAGAGAGAGAGAGAGAGAGAGAGAGAGAGAGAGAGAGAGGTGGGGGTCGGAGGGAGCGGCGCTCCCCAGTACTCTGCCAGGGCCCTCCAATTGACCCGCTTTTGAATGATCCATAACGAGCACGGGCTAGCTAATCCTCCCCTATCCATTAAACCACTGTATGACTACATGAATAACATATTCAAATGGTAACCTACAATAATGCTAAATAATTCAAAACACTAGCCAAATAGCGCTCTTCATTGAAATCGCCGTTTCCAGTTGAATTTTTACAAACTATGTATGCTTATTAAATGCAGTCCAGATTAATATAGATGATAGTATAAATGACACTACTCACAATGAAGTTGGGTCCGGTGGAGAGTTGCTGACACAGCTTTAGTTCGGTCATACACAGATCAAAGGTTGTGTGGTCGTCGGACGCATCTTCACGGATTCCCCATCTCATGTCAACCACCTGAAACTCGTATCCTTGGCTTTGGCAGTACGAACGCAATTTGGGGTACGCCTCCGTCATCCACGTGTTTCTCTCGTGCTTGGTGTCTGTTCATTAATAATATGGCAGCTTTAACACAAGCTGCGTTGTCTTGGCCGAATGTTTTCAAATGATTAACTTTCAACTGTTTCAATTACCAAACTAAATGTAACAAAACATTTCCAACTAGGGTTCTAACAACAAAATCAACTGTGAAACTTTTGACGTATTGAACAATTAATTACATGTCACAAAAATTATAGTTTTTCATAAATAAATATATATACTCACAGCACGGCGAATATTAAGATATTACGACAGTTTGATATAAAACTATTTCTATCGAGAGTATTTTTTTCATGAACAACAAAACGGCCACAGAAGGTTATAAATAGAATACACACACATTCAGATTGATCGCCAACATACAATATACAAAGATCTGTGGAAAAAGACACCAAAGTCAAATGAAAAGACTTTCTCATCCGTGACTGTTTGATCTTAGAAGCAACTATTGCACATAAGCAGGATAATTTAGGTATTAATCAACACTGATGACACTCTCACGTTGTCATATCACAACAGGAACCAGTCCTTCCAATAACAAAACTTTATCCATTAATTCACATGCAATATAAATCTTTACCAAACAAACTAATGATTACATAACATTTTGTTACATAACACTACAGTACATCTCACATTTTATCATAAATGTTAAACGAACCATGTTAACTACACCTTAAGGATGTACTCTTCTGAGGTTTCAATCACCTTCACGTCTCGTTTTGATCTCGTTTAAGTCTTTTGTTGTTGTAATATTTAACGAAGCGTGGTCAATTTTAATAGCAACCAGGCATCTGGAAAATGTTTCAACCATCAAGATGTCTGCTGTTTGTAAAGAATTTTAAAAAATAACCAATTTCGCGGCCATTTTGAAAATGAGTGTTTTTGAGTATTTCTTGCGCTTCACGAAAAGCAAAATTTCACCTTTTTAACCCTGGTCTGATCAAATTAATCGTCACTGTGGAAGCATTTTTAATTGTAGCAAGTTCATTATTGCTGTACAACTTTATAATGTTCCATATAATGAAAAAGATGCAACAAAACGGAAAACTATATATATATATATATTTACATATCTAGTGTAACTGAAGAACGATTGATTGTTGACCCCGAAATGGTAAAACATAACACAAATGATAATGGGACAAAAAAAAGAAGCACACGGACACCCCATTTTAATGGCTGTTTTTGAAAGAGAAACCTATTTTCTTTTGATCCGCTAAATATTTAAAAAAGTTTTATAGCAGAACTCTTTATATCAAGCATTAAATCTGCAAAAAAAGTAAAAAAAATAGTATTTTGTCATTAAAAATAAGTGGTTGGATTAACTTAAACTGCTTTTCTGAGTTAAAAAAAAAATAAGTAAAAGAAATTTTACTTTATTGATATAAAAGAAAATACTATTTTTGTCAATTCTGCAATTATTCATACGTATCTGATGACACACTTGGAAGATATTGTATGAATTTGTCCTGCAAATGGTTAAAACAGCAAAACATATAAGCCTTCTTGCATTTTCTGCCATGCCATTAACTCCCTTTTCCAAAAATGCATGTGAGAAAAAAGTTAAATAAAGGACATTTTTGACTTCTCAGAGGTGCACATCATTAATAAATTAAATTATAAACTAAATCAAAGAAGAACAAACACTTCAAAACATAGCTAGCCCAAAAGTGATCCACTTGTGCTATTTTAGGCGACATTCTACCTTTTCTCCGGGTTGGATAAAGTATTGTAATGGATGACTACATCAAGAAACAATGATTGACACTGGTTTAAGGAGTTTACCTTTTACGTTTTGTTTTGTCAACACTGTCCTTATGTGTTACATTTTATTTACTTAGCCATGTAAACACGTATACACTTACCGGTGAACGTACTACTAGTAAATATCCTGACGATTTTGCTGGTAGACGGGACCTCAATGCTTACATCACCAGTGAGTATAGGGCTAGATGATGTCCTGGTCAGATTTACACTAGGAACGGTTTTCTTCCCCGTCATTTTCATCAGAGTTTTACTCACACCCCGCTGAAACTTCAGCTTACTTTTCGACTTCGTTAACGGTGCTTTGATTTTAGTACCCGTCAACCCAGATGATGTTGCCTCTCCCGTTTTGTTGTTTGTAGTATTTTGGGAGTCGGGTTTTGGCGAGTCATCGTTTGGAAATGTTTTGGAATCGGATTTGGTCCAGTTATTGTCTGGATTTGTTTTGGAGTTAGTCGGTGTATTATTTTTCTGTGGTGACGTTGATGACCTATTTGCACGAACTCTGCAATATATGACAAACAAAGTTGGATAATTTGGATAGAAAGAATAACATTTTCGATTTATGAATCAGCAAGTAAATTATATGACCGTGGTTACGTTGATCACTCATAAATAAGAGTTAGTTTTAAATAAATAGAAAATGTTAGTTTTAAAGGGTCACTTCTTAAACTAACTGTATCGAATACTATACGACACAGTTAGATAATCCACAGGAATTGATTAAGTCCTCTTTCAGTGGCATACCTGTACAATGTATAGGACAATATCTCAGAAGTATGTTTTGGTTTAGTATTGTTAAAAGTCCTATCGACTGCTATGGTCATTTAAGGACGGCATCCCCTGTGTGCAAGATGCATGCGTGAAGTGTATGCTCGTGTGTTTTGGGAGGCTGCGATATGTTCGTGTTTGTCTCCTTGTGATAGCACGGAACTGATGCCGACTTTATAGCGCTACCCCAGAGGTATGCTTGTGAAGGGCTATTCATTGTAAAACAAATTTAACAACGGGAAATTGGACATGTCCCCTGACGGTAAACAGAGGGAAAGTACGAACAATCTTGCCATGTTCTCAAAAATTAAACATGGAGAAAATTGACGACTTTTACAGAAAGTTATACAGTGGAGAACTGTTCATGAGCAGTAAAATACCCATCAGTGTCATGTCAGTGAAATTGCAATGAAATATGTTCAAATCGTGGAATTAACGGCATTGTGGGATTAATTTAGTTAATAAGGAAAACGACAAAAAAAAGTGTTCGAGATTCAAAAAGGTTATAAACATAGCTGCTGACTCACTCAAAAAAGATATAAACATAGCAACTGACTCGCTAAAAAAAGTTGTTTAAACTCAAAAGCTCAAACTATGTATACGCAGGTAATTATTTTACACCACTAGGTGGTTGAATCTGTTGGTAGACAATGCTTACAATGCTTTCGTTTACATTTCAAAAAGCTACCATTGCAAATAAATGTCACACTAACATTCTCAACTTTTTCTATAAATTAACCGTTAATTCTAAATACATGGTTTAAATTAACAAATAACAGCAAGATAGATTTGTACACACATTTAATAAATATCCTTCCGTACATACATATCAGAAAACATCAATAATCATGCACAAGTATAATTGTATACAGAAATACATCAAGTACATAAAAAACACATCATATTGGCATTTTGGGGCGAACTCAGCCTATAGACTTTTTATTGTTGATACTATTCTTCAACTCATTTGGCAGCTGGGATTTGTAGCTGTGGAGACAAAGTCCTGTTTGCTACAACTAGCGACTGATTGCTTCTGTTGTTCAGATCTGCAGACTTTGCTGCAATACTGAGTTGAGTGCGAGTATACTATTCGTAGTAGTACAAACTTTGTTGTTACCAAGACTACTCCTATGTGTACCTTGCTATACCAAACCGGATGAAGAATAGCATCTTACGTGGTATAATTAAATTTAAAATGTTTCCTTTTGCGGACTGGCTGTAACTCTTTGGTTACATTGCTCCGGCTCGGTATTGGGGTAGGACATATATAGTAATGGCTAAAACTGTTATATCTAATTATAGATGTTATGTAATATTATTACATATTTACAATTTTTTTTTTGACGGGGTATTTTTTATATTAGGCATTAGTTATTAAATTTCTATTGAAAACAGGCCAAACTTCGGTGTATTATGATAGTAATACATGGTTATTATTAGATTGGCGCTTACAAACTACGACTATCTGTGTTTTCTTCACATGAAGTTCTAATTTCCATATATCACAGTATTTCTGAATAACGTTAAGAGCATTTTGCAAACCTTCAGCAGAATCAGAAAGACATTTTTTATCGTCACCGTATAACATGACGAAAATAATCCATAACAATATTCAGTTTAGTCTGCAATTTGTCTTTCAATTGTTCTAAGGGGAGTGGTCTATTGATTCTAAAAATATCTTCCGAAATATTAAGGTAGTTAGAGAATAAAAGAGAGGAAATATTATCGACTTGCTTTATACCTGCTGAATGTGGCACATTGTACCTCTGTTTTGTTTTTGTTTTATGCATAGTTTCGTATCTTTTCTGCGCATGCTAGGAAAAACTTAAACTTCCTATTGCGATTGAGTCAAATCGGTGCAGTAATAGGCCTAGTCTTTGTTCGCTGTTGTATTTTATTCATTTTTCACTAATTGCGTAGGGTGTATATTGCATCAGCGACGTGCATAAGGGGTATTGGCAAAGTACATATATCTATATTTAGCGATGTCATGTAAGAAACTGCTTTTAACATGCCCTATTGACCTCCCTGGTTTATTGTCGCATTCTCTGTCGTTTCTTAAAATCGATACTGATAACAAATGACAATCTATCATAGAACTTATCTGAAATCCCTACATCGACCACCTTCAGTTTGGATTTAACTCAGAAGATAGATAGGGAAGGGTTTACGTTACTCCCCGTGGCCAAGCGGATTATATGGATCCTGTCTTTCATTTACATTGTCAATAATAATTGTATTGAGAGATGTAGACATTAAGTTTACAGTGTATTTATATTCAGACCGGTAGCACTGGGAAAAATGAGTTGATTTCAGATTTTCTTTTAGCATTTATGCTTTCAGCATTCATCTTCAGATGCTTAACAATAACTACTTAGTTACAAGGACAATGCGTTCTGATGTTGAAATATATTAGAGCGTGTAAAATAACTCTAACACCTGTAACATGTAATAAGTGTTAACTTCCGCTTATCAGATAACTGTTATATCCAAATGATTTTATGTGCGTTATAGCGATAAAAGATTACATTCTTGTCATATACATACAGTACATGATTATTGTTTTGCTGTGTTAAGTGCACGGGTAAACTTTTCAGACTACAATGGTACCAATCCGAACATAACGTTGATGTTTAAACAATTGTTCGATATTTTAAATATTTCAAATATAATGTGAAATTTGTTTCAAAGTACAATGTACATGACGTTTAATTCGGTTGTGTAAATTGAACAGTCAACAATAATCACCACACTTCTAGAGCTTGGATTTTATTGACACTCAAAAACTGTTTAAAGTGGACATGCAAAGACAGCTGATATAAACTGTACATATCGTTCATCAGTCTGAATTATATCTTATATTATACAAGTTTAGTGGACTATTTCACAAAACCCCTAAAGGCCTTATTGGTCACCTGAGTTATAAGTTAGGTAGCTTTCAGTGTTGAGATACGTACATGAAGTGGAAGTAATAAACATGTAAACAAAGAAAAATGTATTACTAGTCATGTCTTCAAAGAAAAATACGCTAAGAAATATTAAAATGAATTAATTTGGTACTGAATAGGAAATAATAAATTGTCATGTAGCCTTTCTTTCCCTTTTGGTCCCTGGGAAGCTGTTCAGTCCCTTACTCTCTGTAACCATCTGCTGTTTGGACCCTGTTTGTAAGGTCCAGGAACTTTGTCAATTACCCTATCAGTGATAAGTATTTTTTCAGATTAGCTGTTTTTCTCTCTCAAAAGTATGAGATTAGGACCAAGTGTACTTTTTAATTATATTTGGTTACTTGCTTTGGATACTTAATATTACCTACATATCTCAGTAGCATCCACACCAGTGTTAAGGTGTTCTATTGTAGGTTCTATATCAACTAAACCTGGATGATAAATCCTGCTTTAGTAAAAAAAAAAACATTATTTAGAATATATTTACTTTGATATTTGTTCATCCATTTGACAATAAAATAAACATTTTCTGATTTGCATTAAAATTTCAATTTGATTTGGATTTGAAAAATTAGAAAATAATTAAATATCAGTAAAATTAGGCGTCACGAATGACAGGTAACTGTATTTTGCTCTGATTTTCAAGATATTTTCTGTTGATTGTCAATTGTTTTGTTTTTTTTGTAATTATTAACTGTTAAACACCACACTTTCTATTAGATATATACAATTTTTACTTAACAATGATACAACAATAAGGATAAGTTTTGTTGTATCACTAAATATATCAGTTTTATGTAAAATTTCTAATAATTTGTTTCGATACAAAATTATTACAAAATGAAATGTCATATTAGCATCACAACCACTACAAAATGGATACAAAATATTCTTAATTTTGAAATGTTCATGCAAAATCTAAATATCTTATGTGGAATCTTGTATAACAGTATCAGATTTCAGCTACAATCCCTTCCACAGAACAGTAAACCACATGTGAAAACACATGTGAAATACAGGTGAACACTGCCAATACTACCCAGAAACAGAATATAATTCTTCTAACCATATTCTTCTCCCTATGTTTTTATAAAAGTGGAGGATTCGAAAACAAACAAGTATGATGTCCCCCGGTTCTGTGTATTATATATAGTATCCTCAGCGATGGAAGACATTCAGGTATAACTACGTAGATAAAATTGATAACTATCTAAATAAACGACATTTCGTGTTCTTAAGACGTCACCATATGTATTTCAGCTTGTGGACATGACAAGGTTGTCTATTCAATCTCTAATAATACTCGTCTCCTTCTTTTGTTTCGGTAGACGCTATTAATGTAATTAACAGTTTTCAATACTGTCTGTGAAGCTATACTTTATGGAACGGTTCAGGGTTCGGTCAGGCGTAGGTTTTCACTTAGGATTTTAAATCTGTAAATACATGAATATTTACTCCGGCTATTTAACACAACCTTCCTCTATACCGTACCACTCAATCGATATATCTATCAATTTAGCAGCCTAAACATTCACCTAAACTATCATATAGATATATCTTCCGTAACGTTTCTTTCATGTAGCGCTAAAGTGGACATTTATAACCTTGAGGACAGACTATTTTGATTAACATTGGAATGTTGTTTCGAAAAACTGCACGTATACACCATACTACAGGAACCCTTTATGTCAGGAATTCCCCGTAATGATATGTCTCGTCTGTACGATGGCCGATAGAGGCCGCCATATCTTAGACCTGATATGTATATGACTTAAACATGTCCATTTAATTTGTTTTATATATACATGTACAATGTACACATCTTATATCTAATATGTATAAGACTTGAACATGTCCATTGTTTTAAAATTGATGCATGTACAATGTACACATCCTATATCTAATATGTATATGACTTGAACATGTCCATTTTTGAATTGATACATGTACAATGTACACTTTTATATTTTTATTTTTTATTTATGCATGTACATGTATCATACCTCATACCGATTAATATTCCTTTCGTGATAAGGTCCAGTGAAAAACAAAGGTGAAGTAAAGCAGACGCCTTCTAGTTTATCTGTAGTGTTTGTTATAAACCGGTCTATTTCAGACTACAAATCGAGTGTATATAGCTGCTTCATTAGAATTGGTAAGAAATATTAAAACTTTACAAAAGAGTTGTAATATTACGCCAACTGCTCACATATCTCAGATATTGATTGCATGATTTATGAGAGCTTGCACAGTAAGAAGGACCAATGTGGCCTGGGCAAGGTGTGTGTGTTTAAACATTTTATATTTCATGTACTAAAATGAAGTTATTTATTTCTAAGTGAAAAAATAGCAAGGTACCAAATACTTAAGAAAATGTAGTACGTAATGTAGTTGTGTCCGTTGCATTGTACACGTTCATTTTTTTTTATGTTTTTATATTTTATACATTGTATTATGAAATATACATTTGTTTCATTCTGGTGAAATAATCTGTTTTGTCATTTTTGATTTGACGTCAACAAAAAAAAAATGAATGCATTTTATTCACACGTGTAACTCATAATGGTTTTAAGTATTAATATAACTCGTCCTTGATATTCTGATACTCTAAGCTTTTTCGCTGTAACTTTAAAGTGCTGAAGTACATCAAATATTTGGTCGACAGATTGCATGCGTTTTTTGAAATCAGATAAACGGTTTACGATGTAAATGTCCCGTGTTGACTTTATATAGGAGGGAACCACAACCAGCCAGTCAAGTGGTTCGTCGAATTTCTTTTGTATGTTGAATTGGTAAGGCAGCTGAATACACATGTTATGACAGTTATAACTGAACCACAGAACATAACCTCCTGAATAATGTCAAAACAGGACATTTGCCTTGTTATGAAGTCAACATATGATATATACCTACTATATCTCGCAAACAAAGTACGTAAACCTTCTGTTTGAAGTCAACACAGGATATACCTCCTATATAAAGTCAACAAAATAAATAAACCTTCTGTATGAAGTCAACACAGGATATACCTCCTATATAACGTCAACAAAGTACATAAACCTTCTGTGTGAAGTCAACACAGGATATATACCACCTACATAACGTCAATGAAGGATATATTCCTTCTGAATGAAGTCAACACAGGACATATACCTTCGATATAAAGTCAGTACAGGATATATATACGTCCTATATAAATCTGCACAGAGGCATTTACCTTCTGAATGAAGCTGTCTTAAATCATGCTATCTTTTTGTGATAGACCGGTTGGTATTCTTAACAAAAGCTACGGATAAATAAGAAGGCGTCTGCTTTACCTCACCTTTGTTTCGGACTCGTTCTTGTCACGAAATAAATGCTTATCGGTATAAGGTATGAGCTATGTTCATGTACAAGTCATATACATACTAGATATAGGATGTGTACATGTTCAAATAGAAATAAAATTATATGTACAAGTCATATAAGATATAAGATGCGTTCATGTACAAATTAAAATAAAGTGCATGTACAAGTCATATGCATACTCTATTAGATATAAGATATGACGGCTGTTATCGGCCATCGTACGTCTGTCGCCATTTCGACTAACAGCAGGAATCAATTTGAAAGTGCAGAGACCTAACAATACTGGAGATAAACATGTACTGTCATGTTTATACACATATACAATGACATTTTTATACACAATCATAAACATGCACTGTCAGGTGTATACACTGCAGTTATGTTATGACATTTTGTACACGCACTCGTTCAAATATACACTGTCATATTTATGCAATTATATAGTATGACATTTCATATGCATACGTGTACATGTATTATGAACTGCCGTGTTAATAGGTACAATCGATAATAATATCGTTTTCTGTCTATACTCGTACAAATATACACTGTCATATTTATATGATTGTATAATCCGTCAATTTGTATACATACAATATGTAACTATACAGGTATTGCCATGTACTTATGTGATTACAATGTATGTTCTTATGTAATTACAATGTACTCGCCTTTACTAGGTTTACCTTTTATACTTATGTAATGATATACATGAGATGAATTTATCCTAGTCTATACCTATACTATATGCATGTCACACTGTATATGTTGTTGTATGTTTATATACTTATTTAACACAGGATCAGTACTCGGACAGTTACACCATTGTTGTATGTTTATATACTTATTTATCACGGGATCAGTACTCAGACAGTAACATCATTGTTGTATGTTTATATACTTATTTAACACAGGATCAGTACTCGGACAGTAACACCATTGTTGTATGTTTATATACTTATTTATCACGGGATCAGTACTCAGACAGTAACATCATTGTTGTATGTTTATATACTTATTTATCACGGGATCAGTACTCGGACAGTAACATTATTGTTGTATGTTTATATACGTATTTATCACGGGATCAGAACTCAGGCAGAAATATCATTGTTGTATGTTATATACGTATTTAACTCCGGATCAGTACTCGGACAGTATCATTATTGTTGTATGTTTATATAGTTATTTATCACGGGATCAGTACACAGACAGTAACATCATTGTTTTATGTTATATACTTATTTAACTCCGGATCAGTACTCGGACAGGAACATCATTGTTGTATGTTATATACGTATTTAACTCCGGATCAGTACTCGGACAGTTACACCATTGTTGTATGTTATATACTTATTTAACACGGGATCAGTACTCGGACAGTAACATCATTGTTTAACACCAGCATTCCTTGATCTGTATAACACGATCACTCTAATTTATGTATCTGTGCCCAACACTAATTAGGAGATGGTTTTACATAAGCTCTAAGCTTGTTACCAAATCATTTTGCATAGTTTTGATATATTTTACTACTTTATTCTTCATAAATACTGTTGAAACTAAACTAACAATACTTACATAATGCTATTTTGTATACTTGTGTGTACAATAATATAACCTGATGTTTTGTATACTAGTACATAGACATACATGGGATACATGGTGTGTACATTCTTACGTTAACATAGTTTATAATTATGGTGTATGTTATACTCGAAACACAAGTGTCATAACACACATACCTATTATCCCCTGTCCCTTTAGGGGGCGCTGTCTTGCTCCTTCCGGACCCCATCTTGGTGTCTTTTGTACGTCACATGTGAGGTTTCAGAAACCAGTCCGTCATGGCGACATTCTGTATGGGATCCACCCTTAATATCACTAACTCATACGTAACCGCAGTATATATCGATACACGACAGATTGATCACCACAGTTCTTTAAATAGCACGCCTTTGTGCGTACAGCAGAATTGTCTTTTGTTGTATCGACAAAGAATACACCGGTGCATGTTGACAGATAGGTATCTTGCCCATTCCCAACTTAAACACATTTTTTTTACGAAAAATGACGCGTTAAGCTTTATAGAAATGTTTTTTTTGTTATGCTTGCGTTATCCAGTTCGTGTAATTTACCAGTAACGGATCTTTAAGTAAACACCTGGGTCAGAAATAAACAATAAAATATCTATCTAATTAAAATAATCTGCATTTCTTAAAAGAAATTTGAAGTTACGTATTGTATTTGCAAATAGTCGTACGACTCAGATATACGGTGGTACATTATGGAATGCATTTCGAAGTACCCTTCTCATACACAACTTTACACCGATGGTTCCAAAGAAGGTGAAAAAGTGGCCGCAGCCTGCTGTTCTGCTAATTCTTGCACTTTAGTTCGACTACCAGACGGCGCCTCCATCTTTTCTGCCGAAGCATGCGCCATTGGTTTGGCGGTCGATCATATTTATGAACACCATATTAAAAAGGCAATCATTTGTTCAGACTCTCTATCTATCTTTCAAAGTTTACAGTTACGAGATCCTAAAAGCACACTCGCACAAAACCTTGGCTTCGCGTATCTCGCATCTTAAAGAAAATCTAAATTTACTTTACTATGGATTCCTAGCCATGTCAGAACTAAAGGCAACGAATTTATTGACAGAGTAGCAAAAATACGTTAAATCTTCAACAAACAAATATCAAACTACCATATACTGATTTTTAAGCAATTATTCGCACAGCCTTTCAAAATGAATGGCAGCAACGCTGGTCTTTCAAGCCCAGCAACAGACTTTTTTTTAAGTAGAACCGAAACTTAAAACATGTGTCCCAAGTCAGAAAGTTCGTAGAGAGGAAGTTGTCCTCGCTCGGCTCCGTACTGGGCACACTTATCCTACTCATTTGTACCTTTTAAAACGAAAAGATCCACCTACATGCCACGCATGTGACACTCCATTTACAACGGAACAATTTTTAAATCGAATGTTCCGATTTTAAACACATTCGTTATAATTACTTTCGAGTCCCGGATATGAAAACTCTTTTTATATAGTTCCGTGGACTTGAAGGCATTTTTTAACTATTTTAAATAGATCGGTGTATTCTTTATACTCTTGATGTCTTTTAACCCACATTACAACATTTTTAAATATTAACTTTTATTTGATTTTATCTTCGCTACTAAAATGTTTGCTTAAAAATAAATAAATAAATCACCATGGCCCTAAATGACCACAGTTGTCGATTTGCCGTTCAACTCAAATAAACAAACAAAGAAGTATATTTAGGACATGCAAAATATTTGTTTCTACATTTATTACTTAGATTGCTCGACATATTGTTTTGAACGCGCGAAATATTATCTCAATCGCTCGACATAACTTTTCGAGAGCTCGACATCTGTTCTCGAACGTTCGACTTATTATCTCGAGCACTTGACTTATTATTGTGAGCGCTTGACATATTTTTCGAGTGCTATACCCAGACTTTATATGGTGGTACATTGAGGATAAGCACAATATTGTTTTCCCCATTAACTATCTCGAGCACTCGACATAACTTCTCTTGCGCTCGACTTATTATCTCGAGCACTCGACATATCATCTCGAGCACTCGACATATCATCTCAATCGTTCTACATATCATCTCGATCGTTCTACATAGCCTCTCGAGCGCTAGACATATTAATTGATCGCTCAACATATCTTCTCAATCGTTTTACATAACTTCTCGAGCGCTCGACATCACTTCTCGCAAAACAACTTATCTACATTGTGCATAGCAAGTTAGAAATGTACGTATGAATAACAGTACCTAAAACACGTACATTATACATGTTCTCCCGTCCAAGATACATTAAACCATACATATTAATATTCAATAATCCATATGGGGTAATATAATTGTTATATGTAATACATTTGGGTGTTTTTATAAAATAACTGAAATTAAGTCTGATGTCTTGATAAAATATAATTGAGTCTTTGCCTAAAATGTTGATGTCATAGTACAATGACGTCACAATAGGACATCTTTTAACAACACTGAACTCTTGGCCTGACAGAATATCAGTGTTTCCACTGTCACAGCGAATGTGTTATGTTATCCTCTTCTCTCACAACCCCTTAACGTTCTTTAGATGAATAAAATGATGTGTTTAATGTATGATATGACAATCCAATTAAAATGGGATTATGTTACATATATCACATCAGGCACCACCAGTAAAGTTCATTCCGCCGGGGACTTTATCTAAATTATAACAACCTCTCAGAAATATGACATGTCTACAGAACCCAGCGATAGTTTCGGGATATAACTCGATCATCAGTCAAAACAAAAGGAGAAATACATACAAAAAATATTGCCGTTTTCAATTGATGCTCGACACCAACCAGCTACACTACTGTCAAACCATAAAGGTTTTACCCTTCCTTCCTGTTAGAAATATCCATTATTCGTAATTAAAACATCATGGAAAAACTTTGTTAAAAACAACTTTGACTGCACTAAATGTATCAGTATTTCAAAGTTATTTTTTATTTCAATAATAACGTAATAATAGGCTTTATCTATTGTCATTAAACATCCCGTCAGGATACATATTATTCTAATAAATAATTACATAGGGGAACATCATTACATAGGCTTTCACTTCGCATTGTAGTATACATTTAGACCATGTTCACTTATGTATGACGGCGGCAACCAAGCAACACTAATCTCTCTCCCATGACGTTGTATTCTCACTCCCTCGGTGTCCTATTCTCACTCCCTCGTTGTCCTTTTCTCCCTCCCTCGGTGTCATATTCTCCCTCTCTCGGTGTCGTATTCTCACTCCCTCGGTGTCGTTTTCTCACTCCCTCGGTGTCTTGTTCTCACTCCCTTGGTGTCGTATTCTCACTCCCTCGGCGTCGTATTCTCCCTCCCTCGGTGTATTATTCTCCCTCTCCCGGTGTCGTATTCTCCCTCCCTCGGTGTCTTATTTTCCCTCCCTCAGGGTCGTTTTCTCACTCCCTCGGTTTAGATTTCTCCCTCTCTCGGTGTCGTATCCTCACTCCCTCGGTGTCGTTTTCTCACTCCCTCGGTGTCGTATTCTCACTACCTCGTTGTCTTATTCTCCCTCCCTCTGTGTCGTATTTTCCCTCCCTCGTTGTCTTATTCTCCCTCTCTCGGTGACGTATTCTCCCTCTCTCGGTGACGTATTCTCACTCCCTCGGTGTTTTATTCTCCCTCCCTCGGTGTCGCATTCTCACTCCCTCGGTGTTTTATTAACCCTCCCACGGTGTCGCATTCTCACTCCCTCGATGTCGTATTCTACCTCGTTCGGTGTCTTATTCTCACTCCTACGGTGTCGTATTATCACTCCCTCGGTGTCCTACTCTCACTCCCTCGGCGTCTTATTATCACTCCCACGGTGTCTTATTCTCACTCCCACGGTGTCTTATTCTCACTCCCTCGGTGTCGTATTCTAACTCCCTCGGTGTCGTATTATCACTCCCTCGGTGTCGTATTCTAACTCCCTCGGTGTCGTATTATCACTCCATCGGTGTCGTATTATCACTCCATCGGTGTCGTATTCTGATCTTCTGGTATCGTTGCGCATGGATGCTTTCTATGGATACAATTGGTTAGATTGACTTAACGTAACAGACTTATTTTAACGTTTCACAAATTCAGAGAACATGACCAAGCTTCATTTTGATGGAGTGAACACGAGGTGAAAAGAGAATATAATACATATACAATTACGACTGTTTCATCATTTTGTAGACTTACCAAAACAATCGAAAACGGCTCTTATTTTTTCCAGTTATTGTACGATTGTTTCTTGCAGTTCGAGTGAAACAAAGTACCAGTACTAGTAAGCATCGACTCCCTATTGTATACCCAACTTCGCGGTCAGGATATGGCTGTTAAATGTGACCTTTGACATTTAAAACTTAAAACTAAATAAAATCCAATTAGATGTTAAACTCGATGTTAGCTAAAACCTAACACTGATTTCATTCTGTTGAAAAACTTTCAACACTATACAACCAGCTAAGATTTATAATTCAAGAATAATGAATTCTTAATTAATCAAAAGAATGTAAACCAGCATCCCGATAAACGTGAATAGAATCTTTCTGGTTGGGGCAGGTCTGCCACAAGTACAAACTTACTGAGACTATTTAAAGTCAGGAAGTTGGATCATTCTATCAAAATCATATCCAAAATTCCACCTATGCTTTATATATAAGAATGTAATATGAATATCTTCGCACTGTTCTATATTTCCCATTTTGGATCATTTTAGTCACTGTTGGTTAGTATTCATCCTATCTGAGTTTTTGTGTTTAATATTTGGCATCGAATACATCTTAACATGCCCTCCTTTCTAGAGTCGAAAAGGGGCATTGTGTCAAAAATCAAATTGACCATCTATATCTTGGATATCAAAAATATGAACCTGTTCAGTTTTGACGATCAAAATTATTCAATCTTTTGATCTCCTCTTTAAATGTAGCCAAACCTGTTCTTAACTAATGGAGTGCAATGCTTTGATTGTCGCTTCCACTTTGTAGATTATTTACAAGCTTTGATATAGATAAAAAAAATATCTTGATATGTTCATGTGATAAACAGACAATTCTATTTGTTTTAACTTCATCTATTCTATAGCAATAACAAATAATATGTTCTGCTGACCTCTCTTGTTGACTCTGAGGGCAGCACGCAGGAGACTTAATGGAGAACACCAGGTGATAGAGTAGATTAACAAATACCTGTTTTGGAATCAAACCCTACCCATGCAACTTGTAACAAGGCACATGGGGACGCAATGACAAAACGAATACTATTTAAACTTTTCAACTACGTGAGGATGTAAAATAATTTGAAATCAATCACAAATTTACTTTTCAGTAATCCCTCTAACACCACAACAAATTAAATTTACGATTGTCTTATGGTTTCATTTGTTGACATCTCCCAACATCTGGTTCCTCTCTTACACTCCTTAAATATAAATGTACGAAAATCATTTAAATTATTTAAATACACACTGGTTGATACATTGATTTATATTTTACAGCTAATATAGTCAATTAAAATCCTTTTACTTATCGACATTATGTTTTAGACGAGTTTCTGCATTTCGACATTGTCCTTCTACGTATTTCGACAATTTATGATTCATCACGAAATGTCGACATTTAATTGATGATGTGTCTAGTAATTTGTAGCAAAGTTTACTTAAATTATGTCGATTAAGTGGCACTTATAACAAGGAGACGTCCATTAACGTTTCTGAACAAGTCCTCTGCTATCACGATTACAATACAATACTGTTATGAAGCGATTCTTACGCAAAGTATAGCACTCGAAAAATATGTCAAGAGCTCAAGGTAACAAGTCGAGCCCTCGGGAAAATATGTCGAGTGCTCGAGATAACAAATGTAGAAAATAATATTGTCCGTGTCCTAAATGTACCACCGAAAAAAATCGAAAGTATGAATAAATATGTATTTTATTTTACAAATTACTTATTTTCTACTTCGTTGCTTATTCAGTTCATCGTATTGAACATTATAAAGTTGTACAGCGAAAATGAACTTTTTACAAATACAATTAAAAAAAGGTGAAATTTTTGCATTTCATGAAGTGCAGGAAGAACATTTTCAAAATGGCAGCCAAAAGGGTCATTTGTTTACGTTCTTATAGAAATAGTTCAACCAAAAGCAGGCATCTAGTTTTTGATATATATTTTAGCTGCATGTTTGCTATTACAATAGGTCCAGAGGGGTTGAGGTGGGGATCTTAACCATTTTGAAGTTATGACCCAGGGGTTAAGTCTCCAAGGGTGGGGCAGATCACAAGGCCATCCTGGATGCATATGTGCATTCATTTCTTTATACTCAGCAATTGTATATATGGTTATTGGGTTGGGATCTCAACTGTTTCCAAGCTGCGACTAAGAAACTAGGTACCTAGGGGTTCGGTCAGACCCCAGGGTCTATTCTAATATCATGACTGCATTCGTCTCTTTATGCCCAGCGATTGTATATATAGTTTTGAGGAGGGGATCTCAACCGTTTCAAAGTTATGACCCAAGGACTATGCCTCCAAGGGTGAGGCCAGACCCTAGAGCCATCCTGGAAGCATATCTGCATTCATTTCTTAATACTCAGCAATTGTATATATGGTTATTGGGTGGGGATCTCATCTGTTTCCAAGGTGTGGCTAAGAAACTAGGTCCCTAAGGGTTCGGTCAGACTCAAGGGTCTATTCTAATATCATGACTACATTCTTCTCTTTATACGGTGGGGATCTCAACCATTTCCAAGTAATAAACCTTTTTTTGGCTCCACCCTTTAGCCTTGGTGGCCAGCAACAAAATGTGTACAATTTTGAATCCCTACCTCCCATGTATGCTTCCGACCAAATATGTTCGATGTCCATGGCACAGTTCTACAGAAGTCGTTTATAGCACTATAGTCAAATTGCCCCCTTTTGGCCCCGCCCCTCAGCTCCCTTGGCGGTCAGCTCCACCATTTTTACAATTTTGATTCCCTGTCACCGAGGGATGCTTCCAGTCAATTATGGTTGATATCCTTCTCTTTGTTCCAGAGAAGAAGTCGCTTAAAGCAATATAACCAAATTGCCCCCGTTTGGCCCCGCCACTCAGCCCCCTGGGGTGTCAACCCCGCCATTTGTACAATTTTGAATCCCCACCACCTAGGGATGCTTCAAGTAAAATTTAGTTAAATTCCAATCAGCGGTTAAGAAGACGAAGTTGTTCATAGAAATTGTTGACTTACAGATGACAGACGGACGACGGACGCCACGGCGTAAGCTCACCTTGGTCCTTCGGACCAGGTGAGCTAATAATTGATCAAAACTTTAAATACAAGCAAATATCTGTAACATGAGATCAAAGCGAGACTTGAACGTGATTGAAATCTCAGAAAAGAACAAACTTAAATAGAAAAACCGAGGCTAATTGTTTTAAAAAATATGTGTACCATACTCTTACTGCAATCGCAGACTATGTCACTAACTTTAGCCAAATTCTTACAATCCTTATCAGGGATCGTCTGTTTTGGAGCGTAGCAATTTCCTGAAAATGGCCCATTGGCATTGGTTCTGTCAAATAATTCTATTTTAACAATCTGATCGCCATTTTTTCAATAACATGTTATTATTGTGACGGTAACTTGTATTTACAAATGCCCTACTTCACAAAATACTCTTTCTCTCTCTCTCTCAAAAATATACTCTTATAAAACAAAATAAACAAGCAATAACTAAAATAATATACTTTTATTTCTCTCAGAGACAAAGTTAAACAAATATACGTTTTGTTCCGACATAAAAAAAGTTTTATAATTCAACGAGGGTTGATTAAAACAAGCATCATAGAAAAAAGGTTTATATATGGAATCGAACCCTGACCGTCGCCACCCGATCAATCGGTTTTCAAGTTTATAACTTATTTCGGGACATCACTTCCTAAGTGCTAATATCAGAACCAATGATAGTTCAAGATATTTTGATGAACGCTCCAAACTTTTTAATGTAAAAATCGCCTTAAAAAGACAAACCATGTACACATGCCCATACATCTAGTTGTGTACTATACTGATAAATACCAGTATATCTATTGCAAAGTGGATTAATCGTATTTCCCGCATTTAACATATTATGAATATGAACAACATTAACCAACATCGTTATGAAGTGTAAGAGTATATTGAATAAACGAAAGTATTTGCCATATAATTGACTTTCATACGTTCTTTCATACGTTATACTTATATCATTCATCGACGAACAGACAAATTCACACATCATTTCTCATCATCAGCAAACCTTTATACTTAATGGCATACAAGCTTGAGTGCATAAATTGGTTTAAACGTGAATTTGCATTGTGACGCCATGATTCACCGATATTTCTTCTTGGTTGGAAACTGAAATCATGTATGAAATGTTACCTCCGGTACATATTAATATGATGAAAGAACTAGTAGATACTCGGTTAACAACGTCTCTTTATAAAATTTGCAAATTAACTAATTCTACTAAGCTACGTATTATAGCCAACTGTCACAATAAGGCAACATCTAGGTATATTATATTAACACATATTTCAAAATAATTACGTTGAGGCACTATTTTGAAACATACCATGTTCAGTTAGACTGATCACGTACAGTCGACCATCTGCAATGTTCATGATAGATGTTTTTTCCATAAAAATGATCATTGTAATTAACTAACACATATGCCGTTAATAGACTTGAACGTTTGAAGAGGCAAGTACGGTTTGTTTACACACAAAAAGAGTTTAAAGACACTGGTTGTTTGCAAAGACAAAGGTTTACAAACACACATAATAACAACACTCAAACTGCTTTAGAAGTGAGTGTGATATGTGATAAGTTACTGAGATAATGTTTAAATATTAACACATTCCAGACGTAAGGGATACCTAGAAAATGTTAGTTGTGTGACTGCATCGGAAAAGGGGGAAGGATGGCGTTTTAGATTGTTGCCACCGAAAGATCTATTGAGGCATTTTTTGATTTCTGGTAGTAACCCATTCTGATTGCTTCATAAAGCAAATATAGTTTTATCATACTGTTTAACATCATACATTTTACAGTTACGGCAGCGAACAGGCAATACAAGCTACGTTTTAATGAATGAAGGCATATGTGGTCAAAAGTTGTGATCATTAGTTCTCGACATGTTATGCACAAAGAATACCAGATCTGGCCACGTTAAGTCATCATGCTGCACTGAGAACGTTTTTTTTTAATAACTAAAGGCAAAAGTAGGAGCAATAACGCTGTAGAAAACGAACACGGGGTACATTTGAGACATTGATGACCAGCATCATGATTCCTCCCTCACCGTTATACTGCTCTATGTGGATACTACCTGTAAAGGTCAACATATTGATATATATATCAACACGATTTCATTGAGACAATTACGACAAGAAGAGCACCATTTCTTCAGTCACATGATTATCTCGGTAACATTAATTTGTCTCTTGTTGGGCCGCTATCTTAATCATCTTCGTCACTCTCCTCTTCATCAGTATCCAGATCATTTTCATCTATGAGGTCATCGTCATCAACCACGAGGGCCAGGTTTGGATTGGAGGCTAGAAATAAACGAATAATATATTAACATTATTATCTCAGAAAAAGAAGGTTAGCTCAATAACATAAAAATACTAGATAACAACCGATACAAATCTGATGTCAGATTGATGTAATTTATACCAGTTAGTCTACAATATATTCGAATGGCGTTTCAAGAACCAAAACATGTTTTCGTCCATACAATGAATTTGAGGGGTAATTCATAATTTATTGGTTTTAATCGTATTTCACAATTGTTAGCATAAATGCAATTACGTATTAGATAAGCTAATGGACGGGAAACAGGTACAAAGACATAGATGTACATGTATTTTAAAGCTGTCTTTTTCATAATTGCTCGATTGCCATATTCATATCAGCATATAGTGATTCCAAGGGAAACATTACAAAACTCATTAATTGAGATTAAACAATATAAATATAAACCAATACGTCATTTAAATGTTTCTATGTAATAAAATTAACGACGATATGTCATTTTTGTTTTACAAATACCAATTAGCTGGTTGTTTATGCCTGGTTTCCAACGATTTTACATGCGTTTAAGTTAGTTTTACCTGTTCCCTTATACAGCATCGGACATGACGACAGATTGGTAGAGTTATATAACCCTTCTACTCTCCAGTGAATAAGGCGGGCAGTTGGACTTTTGGTGGAAGTAATGAATTGTTTGCCATCCGAACACACCCTGGTCGATACAACCTTGGAACAAATATCGGTCAGTGGACATTTATTTTAAAGTTACAATTAAACATTTAAACAATAACCCTAAACCAAAGAAACATATCCTTGTAATTTTTATGCAAATAAAGTTTCAAAGTATAACGTCAACAAACGAAATATGGTTTGTTCGATGAAACCGTTACGGCTATTTGTGCAGTTGAAAATAAGTCTTTATTCACTTCAAATATAATCTTCAATACACATCAAAATTCATAATTCATCCAGAATTTCTTTCTGTTGTTAAACACAATATTTGTTAAGCCATGACCTAACCTACCGTTTGATCTAATCGGTAGCTCGCTATACATTCCAGTTTAGATATATCCCAAACTCTAATGGCATTTTCCTCTTCATATGTTGCATATGAGAAGAAGTAAGGGCCATCCTCTTTCATAAACACTTGTACAGCACTTTGATGTCCTTCCAAACGTTTAAGCAGTTCTCCTATTAACACAGTTATGCATATAGAATTGAGCATACATTATGACACAGATGGGGCTTCTCAGAAAGTGCAACAGTGACGTCATAAAATGCTACATCATTAAAATACAATAGCGAAGAAGGAAGTCAGTGTCGAAGCAGAGGGAAACAAGATGAACTAAAGTGACCCCAACACAAAAGGAAACAACTGCGTGAACTCTAAAGATAACCGGGAAGAAAGTTTAGATATATTCGCCATAATGAACATAACAAGCAAAATACAACATTAATAGGAATTAAAATCTTCTAAGACACAAAAGTCATACGGAGCCAAATGGTAAATGTCTGTACTAAGAATGACTAATAAAGACGTATTAACGAGCCATTTTTTTAAACCAGAAAACTAACGCATTTTAACGAGATACTTAATGCGGTAAAAGGGGATATATTTTGATGAAATTGACACTCAATAGCTTCCATTGAAATCAAAGAAAAAGATAAATGGGAGAGAAACTGGGGAAGCAAACGATACTAATAAAAGTAGACTACTTTTCACGAACATAAGTTCTTAAAATATGTTTAAAGCAATTTAAGCCGGAGGTAAGCTGTTGCCATAATGCACCATCGTGACATTTCCTAACTGTACCTGTGTTTCTATCCCAAACTCTGAGAATGAAATCATCGTGTACAGTGAGTAGTCTGTTGGCATCCAGTACGTGTATCTCATCAACCGACACGTCCACACCCTTCCTGTTGACGATCTCAAAGTAGTGGTTCTGGTACTCGATGTCCTCACACGAAGCAATACGTCTGTCTAGTAGATAATAAAATACACTAATAGTATCTCTGATGAAGCGCTCATTTGGTTTATCGTGCACTTGTCTAATCGTCAAACAATTGAAACCTTCTCAGTTTGAATAAACAATATAAAACAATGTCAACCAAAAAAGGATAACATCCAAAATTATTACCAAAGGAAATGGCAATGGATCAAAACGGAGAGGATGTTATGATTTACCAGTTTACTTCGAAAACTATTTTAAACATATTCGCATGGCATAGTTGTAGTTCGCGTTCTCTGGACTTGATGCGAAAATCATATGCCACATGTAGAACAGTGTACGATAACCCATGTGCAGAGGTAGACTCTTCACCGGATATCATAAAACTAGTAAAACCTAACAAATCGAACACCTTCCCATAGGAAAAGTATTGCATCTCACTACACGTATTAGTTTTGCATTTGTGACTTTATTACATTGTTTTGGTATTTGTTCGAGGTTACAGTATTCACAACACATTATGGATCTTATTCAATTCGGTATTTCTTCTGTTTAATAATACGACGTTTGAACAGTATAGCTTTGACATCCGAGGCAAGCGATCAGAACGCCGAGAGTAGTGAAAAATGTAGCTTGTGCACAGTATCACTATATGAATATTATTTCATGATATTCAACAACCTGAGTGAATTTAAATTCATTTCGAATGTCTGCAAGAAAACCTACTTTCTTTGGTACTCCAAATGGCGAACGATGTTAATTGGTATTTTTCTTTGGTGGACCCTGGACTTTCAATGTGGGACTTGACACCAAATACCAATGTCTGTCCATCTTCAGACAGAGCCGTTTTCTGTATTGGTATATCGCTAAAATTATACTCGTTGGGCGAAATTGATTTAATACATTGTAAAGTTGATAGATCATACACGAGCCAGGGACCCACAGATATACGCCCAGCCAACACAGTCCAGTCTTTGTTCACCTGAAAACACAATAGACTTTCGTTAACACCTTTCTTTTTCCCAGTGTTATATTCGGATGTAAAAAGAGTTCGCGAGGTATTGAATTTGCTTTCAAGGTTGGTAGATGTATGTACGAATAGCTATACATTTTTTCCATGTTAACTCTTATGTATAGATCTACAGTAGAGTCTTTTACATGCATTAAACACGCCATGTATGAGTCAATTTCTGTTCCGTATATAGCTCCTGCTAGTCGTCTGTCTGTATGGCTAATGATTTAACCACTGACTAACCCTTAACCCAGTAGCGCAGGTTTTTTTTAAAACTCTGTAATCGGCTGAAGTTGTTTGGAAAAAAAATCTGATTCAATAATGACCAATTAATTCCTTTACTAAAAGAGTATAATTTTTCCAATGTTTATGTCAGTATGCATGCGTCAAATATTCTTACACTCGTAATATTTTCATGTAGGTTCAATATTACTAGAAAAAAAATCTCATACATAAAACAATTCCTCGAATGGACTTTTCTTGTCTTTTTTGACGTTGGACGGCCTTTTGATAATTGCTTTCGTCTTTCCGGTTGTGGCGTTGTATATCTTAAACTGCTGTCTTCCTCTAGTGTGAGTAAGGATTTCTGAAAACAATGATATATATATATTTTATCTTTTTTTAAATGAAACGAAAATTGCTAGATCGATCCGTTTGATTTTAACGACATAAAAAACCAGGTACAATATGAAATAATTCTTGGTGAAAGACATTCCTGCTATCAGATACTAAAGTGTGTAGATATTTAAAACAGATTAATAGAAACAGTACTGTTACTATAAATGAAGCATTCCTGGTAATATATTCACTACAAATATGTACATTTATTATTTTGCTCGGTATAAACAGATTATTACATGCTGAAAGGGAAGGTGAGCCTGAACTATTTGATAACTATATACTTATGTAATATCTATGGTATTAAGACAATACTTGTCGTCTTATCTCAATTATCTATATTGACAAACAAGATTTCGTTATTTTAAAGTGTTTGATAACAATGCATTAATAACAGTAAAAAACAACAACACAGATTTGCTTTTGAGTTTTGTAACTACGTCATCATATAGTACCTAGTGACGCCACTATTTGTAACTATTATGCATAATACATATAAACAAATAGTTGTGCTACTGTGATACACGTATTTGGTGTTGGACAATTTCAGTCCTTACCTGATCCGTCAGATTTGACCTGAATATCTACAGTATATGCGGAAACATCGCCTTCGAACACTTTGTCCACAGTCATGGTGTCCAGATTGATGGTCTTAATTTTCCTGGAACCCGTGACCACTGCTATCTGCTTGTCGTTAACGATCTTAATCACACCAGGAGGAACATTCTGAAGCATAAGCGACGGGAAAAGTTAATGATTGTTATGACCTCTCTAAAATGATTTTCTGATTTTACTCAATATAAATCATAATGATATTTCACACCAGGAGGTGCATTCTGAAGCATAAGTGACGGACGAAAGTATGTGATTTGTATGACCTCCTAAAATGATTTTCTGATCTCACCCCCGGAATAATGCTTTAGCGTCATGATATTACACCAGGAAATGCATTCTGAAGCATATGGTGACGGCAAAAATCAAATCAATTTTGTGACCTCTCTAAAATGATTTCAGTTTCACCCTGAAGAGAATGCTAGGCGCAACGGTATTTCATTAAAATTTAAGTAATAATGTCTTTAAAAAAACTTTGTCGCTTTGTCCAACTGATACATCTAAATGTGTAACCACCAACAGACTGTCTTTTTTGTACTTTTTTTTTTTAGTTTGTACGCGGTTTATCTATCTAGTACTTGTCGAAGGTTACTATCCAAACGTTTTTGCAGTTGTTATTTTCGCAAATTGTTACAGATTTTGGAAGATTTAATCTTGATAAAAGTGTGATATAATAATCAGGCAGTTTAATGTACCTTTTTAAAAATCAATGATTTCTGACAAAACACTAAAATTCTGTGTATATCTTCTAAGTCATTAGAACATAGTCACGTCTGTGCACAAGATTAATGTAAAGCGTAACCAACGTAATGCCTGTGTGAGTGGGCCTGCTCTTACTATTCCAACACCCTCATAACAACAGAACATATCCTTCAACGATAAAGTGTTTTGTGCAGAGTAAGACATACCGGTGTGCCCTCACGGACAACTTTCTTTGTCTGGATGTCGTAAACCTGTAGACAGACACTCTCAGTGTCCGTCCGGTCCGTCTGTGCCATAACAACAGCATAACGGGGGTTGTTCATGGGGATAAAATGCCTAGAAAATATGTAAGAGAAATTCATTATTTTATTTTAAGCTGACGTAAACAATTTAAAAATGCCCTATATACTTGCCTAACACCCTAACGGGACATGCTATTCAATCTTCATATAAGGTTATTACATGTCAACATTTCTATAAGATTCTATAACTAATTATAATAACACTCAAAATACATATTATAACAACGTCAACGTCAACATGGTATTACAAACTGATCTGAACTAAAACATGCATATGGGCTTTTTGCAAATATTTTCTATCTTGATTAGTAAGTTTTATTAATAGTTAATGCTTTTAATCAATCGATAAATGATATACGTAATATATATAACAAACAAAGCTATGTTATTTTACAATAAACACGCTTACAAAAATAGAGTAAATTATTTCAGAAAAACGTACTTTCGTTTTTAAACGCGATAAAAACGGTTGGACCATTTTGTGAATTCGTTATTAAATATGGACGGGCCTAGTGATTAAATGTTGTTTTTGGCTAGTATAGATCTTTGCAAAGTCTTTCCAGGTCTGTATTTGTATTTAAGTCCGTTAAGTTTAACTTGTGAAGTGTTACATTTCAAACCGAACTATCCCGCTGTCTCCGATCTCGTAGTTTACAATGCGGAAATGAAAGTGCGCAAGTCTAAAACAAATCACTGTAATGGAGCGTACGCATAGTTGATTCTGTAAATGAAAACACACAAACAAACTATATCGTACATGTGACACATTGATTCATTGAAGCCAAATATGACACCTGACACCTCCTCAACTCGATGTAATCAACAGTAATTATAGTATTGTTCTTAAATCTCTCGATCGACTTTCAAAGCCATACTGGCTCCTCTAAAAACATGAACCCGTAAAGCTGTTCTATGTTGTGATTTTAACTGTGGAACTCTTCTATGCATGACCACGCTTTGTGACCAATTTTCCGGTTTGCACTGTCGTCTGTTTGGGTGTACTCCCAGTAAGTACAGATTACTGTTGATCAACATCGATGCAGTTTGTTTTTTATTATGAATAACATGGTTTTGACAGTCCATAAACTTTACAGTCCTAAGCTTTATCGTAAATTCTTTTTTACCGATTTCATGCTAGTCTACTTACGAAGGTGTACATAAATACGGAATGGCGAAATGTCGCACTTTTGCGTTTTATTTGTATCAAATAATTAACAAGTGACAAAATGAAATTGGAACACTATGAAGTAGACGATGTTTTGATGTTGGATTAACGCTATTGAAACCAATATTTTACTTCGAGGTATCCGAGTTTTTCAACTTTTCAGGGTTAGAATTATCAGAGTTTTATTTACTAAGATTAAGAAGAGATTTGGCCGGGACCGGATATATACTTCGAGATAAACGGGGTGTTTGAGTGAAAAGAGTTCGAGATAACGAGGTTCGACTGTATATCTGTGTTTCATTCGAATGTCATTGTCGAATTATACCGAATTTCTACAGGTGGGTCGATCATAATGAAGGATGCAAGGCATATCGGTCTGAACCAAATTCTATACCCTTGAGTAGAATTTCTCTGTCTAACATATATTCATATGGTAGACTCTTTCAATCAAGCAACATGCTTGTAAACTTATATATGTTATATGTTTATGAAGTACAATTTAGGGTTACATGTCCATCGTCATACCGTATCACGTGGCCGAGGACCACACTTTGGTTTTTTGTCTCTTTTTCCTTTCGCTCCAGATCCCAAACTCGAACTGTGGTGTCGTCTGTTGCCGTAACCATGGTTTTCCACCCCCAGGAAATGACGTCACGTAATGGTACTGGATGAGGAAGTATACCTGACCGCTGCTCCTTCTTGAGGTTCCAAACAACGACCTCGCTCTCGCTAGGAAAGTACAGAAAATTACCGGTGGCCGTGATCCTGTAGTTCTGGGCAAAGTCCATTCGGAAACCTTAATTTTCACAAGAAAAAATCACATCCTGTGGAAGTGTTTGTAAACGGGAATAACACATAATAAATATAGTTCAAAACCATAGCTAAGTGTCATTCAACTAATTCTGAAACAATGTACACATACTGTATTTACAAATCAGAAGCAACTGTCACGTAAACTAAAACTTTACGCAAAAGTCGCATTAGATCTCAAACAATATTTGTCATATCTACATAAAGTCTATTAAAGCAATATATAAAACTATATTTACACTTTAACAACATATGTAAGGTTGTTTATATACACCAGGCGTAACAAAACAATACACAAAGACTAATAAAAATGAATAAGTAAATGTAAAGCGTTTTACCTTTTATTGTTTTAAGCCTGTTCAATGATTTTATATCGTAAATATGCAGGTCGTTGTCCCGGACATTAGACAGAATGAATCGTGTCTCGTCCGGCATAATCACAATGGCGTCTATGGTGAGGTCTGGTTGACCGGAAACCCGTTCGGAACTGAATACCTGTACCCAGTTACTGAGAGTTCGTTTGGGGTAGTTGTACACGGTGAAGTAGTGCTGGTCTGTGTCCGTCAGGACCACGTAGTTCTCAGAGGCTAAGGAATAATGGAGTGACAAGCAGATGTGTTTATTTACAATTTTATGACATTTTTATTGAATCAGCAGTTCAATTAATTCATAAGAAAATCAACGTTTACATATACATACATTCATAAATATCAAAAAGTAACTTTAAAGCATGTTCGATATGAGAGGATATACATAAGCGCTGCTTTGGAGTATTTGGTAAATCAGAAGTACATACGCCTTTTACAATTACCCAAAAGACGAAAATTAAAAAAGATTTCTTTTATTTAGTTTTAGTTTTATCGCATCAGTGTTAGACCCGAAAGGTACCTCTACAAAAAGTTGTATGTAAAATATCAGCATGTAAGCACAACAGTTATAAATTGATATATTTATAATTGGCAATTAAATAAAGCCTCTGTATAAGCGACACAAGACAATTTCTGCAACCGAAAAACACCAGGTTTAAGTCCAAAAAGGTGAAAATCTACACACAGGCCGGGGTATAGCATTAATAGTTTTTTGTTTATCAAACAAGAGATCTGACAAGGTTAATACTATCAAATCATTCTTACCCGCAATTGCACTTGGCATGCCCAAAGAAAATGCCAGCTGAGATTGCGAAACTTCCACCGTAGAAACGCATTCCCCGTTTTCCACATTGTAAACATCAACCGTATCATCACAGAAAGTGGCTAGCAGTGTATTGTTCTTCCCTCCTACCGCTGACTGACCGCCGATATTGTCTATGGAGAAAGCGACCTCACCAGACTCCTGTATTGCAATGTAGTCGTCATCGTAGTCTACTAGGATATACTTGTCATTACACACATAACGGACTTGGGACGGATTTAACTTAATGCCATCATAAGACTTGAGAAGTTTGCCTTCAGTCAAATCCCACGTTTTCACGGAATCTTCATCGTCATCAGAACCTAAAAGAAATATACAAATGATTACATTAGTCATGTCAAACATGATATATAATTGTCGTACATTGCCCGATTAATTATACCACACTAGCATTTCTGTTGAAAAGTACTCGAGAGCTCGAGCTGACTCCGTTTTGGCAATTGCTTACAGGGGCACAGTTCCGTCGATTACAGTCGGATAAAAGTGGTTATCGAACGCGTCCAAGCATTTATGGTAATTGACCTTCCTATGAAGTTTAAAATTAATCCTTTGAAACTTGATCGAGATATAGAGTGGACACCGTTTCACCAATTGAATAAAGGGGCGTTACTCCGTAAATTACGATTGGATAATAGTTTTCGTACTCGTCCGAGCTTTTGAGGTATTCAACCTTTCTATAAAGTTGTTTAAAGTTACTCCGTTGAAAATTACTTGAGAAACCCGTCCGCCCACTCACTTTATGGCATAATCCATTCCGTTTTTCGACGGACGAGTAAAAAGGGATGTTTAGCCCCAATGAAAAAGGAGAGAAATTCAACAATCTCCATAAATAACCAGTAGATATTGCCAGTTTAAGATGATGAAACAACTTACATGAAACTGCAACTTTTCCGTCCTGTCTGATAGCCACTGAAAGAACAGGACCCTGATGTCCGGTCAAACAATAGATCAGCTGACCACCCGGTTTCATAAGGACTTCCTGGTCAGGAGCGAAGAACGGCACATTACATTGTTTACACTGGCCTAGGAGGTCTATGGTGAGCTGAAGTAAACAACGAGTAAAACGTAATGATGATAGCAATAAGGTTAAGAACATTTACTATATTCCTAAAAGTATAAAAGTAGACAGTATGTTTAAGGAATAGCTTGTTATTTTGGTCAGGTTATGAGGTGATAACTTCAGTTGATCACGTGTAAGTAGAATAGATTGCGAAGTAAGGCCATCTATGATATTGTTCTCGACAGGAAACCTGTCACATTCTATGATCGGGTTATGAGATGTTAACCCTAGTCTTCGCAAACAATGGTGTTATTGAGTGAATGTCAGTTTAGTCTATAAATATGATAGATTATCGACATAAAATGTACTCTTTGTGATAACGTTTTTAAACTAATTAATATGGCTTACATCTTTATATACAATACAATTACTATACCAGTACATACCTGCTCTCCTGCCAACCGGTCCATGAGTTGTGGAGCCAATTGTAAGGGGTCGTATAGCAGTGCACCCTGGGACATCTCAAACGCCGCTCCTACAGTCTCAAGGTCACGGTCTTTTGGATATAGTTTCCGGGCAAACGCGAAATCATCAAGGATATGTCTGATTTGATATAGAAAATATGGATATTATAGTTTTTGTATACAAGGTCCAAGCGAGAAGACATTGTTGGCCTCCATTGAAAAGGAAACGAAATCCTATTCTGGAAAGGCAATTATTTATATATCACTTCAGTCAGAACACATTGATCTTACTGAGACGGTTGGGCGAGCTATGCACATAATACTTTGATCAAGGTACAGTCTTGACACTTACCGTACTGAAGAAGCCACAACTTTAGCCTGTAAGAATTCGAAATTCAGCAGACATTCGTTTTTGAGGTCCACAACGTTGACCTGTGCCCTATGATAGGGGGCGTTATTCAATCTCCGCAAGTTATAAGTGTCTCCGTGTCTGAGGGGTTGACTTGAAACATGCCGGTCACCCTCACCAGACTTTTTCTTCTTGTCTACATATGGCTTTTTCTTTCCTTTAAAAAGAGATAAAATATAAGAACCGTACAATAGTTAATATAATATTTGATACAATAGTTAGTTTCCCAATCATGATGAATGAGATAAAATCAAATATATGTTGCAGTTCTAGCTAGAACTGTAAGTCAAAGGCTAACTAATACCCCCGCTTCTATATAAACTAGAACTGTATGCTCACGCCTAACTAAGGGACAGCATTGCTTAGCCATCCATAGTCTCACACCAGCAAAGATTTCATTCTTGATAACATACCTGTATACCAAATCTTGTTAGTTCAGATGAACCAGTTTTGCTGAAATCATCCTAGACGTTAAGGAAGAGTTTTCTGGACAAAGATTTTTAGCAAATGGCCAAAACTCCTTAAAAATAGTAGAAATGAAAAATATATACCCCGATCCATTAGGGGGTAATTATCATACCTGTAAACCTTCATTGAAATCTGCTAAGTAGTTTAGGAGGCAAATAAAAAATAATTTCCAATAGAGGGCCATAACACATTTTAAAAGGGTTGGGATGAAAAAATAAAACTTGGATGCACAACGTCAGGGGGCAGTTACCATTTCTGTCATCTTTCTTTGAAATCGGACCAGTAGATTAGCAGAAGTAGTCAGGATAAGGATTTTTCAACAAAGGGCCATAACACCGTAAAAAGGGTCAAAATGAAAAATAATACCTTCATGCATAACATCAGGTAGTAGTTATCATATCTGGAAATTTTCGTTGAAATCGGTCCATAATTTGAGAAGGAGTTGTCCGGACAAAATGTTTCAGGATCCTTTTCAACAAAAGACCATAGGGTGACAATGAAAAATAAAACCTGGATGCACAACATCAGGCGGTAATAATCATATATGGAAACTTTGGTTGAAATTTGTCCATGACTTTAGAAGGAGTTGACCGGACAAACGTTTTCTACGGACGGACGGACGGACGGACGGACGGACAACTTACTTCGTTGCAGGGGGTTTCAAAAGACTTTACAATTGGAATAACATAGGCAGAGCTAAGAAGTAACTCACCATCTGCCCATTTCCCACAGAAGAAGTCTGCCAGTCCTTTGTTAATGTTGACGGACACATTGGATTTACAGTACCTGGCTCGAGCGGCTTCTATAAATTGGCGGTGGTACCAATACAGCACACGAATTCCATCAGATCCTCTCTCCACTACAGAATCAATGAAACAAATTGCGTAGTTTATTGGTGATGGTAACAGTAAAATAACTGGATTCGATCGAATCCTCTCTCAACTACAGAATCAACGAAAAGAGAAAAAATATAAAGGATAATTTACAAGTAAAATACAAAGACTTCATCAGAACTTTTCTCACCTACAAAATCAAAAAAGCAAAATATAGTTAGCGGACAACTCCTGCATTTAGGTGATTTATTAAATCCTTCTCTGATATTTACCCTTACAGAGTAAATCAAAATAGAATGGAAAAAGGCCGAAAAGTTATGGAAACTATCCTTCTAACGATAATAAATTATATATTATTCTTTGTTACAGCTTCATAATATGTTTCTGTAAATATATTGCCATTTAAACATACATTTGTCAGCTTGAGTGTCTACCTACCTATATACTGCTGTATTTCCGCTTTTAGTCGAACCAGTAGCAAGGGAGGTAACCGTCTGACTGGTGGTACCCAGAACTGGTACACGTCATTGAGTACGTCATCGTCACATGACAAAACGTCCTCGAGCTCCGACTCCGACAGCCCATTCCTAGCTGGAAAAGTAAAATACATTTCTATCATTTTTCAGCCATTTAACACAATGAAAAGTATTCTTCAGTGTATTTCCTGCTATTTGTAATATTACAAATTCAATGGTAAAAATGACTTGTTCAGTTAGGTAAGACATCAGGAATCCATACCGTGGTTTTCACTCAATACGAAATGTCTTAACCAACATTTCTGCATTTTCCCTCAAGGTGTACGACATTTTGAATGTACTCCCGATATCTTGGGTATGAATTTGATGAATAAATATGAAAACTAAATGCCATTGGTACTTAATCTTAAGCTGACAGTGCAAATTAAAAAGCTTTCAATTGAGATTTAAAAAAAAGTTTTTTATTTTCTGGTTTCGAGATCGACCCTAGTGACAATATCTTCCGTCTGTCGTATCTAAGGAAACGGCGACATTTTAGAATGTACATGCTTGGTAACGAGTATGGGTCTCGACGTGTATACAAAGCGCATTGCCCGTCAAACCGAGTATCATGTGTTCAACGTGTGCAAGGTGACGCTACTATGCAATATAAATAGAACACTTCTACGATTTTGAACCAATATTTTTCTATCAGATCAAAATTGAAATGGAACACATCAAAGATATAATTTATCAAAGAAAAGTGGAAATAATATTAAAATATTACCTTTTAGATATCCAACTAGTAACAATATCCTGAGTGAAAACAATACTGATTCCAATTGTTTCCATGAGAACGGTTCAATTATCAAATTTCACATTGTTGAATACATAACTGGGAGTGTAGCATTTTGCACGCGTTTTGCTAGTAAAGCATCTACACGACGAATACTAAGAGTTCATGATAAAGTTTTCGTGTGTGGGTGCAGTTCTATGCACGTGAAAGCACGATGATATATTGGTGGGATTTTCAGTAGTATACCTTTTATTTTGGATACACTATTTCGATAATGTGCCATAAGTAACAACCAGCTTGTCAGTGTTTTAAAGTCTTCAGGTGAGTGCATTTGATTTTTGATATCGGTTGCCGATCAGGGTGCGCGTTGCATTGAGTCGCAAGACGGTCAGTTGTAGAAAGATAACTGGTTTGACAAGTAATGCGCTTTTCATACTCAGCGAGACCCATATTCGTTTCCAAGCAAGGGCAAACTAAAATGTCGGCACTTCCTTAGAAACGATAGTCAGAAGAGATGGGGAAGATCTCAAAACAAGAAAATAAATAAAACTTTTTTTTCTAATCTCAATTAAAAAGCTTTTTTAACTTGCACTGTCACTTTTAATGGGAAATTACTGATATTATAAATATATATTGACGTTTAAAACAGACGAGGCTACTAGACAAACTAAATGAGATAGACCTGCTCAATTCGTTGATTTAAGTCGTATGTTCGGCAGCCCACTGGTGTAACACTTACTGATCAGGTTTTGTTTTTTCTGTTTTACTTGTATTGAAGACAGTTTGTATTGTTGTTTGCATCCATGTAGAATACAAAAAACGTGGATTATTCTCAGAACTTTGTACATTATTTACCTGTTATAAGTGGAAGGGTACTGATCAATTCATTTATAATTTCATGTCGCGTGAATGCATGTGATAGCCATTTACATTCATTGCATTTTCACAAAAGAAAAAGAGGATGCGACTAACTGAATACGTACAGGCGGTTAAATAACCGAGGGTCCTCGACACGAATATCTGCCCGTGACTAGTCTCCAGTTTAGAAAACAAGGTATCGATGCTGCTTCTGATCGTCTTCTGTAGAACAGTTTCTCGTTTGTCCATGTAGGAATTCCACCTGTGAGCACTGTCAAAAGATAGTTTCAGGAATAATGGCAGTGGGCAGTGGTAGACACTTGCGTTGAGTAAGGTTAACTGTGTAGGAGTGAGAGTCCTGTTTCGGGATTTAAGCCATTGCTGTATTATACCCTCAGCGTCGATTGGTTTCAGTTCAGGCACAAGCCAAAAGTCCTCTTCGTCTTTGAACATAGCCTATAATTGTTTTAAAAGTAGAATGACACTCTTTAATGATACATATTATGGTAAAGCTGACATTCTATGTTCAGAGCCATTATTAAACAACTCACAAAATACGTATCCTATACAGAAACAACGCAGGTATATATTGTTTTATGAGTGTGAAGGCATATATTTGTATCTGTAAATAGGTATGCGCATGTTCACCTGTCGACAGCCTGTTTATAATATAAAGTTCATGATTTAAGCACTTGATATACGTGCATCAAATTACAGTGGGTTAGCGACTCTTTTGAAAATTGACAACTATGGTGACGTCCTTTTTACCCGGGGGTTGAAATTCTCAACACGCGATGTCATCTTTAAGAATATTTAAGTTCGTAAGACAAATTTACAATAAATACAGACACGCGTAATGTAGTAACATAATAGAACATTAAATGGAGATAGTGTATTTCAAATAATTGAATATTCACTTCATAAGTCTTATTATGTGTATCAACAATGATGCTAAGTCGAATGTCAGTGTCAATGAGGAATGAGGGCTAACAAAATGATCATTCACAACGATAGTCCTTTGACAACATTCACAGAAGCTCATAAAGACGATATCACATGTAACCACATATGTAATCGTAAGCTGATAATTGTCCTCAACTGATGACTAATAATCTTTACACTTTGAAATGTTTAGAAACAAATGAGCTTCTCTGTCTTTACAGAATGTTCACCTTGAGCTTTGGAAAGCATTCGAACTCCTCGTCCTCGAGTGTTGATACTATTAGTTTGACGTGTTTTCCAAGCGTCCTCGGTAACCAGAAGAGACTCCTAGCATTATGGGAGATGTCAATCTGGTCTAATGAATCCAGTAGCACGACAAGAGGTTGCGCAGATTTGGCAAAACTCAGTACATAATCCAGTTCCTTAGCCAATTCCTGTAGGCTCTGTTGTCAAAATTAATAAATCTTGTTTCATCTTTGTTCAACGAAACAATTTCTTATCCAGTAAAAAGTTTTCAAAAATATTACAGAAATTCCCGTTATATTATTTAATAACAATAATAAGGATACTAAGATGTATGTAAACGAACCCACGCACTTCATGCCATTGAAATTCATATGTACTCTTTTATCAGGCATGTATATTTTAAATGAACTTTCCACTTGAAAAAAAACCCCACAAGTATGGTTATGCTTCCATTATAGATTTGTCGAAAAAACTACGTAATATTATGTTCACTACTTTTTTACAACTAATCACTAATATTACTAATAACTACTATTCCCGAGCGGTGCTTGGGCAACATTCTGGTTAAGGCAAGTCATATCATTTTATACCATCAGGACACAGAACACACCTAGTTTTCCTATCTGAAGGATAGTATTGTTCATATCATGCAATACGTTTAATAAACTACATGAAGTCGTTTAATAAGAACTATATACACAAAGTGTGTCAATGCCAATAGCCTCACCTCTGGATTACGTGATTCCTGGTTGTAGATAGCCTTACCTCTGGATTACGTGATTCCTGGTTGTAGCTAGCCTTACCTCTGGATTACGTGATTCCTGGTTGTAGATAGCCTTTATCTGACAGATGACGGAGAGGAGGAGGCCACTGATATTTGAGCTGTCAAGTGTCGTCCCAATAAACCTATTAAAGACAGCCAACTGTAATTGTTATAAACAGTATAAATGGAAACTTTATCTATTTATCTATCAAAATAATAAGCAGATAGGTTGATATCTTGGCTGGAGTTGTCAATGAAGTTATCCTTCCGGAACACCCGGTCTTATTGTCCTTGTAAGCTTTTAAGATGGATCCATTGTTATCTTATTAGATGGATCCATGTTAACCTGTCCCTTGTTCATACATTACCCTAGTTTATCGGTATGAGCTTGAATTACGATTTCACTGACACATCGGTAGCTCGTACTCTATTTTATGTGTGTTGAAGACATTTTGTGCTTTAGTTTACCAACTTAATCAGCTCCGGCTAAATGTTTAATTGCATTAAGATTTATTATATAACGTTTTATAAATCTCTTACCTAGTGTTGTTGCATTTTTTGCAAACCAGTTGGTAAATTTGGTGGTCTTGGAAGGACGGGCGTGAGAACTACGCGAACCTTTACAATTAATTCGAGAAATATTTATCTGACCTCATTCGGATGAACATGTTGTGAAGATGGGGAATCGATAAATGTTGGAATCGTTCTATTAACCATGTAAATAAACAAATGTATTCTGAGTATGTTTTAACAGAGGCACAGTGTGTGGGATATGGGTGACAATATGGGTGACATTAATTATTTATTCTGTAAGTGATCATCGTTCCATAGCGTAGCGGTCCTGGTTCTATATTGGTACAAACTGATGATACGACATTCTTATTAGTATCAGCTAATAACATATAATATATAGGACTCGGTACCCCACAAAGTATCTGTACATACACTGTATGTTTACGAGGTTGTATCCAGAACCTATCCCAATGTGTTTGATATCAGTTACTTCTTAAGTTCCTTCTCAAGATATGGAAACGTAGTATCAATATAAGTCATTAACTAAAAGTAGGACAACTTCGTTCAAATTATTTAGATTATGAATTATCAAAACTATCTATCCTGTGAAACATGTGCATCAGGGAAAGTAAACATATCCAGCACCGCCTGCAGTTGATATGGCAACGTTTGTAGACACGATGTAATTAGGTTTTACCTGAGCACGACGGCAGGCTGTGTGTCTGGCATCCACGACCGGACGTTTGTAAACACGATGTAATTATGTTTACCTGATCACGACGGCAGGCTGTGTGTCTGGCATCCACGACCGGACGTTTCGGGCTGTCATGGCCATCAAGGAGGTCTTTCCACATCCAGAGGCCCCGTGTATAATAAGAGGCTTCGTGGTCGTAGATTTTATGTACGTCTTGATTTTCTACAAACACATAATAGCCGTGTAACTGTCAACGTGCTATAAGGATATGACGTTTCTGCAATGGAATCCCGGTAGATTTAACATAAAACATCGCACGTTTTGGTCTAGTCTACAAATATATAAACCATGCTACTTTAAGAAGGGATACGAGCATGAATCTTGTTAAATAAACACATACAAATATTAAAGTTTACCAGATCATCTCCTTATAACCCACATAACTTCAGTAAGAGTTGTATATTGGAAGAGCCTCCTTTACGTAAAAGTTTGACAAATATCAGTGCAGATTAACGTGTGTGAATTGTTACTTACTTCTAGGGACGCCTGCCTTCCACAGAAGTTCTCACACTTTTGCTGACAGAATCGTATGTGTTGGCAACATTCCAGCATGAGGGGATCGGTCAGTTCCTTGGCTGACCGCTGTTTTATCCCAAGGTCAATCAACCTGACCATTTCCTTGATAAAATCCTCCGTCATAGTTTTAAGGTATTTCTTGTGTTCAGCATAATCCGGGTCAATGCCTGCATAGGTAACAATTACGTTATATATAAATGTATTTGTCTGATGTTAAGTTGTGAATACATGATGTCAATGTCGTGTTACTCATAGGTATATGACGTAGGTTGAAAATCGAGTTCAAAATTTCGTAAATAAGTAAAACAGTCATGAAAATAAAATCACAACCAAAATGGACATTGATTGTCAGTGAATCCAATGACGAGGATTTGTAATCATTTTCAGATAGAGCAGGGACTACTGTGAGTGGTGGTAGGAATATGAATTGATTTCAGGGGTTGGAAGAAGGTTATGTTGATAACGATAAGGTTGATATGCCATTTGGTGGATCAATACCGATTTAAGCAGGTAAAGAGGTATGAGCACCTCTTTCAGTCAATTGCACTTAAAACGCATTTGCATTTTGTTTATCGAGATAGAAAATTAAATGTTTTTCATATATCCTTTGTATACGTAGAAGGCAAATCTGTATGCGTCTTCAATTTTTATAAGATGTGATCGTTTATTGGAGAGTGTTATAAGATAATAGATGACTCGCGAAAATTTGTTGAATATTTGATTTCAGAAGATGTTATTGTATAGATCTTACATATAGTAGGAATTTAGCTACAGTCAAAGTCTATTATAGCCCTCTCCTAAGTGATAAACAAAGCATACATAGCAATAACATATTGATAACTAAATATTTATCGTATATTTAACTGCTGACACAACGGGTATAGACGGTGGTTACCTACCTTTGTCAGTCCACTGGACGATGGTCTGGTGTATATTTTCGGCTGGGAGGTGAGATTTCATCTTTGTTTCCTCAAGTGTATGAAGCAGTCTTCGGGATTCCTGCCAGTACTCTTCCTCTCCGCTCAAGTCTAAAAACATAACCAACATTAACGTTGATAATGTATTTCCTGTTTGATTCAGGTACTCAATCTTGATTTGAAATGACGCTAGTTAATCGTTTTTGACTACATGTCTCCTTTTACCTCGTGTGTTGTATATGTAGCCATTTGGATTCCATGTTATTCACCGTACGTTCTGTACAACATTTAGGCCTTAAAAACGTTAACTACTATATTTAGAATATAATTTCGCTAGCATATTGTACTGTTGTTACGTTTTAATCCCTAGATGTGTTGTACTGTATTTAGGACAGGTTCTCCTCATTGTGTTTAACTTTATTTTAGACTATATCTCCAAAACAGTTGTAGTGTAATAGAAGTGTATCTCCTTAGCACGTTGTTCTTCAGTTGGGACTTATCTTCTAAGCGTTTTCTAATGTATTTGGGACTTCTGAGCTTTTTGTGATGTATGTTGGAATTTTCCCTCGGGATGTTGTGCTGTATTTGGGACTCTATCTACTTAGCGCCTTAAAATGTATTTGAAACTATTTACTTCAACGTTTTTGCCCAATTTTGAACTATGTATCCTTTGCATGTTGTCCTGAAGGTGTTACTCTGAATTTGGGAACATAGTATCTTTTTTGTATTGCTTTTCTTGAATATTATTTCCCTCGGGTATTGTACTGTGTATTTGGGGACTATGCTTTCTTTACACGTTGTACTTATTTTAAACCTCACGTCCTTAGAGAGTTGTACTGTAGGTGTGTATCTGGGACTCTTTATATTTACCGTTGTACTAAATTCGGGACTTTTCTCGGTATCGACCTGATCTATATTTGGGACAATGTCTAATTGGTACTTTATCTTCTTGATCGATCTGTACCATATTTGGGACTAAATCTTATTAATCGATCTGTGCTATATATGGGACTATATCTCCTAGAGCGTTTTACTATAGGCTATACTTATCTATATAGCCCATTTGTGTTTTGTATTAATTGTAAGAATCATATGAATCATCCCTTTCAGAGTTCAGGGATATTTTTATAACTTCCTGGTATATTCTACTCACTGTACGTACTTTTACTTTACTTGCAAGAAAAGCTTGACTGGAGGTCTTTACAGCGTTTTGTGTTATATGAAATGATCATCCGAGCTATCTATATCCCTATGTGTATATTTTCTGATATCTACGTTGTATAGGTATTTCTTGTATTTTTCTTACTACACTAACTAAATACTGCAGGTTTTGTCATTTCCATTCACTGTACCTACATACGAGTTGTATGTACTACGTTATACACCTACCTATATATCTTCTAAGTGTTTTGTGCTTGGTAGGGTCGATATTCTCTATGTCATCGATTTTTCTCCAAAACCACAGGCAGCTTGGTTCAGGGTTGGTCACGTCGAGCATGCCTTTCTGGATCTCCTTCTCCGTAACTGCACACACACACAAAATAAAATCAAGTACATTTGTCGACAATGTACAACGTAGAACAACACTCATTTTGAAACAAATAATTAATTGCAATTACTACTACTGTATGTTAATTTGGAGATAGCAATGCAAAATAAATAATACTTACCATAGAAAATAATATACATTTGGAAACACATAGCTTGGCAGTTCTTTAACAAACCTTTGTCCGTGGGCATCACGAGCCCGACAGGCTGTTTATTACATATCTTGTGAAACTTACTACAATGAGAGAGACTGATATCAGGCGGTTTGATACAATGTTCCGTATTTCACACCGTGATAATAAAAGATAAAAGGTATTACCCTTGCACCCAGAATTAATTTTGGCTAGAACTCATTAGTTGAGACGAATTGACACAGGAATGGATCCAAAACATTAAACGGTCATTTTACGCTATGGTAACGTGACTTATATTTTTTACTTTATTTCGGGAGTCTGGCTTAAGCCAAATCTTCAAGATGTAGGAATGAATGGGTCATTTACAAGAAACGTAATATTTTCAACAGCTCTCTCATGTAGCCTGTAGTGAGCCGATTATGTCGTTGTATAATGGAGAATGACGAGATGCTACTTGCTTTTCCAATGCCTCTATGGAAAGACTTTCACGTTCCTGTGAGCCTGGATGAGTCGAATCTTCCAGTGAAGCATGTATTCTTTTGGGAGCTTGGCTCGAGACAATTGTTGCAGTGTTTCATTGAAAATATTACTTAATAGGGACGTAGTATACCTTCGCCGCTTCTTAAGAGGGCTCTATTTTCTAGCTGGTTCTTTAAGTGTTTTACTTACTAGAGACGTAGTATTTCTCTGCTTCCTCTTTAGGGAGCTTGGCTCGAGCTGACGCTTCCAGCGCGTCTTGCATGTCGCACTCATCATCGTTCCATTCATCCTTGGCCGTACTCTGTAGCGCTGTATCACTGCTCAATCGGTTAGGTATGTATTTGCTGATTGGTTGTAACACGTATTCGGGGGGCACAGCATTATCATCACGAAGATACCATCTATAAGTTTAGATAAATTTATAATGTACAAGTATATGCATATGTATTTATACAATGAATATAAAGTACTCTTAACCTACCTGTAAGACGAACATAGTATGTTTACAAACCACTTTTAAATATGCTGATGATTAACTTGCCCCTTTTCAATTTTTGCAACATAATGAATTTAATATGCCTGTAAAAAAGTACAGTTTATATATGTAACTCATAAATGCCCATAAACTGAAGTAACGTATGATATGAACAATTAACCAAACTGATAATATATAATTGATAAATCCCTCTAAATTGCCAAAAATATCCTTTTTTAAATCTGTATGACTTACTGCTCCAGATTGCTAGTAACATGTACACTAACTACTTTAACCTCATTTCATAATGTTATAAAGCTGTATCATTGGCTACGAGCTTATCGACCTTAAATTTATAAAATATTTCTTAAGTGTTGTTTCCTATTAACCTAGAGCAGACAAATTATTCCGAAAAAGTCAATCGAATTTTTCGGAAAATCTAGATGCATTCCGAAAGTGTACAATATTCAGGTGTGTGATAGCTTGAGTTTGCAGGAATAAGAAAAAACATCTGCTTACTTGTATAGACAGCCTTCACTTAGCGATCGTTAAATGGGCCAAAGAAGAATTCGAACTACGCATACGTGTTTGATTATTATTGTATAATACACGACTCTCACCAGGTGGTTTGAACTTTGCTTTAACACGGCGGTAACAAGTCTTCCTACTCACGCCTACTTCATACCTTTGATCTATTTAAATTGTCTGTTGGTTCTAACCTACCTACTGTTACGATGATAACGGTTAACTGATTTACATTGCACTTATATTCACCCCTTATGACGATTTCTCTAACCCTGGACTGGTGTATCCACAAGTTTAGTCTGTAACGTTGTGTCTATCTATCCTCCACTACTAAGTAGAACTAAACAGTTGGTAACGATTAACACCTGGACATGCATACAACCATGACGTTTGAGCGGTTCCTGTACAGGGCACGAAGGGAAGTATAATAATCCAACAACACACTGTGTAACGGTTATTCCGTCTTTGCGTATTGCAGAGTTACCTTCTCTTGTGAGCAGGTATTGATTGTAACGTCATTGGTTTGTGAGAGTAACGTCATCAATATTTGAGAAAACGACGTAATTTTCTTACACAAATCAATGACGTAACAATCAATACTTGCTCACAAGAGAAGATAACTCTGCAATACGCAAAGACGGAATAACAACCTTATACACATGTAAGTCTAGTCAGACAATTAAGCAGAAATCCTTTCTTATTCTCAAACCATTTCATACCTGATAATCGCACACACACACACAAGGCCTGAGAGGGAAGTATAAGACAATACCAATACACTATATAATGCATATTATTACCTTGAAACAGTGAAGAGAAATGACATCGGTGTTAAATAAGTTATGACTACCACGTGAAAGTAAATGACGTTAACATTTACATATTGTTAGTATCGTCGTATAGTACCATCCAGACTGTATTTGAAGAAACATGAACAGACGCATAACCTGTATTATATACATGTAAGAGTAACACGACGCTGATGCCTGGCGATCCAGCTAGCTTCTATTGAAGACAAGTCGTATTGGGCAACCGATTGAAATAAATTAAACCAAGGCAAAACATATCTAAATAGTAAAACCGATATCATTTTAACTTACAAACGTCATAATTTTAACTGTTTTCTACGACGCGATCCCTGTTAAATCTACATAAGTTGCAGTTGTATGTCATTCAAACAACCTGTAGGTCATGACAATATATTTTGAATGTTTTCTTTTATTTCACAGCAACTTTAAAATCTTTGTTAACATTTCTAGTCGAACGCATTTGCGGTATAACTAATTCATAAGATTACTTAGCTTATACTGGACATGTTAGAAATAATTCTATATTAGCGTTGTTGTTCAAACCTGAGGAAAAACAAAACTTACTTGGTTAAAAGAGCTTTGATTTCCTCGTTTTCCACTCCTCCCAACAGGATCTGGAACTCGTCCACGGCTATGGTACGCGGTGGACTTCGGTATCCGTACTTATTGGCGAGTAGGGACTGTAAGTATATAACATGTATGTCAGAGGGCATTTGTCAAACATCTATACAGAGGAAGTGTAATACTTTCCGTCAAACATCAAGAACATCTAATTTCAGTAAATTGTAAAGTATATTTCCTTCACGGTTCTTCAATTAAAAATTAAAAAAAAGTCTTGCTTGATCGACCATAAAGTTCCTTATCTTTCCTGAATAACTACAATATAGTTGAAGTACGATGTCAATGGAGACGAGAAGCACATTGTAACTGTTATATTTATAGTTATAATTAACTCTACCGAATTAAGTTGTATAAGGTATAAATGCCATAGTCCGATTGTTGAAATCATAGTTATTATGCCAGATATCACTTATTCTTCTTGGAAGATGTCTCTCCAGACACATCAACTTTGCACCTTCAGCTGAACTAAATGGTCACATACAATAATACAAACTGCTATTAAAACAAGAGTTTAAAATATTCCAAAAAAAATTAACATTTGGCACTTTTATGGAAATCGTCGTTTCCAGTTAAGTTTATTCTATTGGCTACGAATGCTTATTAGATGCAGTTCAGATAAATATAGATAGAATATAAATGACACTACTCACAATGAAGTTGGGTCCGGTGGAAAGTTGCTGACACAGCTTTAGTTCGGTCATACACAGATCAAAGGTTGTGTGGTCGTCGGACGCATCTTCACGGATTCCCCATCTCATGTCAACCACCTGAAACTCGTATCCTCGACTTTGGCAGTACGAGCGCAGTTTTGGGTACGCCTCCGTCATCCACGTGTTTCGCTCGTGCATGGTGTCTATTTATTAATAATATAGCAGCTTTAACACAAGTAACATAGTGTATTTAGTCATGGTTGAATAATTTAAAATGATGATTTTTTGGGTCTGGTTTCAGGTTCCAAACAAACTTATTTCAAACTAATTGTCTAAAACAAAATCCATTGGCAAGTATTGACCAATCCTAGCAAAGACAAAACTTTGTAAATTCACTGACATGTACACGTTCTGTACTAATTACTACGAAACACATTAATGAACCATATGACGAGAGCGATTACATGGGCTTTTAACACAACACTACAGTGTACCTCTCATTATTATATGTGTAAACAAAACATTTTAGTTATACCTTAACGAATTTAATTATAATCCAAATCAAAGAAGAACGTCCACAACTGATTCCCCTGCGCTATTTTTAGGTAACTTCCACCTTCCCTCGTGGTACATAGAGTATTTGAATGATAAAAACATCAAGTGAAAAGGTTTGTCACCGGTTTCAGGGATTTACCGTTCTTGTTTTAGTATTTCCTAAATTATTATCAAATTCTGTGAATACTGTCCTTTTGTGTTAGAGTTTATTAACTTAGCCACGTAAACATGGTACATTTATACTCACCGGTGAACGTACTACTAGTAAATATCCTGACGATTTTGCTGGTAGACGGGACCTCAATGCTTACATCACCATTGAGTATAGGGCTAGATGATGTCCTGGTCAGATTCACACTAGGAACGGTTTTCTCCCCCGTCATTTTCATCAGAGTTTTACTCACACCCCGCTGAAACTTAAGCTTACTTTTCGACTTCGTTAACGGTGCTTTGGTTTTAGTATTAGCCATTTCAGGTGACGTAGTCTCTCCCGTTTTGTTGTTTGCAGTTGTTTGCGAGTCGGTTTTTGTCGAGTCCTTAATTGGAGTTGTTTTGGAGTTAGTCGGGGTATTGTTTGGAGATGTTTTGGAGTCAGGTTTAGGCAAGGGTGTTTTGTTATGCTTTGGAGACGTTGACGGTCCATTCGCACGAACTCTGGAAAATAGGACAAATATATCGGGATAATTTGTATGTAAAGAACAACATTTCTAGTTATAAATCAGCATGTGAATAGTATAACTGTGGAAACGTCAATCTCTTCTCTAAACATACATATGAGTTTGTTTTAAATAATATAGAGAATGTTAGTTTAAAAGGGTCACTTCCTAAATCAGCTTTATAGAATACCATTTGACAGAATTATATCATCTAAATGTTCAAGAAATAATTGACTAAGTCCTGGGAACAGTACTATGGAGATAAGTAAACATAGCAGAAACATCAAAGTGTGTCGAACTATATATTTATTGTTAAGTAAAAAGAACAACCGAAAAATAGAAAATGTCTCCGGACTGTAAACAGAGGAAAAGTACGTAAATCTTGTCAAGTTTCCATAAAATCAAGTAAAGAAAAGTGGTGAAAATTGAGGACTTTTACAGAAAATACTATATTAAATACTTGTTTATGAGCAATAATAAACCATCATTGTTATGTTAGTGAAATAGCAAATTGTTTAAATTGTTGAATCAAGGCACTCTTCGGAAGTGAGTAAAAAGGGAAAGGACAGCAAAATTTTACATATTTAACAATACATATATATCTATAGCTACGTCACTCGAAAAGGAAACTTAAAGTCAAAATTAGGTGTTTATTTACTTCGTTTATATACGCCATTGATTATTTTACACCTCAATGTGGTAGAATCTGTTGGTAGACTATACGTTCCCAAGGTTGGTTGTCACCTGTGAAGTTAGTATTGCAGAGTTTACATAGAACATTAGCTTAAGTACTAATTTGCTATTGTATTTCCAATGTTATAAATGTTTTGTATGCACCTTTCCTCTTTCGCTGTATTTCTATGTATGTTTCGGAAAAGTTTAGAAACAATTTTATTCTCTTGGTCTTAAGTATCACTGATGAGTCATTGAATGGACATAATGACCCTAGGATGCAGTATAGTGTGGTTCCTATTGCTGCTGATCAGCTAACATGTATTATTATATCAATATAATCAATCGATGAATCAATCGATCAAATACACAACCGTTTTATAAATTTATATATTTTCATTCATTCATTCATTCATTCATTGAAGTATACATGCATAAACACAGGAAGTATTATATTAGGAAACAAATACATATGAACCCCTGTTTTTCTGTAATATATATAGTGACCTCAGCGATGGTAAGCTTTCAAGTATATGAACATAGATGAAATGGAACATGTTCTTTAGAAGCCGCTATCGTGTGTATTTCAGTTTGCGGACGTGACATGGTAGCCTATTCAATCTCCAGTAACACTCGTCTCATTTTCTATATCGGTATACACTATTTATGTAATTAAATGGATCTATTTAACAGTTTCAATACTGTCTGTGACGCTATAATCAATGGTGCGGTTCATGGTTCGGTCAGACGTATGTTTTCACTGAGGATTTTAAATTTGTAAATACATGAATGTTTGCTCCGGCTATTTACCACAACCTTCCTCTATACCCTACCACTCAATCGATATATCTTCTAAAACCGTCCTCTCTACCAGCATATCAATATATCTACCCAAACATTCACCTAAATTATAATATAGACATATCTACCAAAGTTCACCTAAATTATAATATAGATATATCTACCCAAACATTCACCTAAATTATAATATAGACATATCTGCCCAAACATTCACCTAAACTATAATATAACTATATATATCTGCCCCAACTTTGCTGTGTTAAAGCTTAGGTTGAGTAGGGGACATTGTTTGGTGACAGAGAGAACAGACTCTCTTTATTAACACCGGAAGGAAGTTACACATTACTGTATGTATGTATGCCCAATGTACACACTATTGCAGACCTTGTTTTTATTGACACTGACATTAAGCTATATATATTATATATATATACAAGACTAAAGACCCTCGATTATAAGAATCCCGCGGAAATATATGTGAAATATATGTCTTGTCTGTCCCCGTTTTGAAATCAGAGCAAAAGCCAGAACTAAATACTACTGAACAGTTACTGTCATGCTTATACAATTATAGAATCTCACTCGTAGGATAAACCTGCTTGGACTTGGTAAAAACTTTATTACTTTACTATTGAAGGACATTATTTTTATGGGTAATCTTCTAATAATGACGTCAAGTAACAATGTTTTGGGACGTTATCTTCCATTGTGACGTCATAGTTCATGGCAATTTCCCCCCTTTCAGGAACAGGTCCCAAGTCTCGTGATGGTTGGTCATCATGTTTATCTAAATCTCGTTTGCTAAATTTCAAATTGTACAAGGCACTTGGTAAATAAACTAGCTCGAGTTAGGTTAACAAGATAACAAACCATCACTCGTTTTGGAACCTTTAACAGATCCTATTCTGTCGTGTTATACAATTATATTATCTGACATTTAGTTAACGTACCTCGTACATATATCTCTGCTCTTTAAATTTCTCTTGGTGTTGTAAATCTTGAAATTTGTCTTTGAATGTTTGACATCACTTATGTAAGACAACATGAAGCCTGTCTGTCTGTGTAGAATTGTATGTACATACATATTCTGAGTAATGTTTATACGATTATATAACCCTATGTTTTGTATACTAGTATACAGATGTACTATATAGCATGTTAATGCAGAGCGGTCTATAATTTTGTACAGACAACTCTTGGTAATGTGATCCGGCGATGTGTATACCTCTGACAGTGTGTACACCTATACATGGTATATACATCATGCATAGACATGGTTTAATTTCTATATCTGTTGTATGCTTTACTCGAGACACAAATGTCATGACACATACCTAGTATCCACTGTCCCTTTAGGGGGCGCTGTCTTGCTCCCTCCGGACCCCATCTTGGTGTATTGTGTACGTCACATGTGAGGTTTCGGTAAGCTGTCTGTCATGGCGACATTTTGTATGGGATTCCCCCTCACCTCACTTAGTCAATACACGTACGTACCCACAATATCGGTACACGGCAGATCGATCACCACAGTTCTATAAATAGCACTCTATAGTGTATACAGCGGGTAGCCAACGTCGATTGTCTTTTGTTGTATCAACACGGTATGTTGACAAATTGGTAACTTGCCCATTCCCTAGTACAAACCATTTGTGTCGACTAATGACGCGTTAAGCTAACTAGAAAATAATTAGATTCGTGTTATGCTTGAGTTATCAAGTTGATACAATTTACCAGGATTAGTTACACGAATGTTATTGATACAACAGTTTAATAAACACCTGGTTCAGAAATAAACAATTGAATATCTACATAATTTAAATCACCTGTATATATAAAATTTAATTTTAACTTACGTATTGCATTTAAAAACAAAAACATCGAACAAATCAGACGTAATTAAGATCATGTAAATATTTGTTTCTCTAAATACATACATGGACAAAAGTCCACAAATAATGCTATGCTACATAAATGCATCCGTTACGATAAATCTCGAGGATAAATTTTGTAACAAATACCTTTTTCAGTTTTACATCAGCGAAAGTAAACGAGAAAATGCAAAAGAGGTATGCCGCGTAAGGATGGTGGCTTAATCACTGTTCAGGACATGCTTAGTTTTCAACAATGAACGTCACTTTTTCTATATTTATTTTGTCAATACTATCAGTAAAATAACAGGTTATTGATTAAAATAACTTCTTTGTTGAGACGAGTATCACTGTTTGCATGTATAAGCTTAGAGTGTTTTTGTATTAAACGCAATTATTCTTCATCGAAACTCGTGAAAATTTACCTTGCTTATTTATCGAAATCAGCAAATATGATTGCTGACATTTATTTTTGATTTAAGAAAAATGGATACATCAGAGACGAGTTTTACAAACCTATAGGTATATAGAGTGATGGTGACCATTTTTGTCTATCACGAGATTCATTAGGTTAAAAGTTAAATTTATGTAATCTATGGACCATTTATGTTAAAGAAAATTCATGTTAGTTATCCGGTTCAAAGGTTGAACAGAGAACAGAAATAGAAAGCGTGCACAAAATTCATCAGGTTTTACTAATCAAACATAATTCTCTCTATTGCTTACCTTGAAGTCAAATATCAATAATTTCGAAGATTACACAGCAGAGTATTTAAATTATTCGTACTCGATGATACAGTAAGCCTGGGGCTTTTGTGATAACGTTCAATTTATCTGTGTTCTAGTAACAAGTAATTGAAAACTTATCCATGTTTTCAGCGTACATTAATAGAAGAATATTAATCAAAACCGATATGTGTCAAACATATTATTAACATCAAGAAAACTATTTCCATATTGTTTCAGTTTTCAGAGAAACTTTTAGCTAGCGATGAATATCATCCTAAGTCAGTACATTTTATATTTCCGGACTAGACCTAGTATCCCCAGAGCACCATAGCTTGCGCTTTAACTCTTCCGGATACCCGGTTTCGTCTCCAATTTCCCTTTGCTTTTGTTGCCCTCTCAGGTCGCGTCGTCAGTTGTGTTTATGTGTTGCTATGTAAAACGATAGTTTGTATATTTCTTTTATGATTTGAAAATTCCCGAATGATTAAGTACATGAAACATTCAGATGAGAATTATATGAAAAATTATCTTCTTTTTTTATATATATTACAGCTCGAACGTCCAATATGAATATTAATGTTTTTTGTTTGAACAAAACGATGGGTTAATTAGCATTAAATATTCGCATATTAATGAACAATAACCCTTATTGTCGGGTAATACATTATCCATAATTATAATTTGAAGAGTAAGATTGTTTAAGATAAATAACCCTAATCAATCTGAACCTGGTAAGACCGTCTGCTCGCTTCAGCGTTTGTTTTATCGATATCCGTGGTTTGAAAAACGACAAATTTTTGTCTTGTTGAGGATTGATAAAAGCAATTACAACATGGGGAAGCGAACATTTATGAAATATGGTGAAGACAAAGTATTTTTTATTACATGATAAACTTTTTCTTCAGCGTTTACAATCTGTTCCAACAATTGTTTTTTCAAAAAACTTCCAATTCTTCAATAGTTAATTTTGCTTATTTACATTTGCATGGCATTGTCACTACATAGCCTCTTTGGAAGCTGTGTCGTCGTTGATGGGACTTTAATTACCATGCGGCACGAGACATAATTCTTAGCGTATTAATACAACACTGACCGGAACTATATCTCCCGTGTTTAGTTTTCGACGGTCATCTGTTTTCAACGGTCGTTTATTTCCGGGTCGCGCGCGCGCCTGCGGGTCATGTCAGGGGTGATCACGGAGGCTATGTTTTGACGCCGGCACACTTGCAACAATTCTCAAAAAAAAATAGGACAATGATGATCTGTACTGTAAGTAACTATTTTTATCGCAACGTAGTGTTTAAACCCCGTTTTGCATATTTCCAAGTTTAACACCCTAAAAGACCCATTAAATTAGCCTGAAAGTGTTTGTGACTTCTCGTCTGCTTTGCTGTCATACAGCTCCTTCCAAATCACGTGACAAATGTGGGCGGAGACTCAGTTCGGAAAAAAATGTATGTAAGCCAAGAAGATGTCAGCTTATCATTGCGTAGGCGATTCGCAGAATTTTAGTTTGCTTTCGTACCAACATCTTGTTGAATAAGTGCATTTCCTTTTATTCGGAGACATAAATAAAAGATATTTTCCCTTATTTTAGGTAAAAAGTCAACAAAGAGGGGAAAAAATTGTTGACAATTTCTTCTCTCATGATCGTACCAGGGAGAGGGCTAAGCAGTAACTTTTCCTTGCTATGAAAACAAAAAGTTAACATCGAAAAATCTTTGAACTGTTTTAAACTGTTTAAAATCACTTTTCCATGTTTCGCCTCAAACAGATATAGTTGAACAGTTCACGTTCGAGTTTACTTTTTTTCTGTCCTATTTTGCCACCGTACAGTGGAAAGCATGACCGTCGAATACTGATGACGTAATACGCAAGCACACAAGTTAGGCAGTCGCCATGTTTGTTGACATTTTCTAGCGGTGTATTATCAAATATTATAATCGATCTTTTATAGAATTAGGGCAATAATAGTAAATGACTTAACTTGTAAGGCTTGGAATAAACTTGTTTCACATGGTTGGTAAAAAGCGATTTTGCTCTTACACCGTCGAAAACCGATGACACCAGGGTACAATATCCAATGTAAATTAACATGACGGCTGCTGAAATATCGCTAGGCATTGCGAGATTTGACAATGCCATTGTAAATTTATGTGCAAAATAAAAATAAAAATAAAAAAATACTTTTATTACAACAAAAACAAGACCAAGATCTGCAATATCGTACAAAATGCACATCGGTTAAAATCACCAATGCCGGCAATGGAAACAATTTTAACGCTCATACAATTGATCAAAAATATCGTCTGTTACACTGCACTGATCAACAGGGGTTCGTTACAAATGTCTGAAATACACATATTTTATAGACCTACTGACACATATGTTACAGACCTACTGATATGAGTCACAACACACATAAACATTTCAGACATTTGTAATGAACCCCTGTGCTCCGTCGCAAGATCCCTCACTTCAAACGCGTCTCGCAGCCACTGTTTCCTCAGTTTCTGACGACATATCAAATAACGAGGCAGTTATAGAATCTACAGACTGTAGTCAGATTCCCATACAATCAACAAATAAATTCTCGTCTGGATTCTTCACAAAATGAGCAAAGAGAAAAGTTCGAATTAACTTCCAAAAATAACTCCCTCGTGGAGGGCAAGGTCGGATTTACGGTGTTCACTGTATTTATCCATGCGCTAAATTTGTTCCGGAGAAAAATCGAAACAATTTCAAATCTAACTTTCAGCTCAGAGTTCTATTGATAAACTTAAATCACCCTATAGACATATCATACGCAATTGTATTTATACTGAATTGTGGAATAACATTGAAGTGTTTGCCAATCAGCACGCGACAAACACGCTGTTCAAACTATTGAACGAAATTTTGTGGACTGTCGATAAGGCGAGCATTTTGAAATTTAAATATAAATTATAAGTTAAAAAAGAACATAAGAGGAAGAGAAAACGTAAATATAAGTATTGAACTGTTTTTGTATGGTATTTATGATCTAGCGCGCATTATGTTGTTCGCATGCAAAGCTGTCTCATTCAAATAGATCATAAATACCAAACAAAAACAGTTCAATGCTTAAATCTTATTGTAACGACTCCAAAAGACGTGTTGGTTTTTGTATAATCTTTAATGTCGCCAATCCTCTAGAGAGGGTAAAAAACTGTAACAACAAAGGGACGATGTTAAAATACGTACCGGAACATTTGAATGCCATTTGGCAGTATATCTCACAACAATGTCTCACAATAACCAAGTCCAAGGAACATTATATGCTTTGATATCGCAATGTTTATGAAATGTCACTGAAATCAATGTCATGAAATGTTTATGATGAAACAAATGTATCTTTTCATTGTAATCACTTACTCTGTGGTGGCAGTAGCACACAATGTCATGTAACGAAATGATAGCAGAAATCTTCCTGAGAAGATGAAAGTTCGAAAGGGCGATAACTCTAAGCGTAATGCGATTATAGAGGTCCCACGTAACAAAGACCAGAACATCCCTAGAGTTGTGCACAAATGTACCGCACAGTGCAATGATAAAAAAACTTAATAGTAAGGCACAACACTTGTCAATTGCATATCATTTCTCCACATTATAGTTCAGTAGGGAAAGTTGTCACACTATTTCTATTTTATTCCAAGGACGACAAAATGCCCCCAGCTGAACTATCTCTGGCAAAGGGGAGCTCACTCTTGGTAGAGTTGTAAAATCATTATCGAGCAGTAAGGGGACAATAATCAGGATTCGTTGGCACCTTTGTGCTTTTATTTATTTTGTTTGTATTTTACGACCAATGATAATTGGTGTGTAACGTTATTCTGTAGGACCAGATTGCTCAGATGTGAAACGTTATTCTGTAGGATCAGATTGCTCAGGTGTGGAACGTTATTGAGTAGGACCAGATTGCTCAGGTGTGGTACGTTATTCTGTAGGACCAGATTGCACAGGTGTGGAACGTTATTCTGTAGGACCAGAATGCTCAGGTATGGAACGTTATTCTGTAGGACCAGATTGCTCATGTGTGGTACGTTATTCTGTAAGACCAGATTGCTCTGGTGTGGAACGTTATCCTGTATGACTATATTCCTCAGGTGTGGTACGTTATTCTGTAGGACCAGATTGCTCAGGTGTTGAACGTTATTCTGTATGACCAGATTGCTCAGGTGTGGAACGTTATTCTGTATGACCAGATTGCTCAGATGTGGAACGTTATCCTGTATGACTATATTGCTCAGGTTTGGAATGTTATTCTGTAGGACCCGATTGCTCAGGTGTGGAACATTATTATGTAGGACCAGATTGCTCAGGTGTGAAACGTTATTCTGTAGGACCAGATTGTACAGGTGTGGAACGTTATCCTGTATGACTATATTCCTCCGGTGTGGAACACTATCCTGTATGACCATATTGCTCAGGTGTGGAACGTTATTCTGTATGACTATATTCCTCAGGTGTGGAACGTTATTCTGTAGGACCAGATTGCTCAGGTGTGGAACGTTATTCTGTAGGACTAGATTGCTCAGGTGGGGAACGTTATTCTGTAGGACCAGATTGCTCAGGTGTGGAACGTTATCCTGTATAACTATATTGCTCAGGTTTGGAACGTTATTCAGTAGGACCAGATTCTTCAGGTGTGGAACGTTATTATGTAGGACCATATTGCTCAGGTGTGGAACGTTATTCTGTATGACTATATTCCTCCGGTGTGGAACGTTATTCTGTATGACCAGATTCCTCAGGTGTGGAACGTTATTCTGTAGGACCAGATTGCTCAGGTGTGGAACTTTATTCTGTAGGACCAGATTGCTCAGGTGTGGAACGTTATTCTGTAGGAACATATTCCCCAGGTGTGGAACATTATTCTGTAGGACCAGAATGCTCAGGTGTGGAACGTTATTCTGTAGGACCAGATTGCTCAGGTGTGGAACGTTATTCTGTAGGACCATATTCCCCAGGTGTGGTACGTATAACTGTATGACCAGATTCAGGTGTGGTACATTATCCTGTGGGACCATTTTCCTAAATTAAACGTGTACAAACTAATGAGATGTACAACAGGTAACATACTTGTCAATTTAGACAAGTCATACGGAATGTATATTCATTTCAGGTGACTTTTCTCACATGTATGGACCGGAAGTCTTCGTTGAAAAAATAGACTTGAAAGCATATTTTTTTAATCAGATGTAGTTTTAATTTTCATTCCAAATGTGAAGCATTTCATCATTACTTAACAATTAATAAACAAGATATATATGTATAAAAATATTACATGTTATGTGGGGATGAAATCAATACGGAATCATAAAAACGATGATATTCGTGTTTTTTTCTAACATTCAACGATATGTCGTGACCATCTGTATCATCTTTAGGTGTTGTTCTGTCTTTGTATTGGCGGAATCATTTTGCAAAAGCTGTTTGTAAAGGTTAAAACAGTTCAACCTTTTGACAAATCGTAAAGGAGGCGATATTGTTTAAACTGCAAAGTATTACATGATAGCAGTGCGCTAGGTTTAACAAACTTGTTCATGTGTCATTGATGGTCAATAGTGCTTTCAACAAATTCTGATTTTAAGTCTTCACATTTCTCCGTAGCTATGGGCGAGTCTGTTGCTTTGTTTTCTGCCTGTTCAGTTTCTTTGATAGCTTCAGATGTAACTGATTCTTGTTCCGGTTTAGACTTTTCATCATTCTTGTTGTCTTGTTCAATATCAACTTCGGTAGTTGGTTCTGTTTTCTCATTAATTTCTGTAGGCGTCAGTAGGTCACTCGTGTCTTTGGTGATGTCAGTGGATGTATCTGTCTTTTCTTCTTCCTTAACGTCACTTCCGGTTTCGTCGATGCTTTTTTCGTCTTTGTTGAGCTTGCGGAAGTCGTCCTCACAGAACGCACCCCTGCCTCTGTGGGTGGTCAAATTGCCCACTCTGGGTGGTATAGGTCGGGCAAGACCCACTGTCGGAGTCTTCCAGAGCGTCACTTTGTGTTGCAACTTGACACGTTCCTTTTCAGCCTCTTGTAGTTTCACTGATGCCTCCTGCAAGGGAAATACTCATGTAAAATAATACATCACATATTGCATAAATACATACTTCAGATAATTTTATGTTTTCGTGGGATCTATTTTTGCGCAAATTGACGGAAAGAACCGATCAAGAATTCAAGTAGCTGTGTGACTGGACTCTCCGTAGCTCATTGCCCGATCGATTTAAATTTGCCGATAATGAAAATTAAAAAAGTGAAAAAAGATAAAGCTTGCATTCAAGAATCATGCACATACTCATTTCAACTATAAACCTCGATATCACAAATCAGTTTGTCTGTGACATAAGTACAAGTAATACCATTACATACGAATCTTGGATTGCTTATATCTTCCTTTTTTTCATTTCAAAACGAAAATATAATTTTCTCGCCGTTACGTTCAGGTAAAGTTGTTACCTAAAACGGCTCACAAAAGACCTGATGATGTCACGCAAGAATATTCATAGAACAATAAAAACACCCTGGATGGTATCATATTGCCTAACTCTATATATTTTGCAAATAATATTCTATTTCAAGTTCAAAAGTAAACCACATTTAGTTGATAATGGTTATAGAGCAGTAGATTGCTTAGGGATGTTTAATCGGGGCCTATATTTAGCGAACGTTTTTATTTGTTTACACATCAGAAGTAATAAAATTCATACGCCTGGCAAAGCGGAACTTCAGCCATAGCCTTGCAAGATAAATGTGCTCTTGGTGTAGTAGATTACCAGTAAGCCATACATGTAAACGTTAACAGTCTTTCTTATGAAAATATGTACCAATTCCATTCAAGTGTCATCTTTTTGTATATTATAACAGCTGAACTGTGAGCGTGGAGGTTATTAGAGGTTGTTTATGAAAGGAGTCATCCTGGATATCCAGGCGTTACCTTCACTTTCGCTCACTACACCTCTGGAACATGTCATAGAAAAATTGAAGACTCAGTGTGCAGCACCTTGTGGATGAGACAAGAAGACTAGTTTGGTCCTTTGATGTACATCACAAGAATCTCGCGGTCGCGTAACGGTTAAAAAATGACAGGCTTTGAAGTCGGGCGTCGCTCCTTTGTAATCTTCAAAGGACAAGTATCAGACTAGTGATTGGTCAGTTTTTCTTTTTACCTGACACCAATCAAATAGCTATCATTTATGCTATGATATATTCCAGGAGTGTAGAGAGCGAAAGTGAGCGTAACCCCTGGATATCGAGGATGGATAGGAGTATACGTCCAACTATAGAAATGATACCGTACCGTCAAATCCTGTTCGGCAGCCCGTCTTTGAGCCTCGAGCTTTTGTAGTGTCTCTGCCGCTTCCTGTAGCTTGCGAGCCTGCTCGTTTTGGTGTTCCTCTAAACCCTCACGGCGTGAAATCTCCTGCTTCAGCAGCTGCTCCTGTTCCCGCCGTAAAGTTTCCAGCTCCTCCCTCTTCTCCATCTCTTCATCCAGCAACCTGGAAACAAAGAGGTTAATATGGTATATCCGGAATGTAAAATAAGTCGAATAGAAAATTGGGGGACATGTAATAAACATGAATGGGAACATGTTTAAATGTTCACACATTTAAACACTGCTATAAATCTCTCTTACTTACGTTATAAGGGCTACTAATATCGGCTATGATTGCGTTAACGTTAAAAATAAACATTTTTTACTTAATCATATATCGTTGTTTTAAAGTTCACTCATTAAAAGGTTTACTATTATTTTTTTATAGAAATGGAAAGAAAGTGTTGCCTCTGTCAACATTGATCGTATCTAACAAGCATGGTAAGTATGTTTGTGCCGAAACACGTGAGTTAACAGCAATTATGAAACATGCTTTTTAAACTTAAACCAATCACTCTTGTTGGCCCGGACACAGATGGTTTTCATGTGTAGGGAAACTTAGAACCCGTAGAATACCCATATGGTCGGACAGGTAACCCCGGTCATCGTGGTGAAAGGCGAGTGTCATCCACTGCTCCACCCGACCACCCCAATACGGTATTATAGACAAATTATTGAATTGGATAGAAATACCCCATCATTTGTGACTTAAAGAAACCACACTATTTTTAAATACAAATCATTTGTCATTTCCTTATATATGGAATAATATAGTAAACAACTATTGTGTAAATTGTTGATCGAGTCTTGTTTATGCACAATGTACATGTATATTAAAAGTGTTTTTTTTTTGTGAAATGTTATGTCTAATTATTTCATAAATATACTTTTGCAATACAACATGTTTTAACTAATCTTTTACCTGGCTTGTAACGCCCGTACGATCTCTTCGTCTCGTTTGGCCTGCCTTTCCTCTTCCAATAGCCTCTCCAGCTGTTTCTTGATCTCCTCAAGTTCCCGAAGTCTCTGTTGCTCCTGCTTCCTCAGGGCCTCCTCTGCGTGAAGCCTTGCTTCCAGATCTAATTGGTTCTGAGTAGAAAGAATAGTAAGACTCACCTAATTGCTTGCAGAGGAATAAAGATGAAACGTAATGTTCAGGAAGTGTGCGTTATACTCATTAATAAAGCATTATGTAATTAATCATTGAACAACTGTGTCGTCACGTTATATGTCTTCAATAAAACATGATGTTATCAATTGATAAAATGGTGGGTCCATCAAGTCTTTACCTATTTATGTCTATTTGAAAAGTGAATTACAATGAACATTAACGATGGAAGATAATATAACGGCACGGTAGTCTAGTGGTAGGACGCCGGGCTCGTGACCGAAGGGTTGTGGGTTCGAGTCACGTCACGGCAATGCGTTATATCTTTGAGCAAGATACTTTACTCCGCTTGTTCAAGTCAACTCAGCTGTAAATGAGTATGTGGTTGGCCAATACTAGAATTGTAGAATGCTAGCTGTGAGCGCCAAAATGGCAGCACCGAGTGTATGCTCCCCGGGGAGTTGAGAAAGGTAACGACCTGTTGCAAAGGCCCTATAACCACGGATGATAATTTGTGATCCGCTTTGAGACTACCTATGAACTAGGCTGTGATAAAGCGGTATATATAAGAACCTTGAATTATTATTATTATCATTATTGTAATCACACTAAATTGGTCTTAATTTAAAGGCAAATGCTCAATTTCTATAGTTTGTTAGATAGTTCTGAATTTTCGATTTCTCTTAAATAAATAGATGCAATATTACCAGTATTGTTAAAAGGCTAAAGGACAAGTGTGAAGAACACATATCAGTTTTATTGATTTCTTTAACAACAAATGTAAAATATTTAATAAAATGGATGGAAAAAAAATAATATCGATGTGAAACCAAAACTGTATCTTGACCTGACAATCAATGAAACTAGGGCAAAAGTGATCAAAAGAAAAACGTACACGGAGACTTGAAAGAGTTTAAGGAGAATAATACTAGGTTTTAGGTAAGAGAATCGGGCTATATCGACGTCACCCTCCCGAAAAATCTATGCCATATTAAGAATTGTAGTCGTGAGAACGAAACCAAAAGGCACACTAATGGGAATAACCGAAATATTTAGAGCATTGCGTGTCGATAAGGTCAAGGACAACCGATCTCATCGTGAAACAGATACACTTACTATATATAAAGATATTAATAGCTGTAATGCATTCACATTACAAATACAATCAAAATACGTCTCACAAAAGCAAGAACTTGTTAAAAGATGTTTCTCTGTTAACCCCTCTTCCTGGTACAAGACATATTGAATGGCTGTTTAAGCCAGTCGTTATATTTTAGGACACTCGTGACACCTTTAATAAGCAACAAAGAGGGCAATATAAAAATATACATCTGAAAGTTTCCAATATTCATTTGGTATGAGTGGGGATATTGTTCTTCATTCCATTCGTTTAAAGTTAAAGCACCACATTCAAGTATTTATGTGAAAAAATGCGAAATTCCCCTCCCTCATATTCATGCAAAATAATCATCCATGATGGGCGTTTGGCAGACACTAATTCCCTTTCCAGAATTTGGATGAAATGAGTCTAATAAAATTGTTAAAAAAGTTAATACGACAAAATTTGAACAATAAGTCAATACAAAAAAAAAAAATAACCAGCAGCTTTGAAGAAATCAAAATAATGGAAGATATGACGATTCCCCATAAGCAAACCCGCAGTCAAACCAGATGGCCCGGAAATTAAAGCCGAAAACTACAGCGCTTCTTGTACGACGTGTGGTATCCGTCATAATAGCTACAAATTAATTTTCATATTGTTGAAGATCTGCAGAGAAAAAAATCCAAAATGGAAACAAATTCCAGTTTTGGTTACAATTTAGACTTTACACCTGTATACACAATATTTTCACTGGCTGCGTGACAAATATGCATTATTTTATGTAAATGTGTAATTAAAGAATTCTTGTTTGTTTCACTGCTTCAAATCGATACACGCATGGTGAAATGTTTTTTTTTTTTCTTTTTTTTTTCTGCACTTTGTGTGTGTGTGTGTATTTCCTAGATATAATCATTTTGTCAGAGCAAAATTAACTCACCAATCTGGCCGTTTCTAGTTCCTTAACGTGTTGCAGACTTTGTCTTTCTTCCTCTTCTAGTTTCTAATAAGAAAACGTATTGACAATTACAAGTCGTGGATTCTTGAATCTTCATAAATAAAAATATATATAATATACACAAAAGCTGACTTTATTACTGAATGTGCACTGCTACTGTTATGGTTATTATTGTTTGTGAGCGCTTGTACATTCCTGATACTATACATACGGGAATGATGAATTAGAAAGACAACAAAACACAATCCATTAAGCCTCACAAAACAGAGAGCCCATATTTACCGTATCGTTCTTTATAAACTACATCAACTAGAAAATAATTTGAAGGTGTTTATGCTATTTAAGACTATGCTGATAATTTTAGATTTTTTCATTTATTAAAAAGCAACACTTGTCAGTAAGAGCATTGAATTAATATAACAATTGCTATGACCTCGTTAGGATTTGCTCTGATGATATTGGCCTAATGCGACTCTGAAAGAAAAAGGAATGTATTTAAGCAAATCAAAAGCCAGGGTGCTTACATCTGACTAATAAGTGTTTCGAAAAACTATCAACACTTAGTAAAAGCAATAAGAGAATAATTTGTATTAAATTTTGTTGAGATGAAGTCAAATAATCAGTAAAAACAAGAACAATAGGAAATATTTATTTGACAATTGAGTATGTCGACATGGAAAGGAAATCTAAGGAAACCTAGTGTGGCCATTACTATATTAAGGACTTATCAGTGGTTATGAAGGCCAAAAGAATATCAAACCAATGTATAAAATGTACCGAACCATATTTAGAAATATGAAAAATAGAGAAAGATGCATAGAAAACCCTTTATAAATTTTGCAGCAATTAATTCTCTCCTATAAAATCAGTACCAGCATTATGTTATATCTGTACGGTTGGGTTATCTTGTTATGTGAGCGCAAATACTCACCAATCTGGACTTTTCTAGTTCCGCTAAGTGCAGCAATCTTTGTTGTTCTTCTTCTTCTTGTTTCTAAAATAATGTGATGTCAAACAGTTTGGTACATGTCTTTAATACTAGACACGGATATATTAAAAATAAAATTTATATTTATTTTACAACAATAACGAAACAATTTTAAAAAACACCACCTTCAATGTATTGCTCTCGTTAACCCAAATGCTAGCGCACAGGCGCCAAATAGGAAAGAACAAAACTGAGAACCATGGGAAAACCCACGGAGTTGGTCAGGTGACCATACACTTTTTCACTTCCGATTAGGGAATCGAGCCCCTGCCTATGAGTAGGCTATATTGCTTTTTACTAGACTCAACCTACTGTTTTGAGCAGGTCTTTCATTTTTTGAAGTGATTCTTCCTCTTCTCTCCTACGTCGCTCTTCTTCTTCCTTTTGTCGTCGTCCCTCCCGACGAACCTTTTGTCGTTCCTTTGCCTCTATTCTGTGGAAATGATAGTTCTCATTCGAACATTTGTCTATTGCTTTCTGGAGTGCTGTGACAATGAAAGATGTAGGCAAAGTAAAAGTAGGTAATGCAATGAAGATCGTTAGGCTAAATGGAAGTAATTTTCATCTTTGTACAACAAGATGAGGCACACTGAACAAAATTGTACAGACCAAGAAAATTTCCCATTGATTTCCACTATTGATAAGAATTGTGTAAGTCACTTTCAAAAATTCTATTCGATCATTTGAAAAAAACAACAATAATCGTAGTGATTTACAAATAAGCGCACCTGTCATCCAATCATTTCGTGTCTTGATGTCATGGGCGCTCATCTCGTACGGCTTGGCCGGGGTTTTCAGTACGAATCTGTTTTGTCGAGAACCAGATTTTACGCCTGCATCCGGTATTACCTTAGCAACGTAATCAACAATCTTACAATTATATTGCTGCAATGAAAAGCTGATAACATAATTTATCAATAGAGCACTATCTACGATACAATATAAACAAAGTACAACACGTTTTATGCAAGCAAGATCTAAACGGAACATGGATTCAAACAAATTTATTTTATATATTTATAAAAAATAAAAAAATAAAAACATAGAAACTGACACATGTTACAATCATAAATCACCTTTACGGTAACGTTGGAGGTCTAAGTAGTTGCAGATTATAGAGAGTGTATGAATAGGTTGGTAGTTTTCCTCATTCTTACACTTCTATGTCATCATTGAAGACTAAGTATGATATACATATACTGGTTTACTCGTGATATGGTTATGTGTGTATACACATCATTCCAGTGAGATTACACTATAAAACTACTATTGACTCAAAAGCGAGTTAAGAGTAGAAAGTGGGAGTTTGATTCTACGATATCTTCCTAGCTCACTGACCCTAGACACTCAATCACCCATCCCATTCCCTGAATTCCTTACCAACAGTTAACCTAAAAAGAACCAATAGGATTCGCTCTCAATTAGTATAGTCAGTGCTTAGATCGGGCATTACCTCCACTTTACAATCTTGGTCGAGTTGGACGTCACCTTTCCTCTCCCGCTCGTCTGAAGCAGTGTAGTAAGTAAGCTGTCTTGTGTTGAGAACCATCCAGCGGTCCTTCCAGTTCTTCACTTGATATCCTCGCTTACACAGCATGCCCTTAAAATCAAAAAGTCAAAAACAGTATAGTATTTAAACCTGGAGTTGATTACTCTTACCAATTATAATATATCTACCCACACTATGTATCACTGTCTCGTCGGAACTGCACATCAATGGCATGATAGCGCTGTGAATAGGCCAATAAAATATCTAGGTTCTGTAAAATATTCAGCAAATCGGTCTATGTCGATTAAAACACGAATAAAAGACACAATAAGAAGTGAGTATCTGTGTTATAACGATATTCCATAATTTGGATCGTGGCCGTTTTGATTCCTTTGGCCAATACTAGTGTGTGAACAATGATCGTCTTAGTGACAATCACTTGTCGTTACATCACTGAGTTGTTTACAATCCATTCACGTTTCCTTCCAATTAGAATCCTAATGTTGTCCTAGAAGGCCTGTTGAGTTTTCATATCGCTACATAATTTATTGTTATATTTTATATGATATATATCATTTGTATACGCCCGTCAAATTCGACGGAAGTATTATGGTATGGGGTTGTACGACCGTCCGTCCGTCCGTCCGTCCGGCGTAAACGTTTGTTTGTCCGGCAATCTCCTCCTACATTTTTCGACCGATTCCTTTGCCACTTGGTATACATTATAATCATGATATGAAGTTGTGTCTTCCTTAACAGAATTTTGATTCAACAATTTTTCCGAAAGTTATTGCCCTTTGTTTATTTCAGTATTTGATTTCTTTGTCCGGAGATCTCCTCCTACATGTTCTGACGGATTTCTTTGAAACTTAGTAGGCTAAATAATCATGAAATGTTGTTGTGTTTCCTTGAAAAGAATTTTGATTCACCAATTTTTGCAAAAGTTATTGCCCTTTGTTTATTTCAGTATTTGATTTTTGTCCGGCAATCTCCTCCTACATTTTTCAACGGATCTCTTTGAAATTGGTATACATTATAATCCTGATATGAAGTTGTGTCTTCCTTAAAAGAATTTTGATTCGACAATTTTTGCAAAAGTTCTTGCCCTTTGTTCATTTCAGTATTTGAATTTTATCCGGAGATTTTCTCCTTCATTTTTTATAGCATGTCAGCTAACCACTCTTAGAATGATGCAGATCTTGTTTCAATGAAAGAAAGTATATAACACTATATTGCATTCGACGGGCGTATATTGTTCCGCCCTGAGGTACTCATGTTAATATAATAGTTTTTCAATCGGAGATTATCTCAACAAGTATCGTGCATAAGATACAATAACTAAAATTAGGTAGTTAGATAAATCAACACAAAAATAAAGAATGACGTAAGAAATAGCAACAGGGATTCAAAAACGATACAAAAGTTAGGAATAAGAACTGAGGAGACACGACAACAAACGAAATAGATTAAAATAAGAACCCAACACATATTAGGGACCCGGTGTGGTGTTTGTAGATTACTTACATTGTACGATACAGTAGTACATCACTTACACTGTAAGATACAGTAGTACATCACTTACACTGTACGGTACAGTAGTACATCACTTACATTGTACGGTACAGTAGTACATCACTTACATTGTATGATACAGTAGTACATCACTTACATTGTACGATACAGTAGTACATCACTTACACTGTAAGATACAGTAGTACATCACTTACACTGTAAGATACAGTAGTACATCACTTACATTGTATGATACAGTAGTACATCACTTACATTGTACGATACAGTAGTACATCACTTACACTGTATGATACAGTAGTACATCACTTACACTGTAAGATACAGTAGTACATCACTTACATTGTATGATACAGTAGAACATCACTTACATTGTACGATACAGTAGTACATCACTTACACTGTATGATACAGTAGTACATCACTTACATTGTAAGATACAGTAGTACATCACTTACATTGTATGATACAGTAGTACATCACTTACATTGTATGATACAGTAGTACATCACTTACATTGTACGATACAGTAGTACATCACTTACATTGTACGATACAGTAGTACATCACTTACATTGTATGATACAGTAGTACATCACTTACATTGTATGATACAGTAGTACATCACTTACATTGTATGATACAGTAGTACATCACTTACATTGTACGATACAGTAGTACATCACTTACATTGTACGATACAGTAGTACATCACTTACATTGTATGATACAGTAGTACATCACTTACATTGTATGATACAGTAGTACATCACTTACATTGTACGATACAGTAGTACATCACGTACTGTGTACGATACAATATAAAGTGGTAACTGTGATGAGATCATTTATACTAACTCAATATGATGTTTGTACATCACTTACTGTGTACGATACAATATATAAAGTGGTAACTGTGATGAGATGATCTATACTAACTCAATATGTTTGTACATTACCAACTGTGTACGTTCCAGGAAAATGCGGTCACTGTGAGGAGATAACCACTACTAACACTTAGAATATACCAACCATGAACTAGGAAGTAAGCCGTTGATTGCTCAAGTGGATCATATCTACTGTTAGGCACATATTTACATAAATAAACAACATTATAAATATTATCGTGATAACGTTATCATACCACATAATCAGAGATATATTACGTGAACATTTTGCATACGTATTTAAAATGACGATGCAACAATCCTTAATAGTTATATTAATGTCTAATTTTTAATATACAGTTTTTTCCGAACAATAGGCCACACATACAACAAATTCTCATTCAATGAAAACAAATCCGATAGCCTTCACATTTAGCAATGTTTTACATTTTAAACGCACAGTGTTCACCGTATATTAGATCAAACATGTATAGTATGATCTAAGTGTGATTAACGTGGAAAATAGTTTCTGGTACATGTGTTAAGTACTAGAAATAAAATGAACATTATTTGAGGAAAAATATATATTTCACGTGTATAATGTGTAATTTAACACAAATTACATGTGTAATGAGATAAAATATAATTCACGTGTATAATGGGTAAACATCGAATGTAACTCGATTAAATGAAGAGAAGTATAGAATATAAATAAAACCACATGTTTAATAGAAAATTGTTGAATTAATAACACAAATTAAATGAATAATGTGAAATAAAGAATTCAACCCATCTCACAAATGTGTAATATGTGAAGTGTAATATTCCGTCTTAGCGTATTGCAGAGTTATCTGCTCTTGTGAGTAGGTATTGGTTGTTACGTCATTTGTTTGTGAGAGTAACGTCATCAATTTTTGAGAAAAACTGGAACGGGTATTTTCTAAACTGTAAATCAGTGGATATTGCTTGTGAACATTTTTAGAATTTGCTACGATGTGTATATCTACTAAGGAAGTTATAATCAGGCCAAACGACAAACCTTGGATGACTCCGGAATTAAGAAAAGATATAAAAAGAATCCGGATAGGTTACATACAATTGCTAGGAAATCAAACCGTCTTCATGACATTCAAAAGTTTAAAAGTCAGCGTAATAAGGTAAATGATATGAAAAAGTAGAGTCGGTTTAAATTTTTATGAAAATGTCCATGGCATCATTGATGATTATTTTTCTTCTGATCCTAAAGCGTATTGGAGATTAATTAAACGTTTGATAAAATCTAGTGGTACATCACAGACTATACCAACTCTAGTAGATCCAGTAACTGAGAATATAATTAGTAGTGATGAAGGTATATCCAACTTATTAAATGAATATTTCTGTAGTATATATCATAAAGAATTTTATGATAATAGTGCTATTGATGAACATTAATTTAACATTTCATCTCATTCATTATTTTGGATTTCCTCCTACAAACTTTCGCCATTTAAGTTCGTTCAGTAACAATTTCATACCTAAAAGCTATTTAATTACATTTGTACCATTTAAGAAAACCTCTTTGTGTAAATGTAGCTTCTTTGATTCATTGTCGTCAGATTAACTCATGTAATAGTGGTGTCCATCTTATACATTATACCTTAAAGTCAATTATGTTACGTAATGAGATTAACTGGTCTTACTTAAGTCTCGGACAAAGGACAGGGTAATTGCCTTACCTGTTCGGGTACTCACCAGTAAGAATAGAGAGATAAGTGACAGCTGTCAATCAAATTAACTTTATTGTGTTAATTGTCAATGTCACTGTTCTACATGTTTGGTAATCAGTTAGGACCTAGGCATCGGACTGTACGGGTGTGTTTTTGGATACTCCAGAAATCTTCCACCGACCTAGAGAAAGTTATTTTAATAAATCTATATTTGGACTACAATTCAACATCATGGAATTCTACTTTCGAACTACACATTACAACGAACAGAAATTTTCGTTGTGATAAATAACTCGTATTGACGAACGTAATTTTCGGGTTTCGGATATTGCGCCGAAAACCAATAAAACTTTTGATTCAATTAGATTAAATTACACTGAAATTATTGATGTCCTACAAATACTGAAACTCGGCAAAGCCTCGGGCCAGGATGAAATAAGCCATTACATGTTAAAGAATGTTTGACATACTATTTGTAAACCTCTTGAGTTACTATTTAATATTTCACTGTCTGCTGGTGTTTATCCTAAGTTGTGGAAACTTGCAAAAGTTATGCCGTTATTCAAAAAAGGTGATAGACATTCTCCCTTAAATTACCGACCAATTTCTCTCTTGTCTACTGTTGGTAAGGTATTTGAACGTGTTATTTTCAGACATATTTTTTTTTTTTTTATTCGTTGTTTTATAAAAATCAATCTGGTTTTCTGCCAGGACATTCAACGCTATACATATAATTGAAATGTATCATAACATATGTTTATCGTTTGAAGAAAAAAAACATACATGTATTGTCTTTTGTGATATTTCAAAAGCCTTTGATAGAGTTTGGCATAATGGTTTGTACATAAAGTTAAACTCCTATGGAATAGGCAGAGAGTTATTGGTCTGGTTAAAGGATTATTTACATCAAAGGCAGCAAAAAGTATGTGTTAATGAGTCTTTCTCGAAATTAGGTTCTATTGATGCAGGGGTTCCCCAAGGTTCTATATTAGGTCCTCTATTATTTTTGATTTATATCAACGATATAGCTGATATTGTTTTACTCAGCATCTCGTCTTTTCGCAGATGACACCTCTCTTCAATGCTCTTCCTCTTCCTGTCTTGAAATTCAAACTACCCTAAATAAAGACCTTGAATCTTTAAACTCGTGGGCTAAAACTTGGCTGGTAACGTTTAATCCGGACAAAAGTGACATACTTTTTAGAAGCAGTGTATTCTTCAGTTATGAAAAAAAAAAAGTCTTAAGAAAATTAAAATTTATATTAAAACGAGATGCCCTATTAAGAATTTACCGAACCTTTATTTTACCTATTTTAGAATATGCATGCGAATTGTGGGATGGATGCTCTAGTTTCGAATCAGAAAAGTTAGAAAAAGCCCAACGTGAAGCCGCTAGAATTTTAACAGGTCTCCCATCATATGCTAGTATATATTCTTTAAATTTTGAAACAGGTTTAGAAACATTGTCTGCTAGAAGAAAAAGAAGAAAGCTTCAACGTTTGTTTAAAATGCATGTTAATCAAACACCAGACTATTTTTCTTCCCTGCTTTCCTCCACTGTACAAGATCTAGTTCGCTAGCCTTTGCGAAACAGAAATGATTGTAGAATCCCGTATTTCAGATTATCAACAACAAACTCTTCTTTTTTACCGTCAACTGTTCGCTGTTGGAATAACCTCGATAACTCTATTAGGTCATCAGCTTCATTAAATATCTTTAAAAATTCCCCGAAACCCAACGATTAATTTATTCCTCCTTCGTCGTTCATCCTTTTCCAGCGAGTAAATGATTTGAGTTTAGAGGTAACATGTGATTTAGATTTGCTTTTATTTGGAAATGAAGACTTGTCGCTTGACACAAATTCGGAAGTTTTTTATACCTTCATAATTTCATTAAATCTAACAAAAGATTTTAAAGAAAAGTGCACAACGCTATTTATTTAATTGTTTTAATTTCATTATCCGATGTTACTGTAGTATCTAGCTAAGATAACATTGGTGGCCCAGCTGGTATTATTAAGATGAAAGACTACGGAAAAGAAGAGGATCTGCGTGGTTACGGAAGAGGAAAGATTTTCAGGATTGAGATGAACAATTTGTCGTGCGTAATGAATGTGTTTATAGTCCAACTGGGTCAACATAGTTATAAGCTTGATAAGTTTGTTATATAACATTGTTATAAGTTTGTTATCTTAATCTATAGTTTTAATCATGAAATAAGTGTCAGACTAAAGTCTGTAATTATATTGCAATAAAATATGTTTAAACTAATAACACAAGTTACATGTGCAATGGGTAGTATATGTTTATCACACAAAACGCATGAATAATATAGAATAAACTCGTTGCGCTCAATACGATTATTATGCTCCAGGCTTCGGTAATATTATCGGTAACTCTTACGAACAACTACTGTTACATAGCATTTTTGTTGGGAAGATAACACAAATCACAGTAGATAGATTGTGTACATGGTAATACAAGATAAGTGACTCATAGCTTCCCTGTACTGTTGTTTACACTCTCTGTTTATATGATAGGCCCGTGTAATGATCCAGCAAGGTGTTTGTTGCACATTGGTTTCCCGTCCTATCTCTCGACATTTTATAGAATCGTGTTGGCGACAGGTCAGATTGTTTAGGCGTGCTTTTTGTCATAGTCATAAAACACACAATGCTCTGCAAGCATGTACTAACATTTCTTTTCAATAGTACTGGTGCACAATATAAAGCACAGTCATTGTCAATCAGAAATTGAAATAATCACGTGACACAATTTTAATGAGTCATTTATAAAATTTGGTCTTATCATTTATTTCTATGCAAAAAGACACTTTATAATCAATCAATCAAATGGAAACCTTTACTTTAGAAATGAACCTGTTAGCAGTGGAGGTCCATTCAGACTTACCTTTATGATGGTGTCACTGATATACTGTTGGAAAAGCTCTTTGGTTGCTTGTTTGATGGCAAGATCTGTCAGATCAGAAGTGAAACGATTTACAATCATAGTCTCAAATGTCTGGAACGACATTCCGTCTTGCAATGAATATGAATGGATCGCGTCGTCAATTTTTGCTAATAACGTCACTTGACCTGTACTTCCTACGAAAGTTTCTATTACGTGTTTTGCCTCATCGACGTGAATCTTCACAGGAAGAAGAGGCATTCCGCTCTCGTCCTCCTCCGAGAGGAAGTTGTACACCCTCCACAATTTATAGCAGGCTTCCTCAGGGAGAGCCTTAAGATTCTCCATAGAACCTTTGGGTTCTTTTTTAACTTTGAAGTATAAGACCCAGCAGTTCCTGTGTACTTCCTCAAGGTCATTGTCTGTCAAATTCAGTTTCTCTAATGTGGCATTGTCAACCTTGCTGAATAATTCCTCCTCCAGAATTTTAATGAATTCTAGGTAAGACAAGTCATTCGTGCTGTTCTCCTTACTGAGGATCTCCTCCGCTTTGTCCATAGACAGTACCAGGCCAATTGTCGACGTCAACACCTGCAATCGGGATTACAAAAAGTAATTACACCAACTTATCGATGCCGAGTACCATACGCTATGTAAAGAAGGTAGAATTTTACAATCAACAGTTAGGAAACTAAAAAAACATTTGAGTAAAACCATCGCAATATCACTTTACTAATAATCTAATTTGTTACATAAAGAGAACACGTGACGTGACAGACAAACCGATACAGCGCTGCGCCATAGATCACGACTAGTGTTTATTTGACAAAGATGTCTGTTACGTTGAAGCCTGTCTACTTTCAATTTGCGTATCAATGAATGTTTGATTGAATTGTCCAACTATACATGACAACACTAATATGTATATGTATATATGATAACATGAACTACACCACAACATCATCGTGAGTAGGTAATTCCTGTAATGTGTTGTATTATATGTTATCAAACCAAACACACCACTACTAGGACTCTTAAACGGCGGGTGTAAGACTTTCTACAGAACATGCGCTGTATACAAACCGGAACCGGAATTACGCGGTACAGAGTGACTACATACAGGATAATACACCGGATAGAGTGTATACATTTTGACAACGACAATATAGCGATGATATAAAACCGCATACAAACCATATATCACGAACAGAGCAATAACAATACTATAACGACCATATATATTTGTGTAACTGCGACAATATAGTATTGATAAAAAAACAATATAAATGATACAACAAATATGTTCATGATCCAGCAACAGTATACATGTATTAATGACAAAATAACAATGTAAAATTAAAATATTGATAATTTAAAATTGACATTATATCAATGGCATGTCAATGTACTAATGCATACAGACATAATAATATGCATTAGTGATACAACAGCAATGGGTCAATACATGTTAATCATAATGTGGCAAAAATAACGAGAAAGCGACAATAAAAACTATTACCGACTACAGTTAATCGTGACTGACCTTGAGTTGGGACTTCATGACCTTGCCAGTGGAGATATTGGAGAGCGTATCAAAGACATACCACACGCTTTTACGTGTATCCTCCCTTAGTCGTTCCATCGTCTGCCGCGGGTGTTTCCCGCCACTGGACCGCTTGGACGGCCGGCCTAGCACGGGCATGATTTGCTGTGGACAAAAAGACAAATTTATTGAAATACTGCATATATCCTACAGCTCTCAGTATATGACTAATGTCAGTTCACGTCCACCTAAAGGCGGTAGAGGCGGTAACTTGTGACGTTATGGTACGGTGTTCTTTCAGAAACGCCTTTGTTTACAAACCTGTGCTCAGTTTGCACATGTTATTGATGTCCCAGTGATATTTTTGTGGTCGTGTTTGGTGAATGTTGCTTCAAAACTGTATTTATATACAGAACATAGTGTTTCGATATCTGTCAATATTTACTAGAATTACAATAATGCCATTTTACAACTTTTACATAATGAAACTGTAACTAGTCCAGTGCCATTGCCTATCTATCGATAAAACGATCCGCAATGCTAGAACGGAATCGATTCTGAAGGTACCCTAGCACAGGTTTGTTTGGCAATGGTCTCGGTGTCTGACATTCTGCTACCACTAACCCTCCATACCATCGCGGGTTAGATCTACGTGGAGCAGTGCCAGGTACTGGCCGTAGGTCGGTGGTTTCTCTCCGGGAACTCCACGTTCCCTCCACCACCAAAACCTGGCACGTCCTGAAATGACCATAGCTGTCAATGGGACGTAAAAAACACAAAACAGACCAAACAATTTTGAGAACATCAGGAAGTAACCTTCTAAGTAGAATAACACAAGAAGTTAAATGCAGCCAAAATCAATGTGAACGTTCCATTGATTTAAAATACAAAATTGTATAAGTGTGTACGATGTTATCTAATGTCATGTTTATTTTGGCCGCAGGTAAGAACTTTTTATGCAACATGAGCTTCCGATAACAGCGCGCACACACTATATACATATAATCTAATTTTGCGTTTTAAATCAACAAATGAAGAATTCAAGTTACTACTACACAATACAGATGAAGGTTAACGATACTTTGTTATGTTCATGAACGGTAAATATTTTGTCCCTATTAACTATACAGAGTCACGCCTGAGAATCATCCCAACTAATCCACATTGTCTATATATCAATGACATCCATATCACGCTATCTGACCAAATGCACATCCCGGTGGGAACATAAAATAAATGATATGCAGATGATTGAGTTCCTACTTAAATGTGTGTCCACAAAGCAGATTATATCTAACATCAATATACTAATGACACGTTGTGTAAAATGGTCATACATTTCATAAATACATGACTATGAGAATGTCTCTGTATTATATCTGTCATTGAACATTTGTGAGTCTATAAGGACATTTTTATTTGTTTTTAACTTTAAAAAATATAACAATAATTTAATCTCAATTCAAGTGTTTACCTTTATCCAGGTATCCATCACCGATTATCTGTATCAATGTCTCACATTAATAACCCTGTGTCTAGACCTTCAGAAGAGGTAACAATGCACCTGTATCCAGATAGTCTGCAGCGATGGCCCCACATTAGTTCGTGGACTGAACTCTTCTGTGCAATCACTAGTATGCTATACTACCGGTATATAGGAGCACGTTATCGCCTGTTTGACAGGGTGCTATACTACCGGTATATCACTTAATGAACTACTGCATTCACTGATCACATAGTTGTCACTAGGCAATTAGTGACATCCTTCCTCCTTCGTTGTTCAACAACATGATTTGTTATCGTAATTCACTGTTATATATCATTTCCATTATCATGACGAGTAACAATACAGTTAATTGAGGCAATACATGAAGTCTGCACTAACCAAACAATAAATAGATACCTGCGTAAATACACGGAAGATTTTCAAAGGTTAAATGAATTGTTATCATAATCATTGTAATGACGAGGTTGTCCGTTGTACGTCATAGCTTACACTTGAAACGAACAGGAAGTGTTCGCTACAAACGTACGTGAATAACAAGTCTTATTTCCGAACAGGATACTATATACATTTACCTACATAAAGGCATATGATAGATTTTGATACACATGTATGTATACATGATAGTCCTTAATACACAGGTAAGTGTAGGATAGTTTTACTACACAGGTACAATCAAGCCCCTAGTATACAGGTAAGTATATGATGGTTATACCACACAGGTACGTACCTGATAGCCCCTAATATACAGGTAAGTGAAGGATGGTTTTACAACACAGGTACGTACATGATTGCCCTTGATATACAGGTAAGTATAGGATAGTTTTACTACACAGGTACGTACCTGATAGCCCCTAATATACAGGTAAGTATAGGATGGTTTTACAATACAGGAACGTACATGATAGTTCTTAATATACAGGTAAGTATATGATGGTTTTAACTACACAGGTACCTACAGGAAAGTCCTTATTATACAGTAAGTATATGATATTTTATACTCCACAGGTATGTATATGATAGTCTCTAATATACAGGTAGGAATAGGGTGCTTTTTACTACACAGGTACGTTCAGGTTAGTCCTTGATATACAGGTAAGTATAGGATAGTTTTACTTCAAAGGTACGTACATGATAGTCCTTAATATACAGGTAGGAATAGGGTGCTTTTTACTACACAGGTACCTACAGGAAAGTCCTTATTATACAGGTAAGTATATGATATTTTATACTACACAGGTATGTATATGATATTTTATACTACACAGGTATGTATATGATAGTCCCGAATATACAGGTAGGAATAGGGTGCTTTTTACTACACAGGTACGTACATGATAGCCCCTAATATACAGGTAAGTATATGATATTTTATACTACACAGGTATGTATATGATAGTCCCTAATATACAGGTAGGAATAGGGTGCTTTTTACTACACAGGTACGTACATGATAGCCCCTAATATACAGGTAAGTAAAGGATGGTTTTACTACACAGGTACGTACATGATAGTCCTTAATATACAGGTAAGTATATGATGGTTTTTACTACACAGGTATGTACATGCTAGTCCTTGATATACAGGAAAGTATTGGATGATTTTTACTACACAGGTACGTATCGGGTAGTATTTATTACACAAGGTTTTCATATAAAAACGCTTACTGAACTGGTACATTTAAGACAGTATTTACAAGACAAAAGCCAGTCACGTTGTTGTTTACCTTGGTAGTAAGTATATTTTACGACATGGTTCATTGCCTGGGTGTAAACCTGTTTCAGGCCTTACAGCACCATATAGTAGTTCCGGGGGTTGAACAAATAAATACATTACAAAAATAAAATTGGAATGTGTCATTATTGTCAAAATCCAGTGTGTCTTACACTCCAAATAAGGTATCAACACCACAAGGTGCCACAGGACGTGATTATACGGCGTGTACGGGAATTACAAGTAAGGAAACAGCATAATGAAAAGCTGATTAAAACTTAAGAGAAATCAACAATAAGTGTTGCTATACTGTCCAGTGCGTGTGAATGTGAGCCCCGTGTATGGTACATGAGTGAATGCTTTGGTGTACGTGCGGAGAGGGTTAGACTAGAACATGTGTGTTGATCGAGTTAAGAATTGTACGATGTCAGTGCAAGGTTTACGTACTTGAGATAAGCGTCTAATTCAATATTATATGTACCTCTTTGTAGCTACCATATAGATCTAGATAAACACCCTCGTTTCAATATTGTATTGTTACAAATAAGTCCTTCACTGCTGATTAAGTTTAATTATATGACAAAAAGCTTCCCCGTCATGAACAGCTAGTGATCCAAACACATTTGCCGATAACAATAAATTGTTCATATAAAATAAATTCAAACAAAAAGTGAAAGTAGAAACATGTCTGATATGAACTGATTAAAATCTAAGAACATTCAGAATATATAAATATAAGCTTAACTAATGAATATAAAGGAACAATAACAGTGTAAAATGTTTTGAAACTTTCCTTCTTCATCAGTGTGATAAAAATAAAAATGTTAATTATTTTAAGCATACATGCATGCCAAAGAGGACGACTTAAAATGTGTACTTACCACATTCTCTTAACCACCAAGGTAAGATAGACACGAGAGAAGAATTACCAGGCCAGTCTATCTAATGCAGAAACCTCATCATTTTACTTCATTCATGAAACAGTCGGTAGGACTGAGAATTGTAGGTTTGCTCGTTTCTTTTATAAATGGAGGATACCAGATTGTCTCGGAAATATTCATCTACATCTCATTGCTCATTTGACTTTTTCTTAGTATCTAACTTCAGACTACTTACATGTACGTAATTACGAAAGAAAAAAACGAAATTGAAATAATTGAATATTATCTTCATATGCGTAGAGACTCCGGTGACGCTTTATAATAGTAAGTCGCGTTCTGATATACACAATACAAAAGTAATGCCGGATAGATTAACGTGTAAGTGTGATGTCATTGTCCGATATACAAATATCACACAGCTGTTTACTCTACATCGTTTACACACACTGGCTTGAGATTAAGCCCCTATTGTCGAAAATCGTGGTTTATAACATTACCATAGGATCGTGATGAATGTATTTTTTACATATAAACTAAAAGGTACAAAGTTCGCTTGTCAGTGAGTGAGGCCATCACATCTGAATTTTAAACATTTTAACACCGAGTGAAGCCATCAGACGTCTGTAGCACAGGTTCTCGTGACAGACACAAGTCCACATACAGTAGTGTCACGTTTGAATAGTGATGTATTCCGTATCTTAATCATTTATACCATCTCACTGTAACCTATCTGATAAATCAGTTAAGAAATAGTTCAGAATTTTGTGTTCGTTAGATCCAATTGGAAACAAGTTCTCTATCATATAAAGCTGTATTGTGACGTTGTGCATAAGATAGACCGTCCACCATACCCTCATTAATGTCATGATAAATGTGCATGAGGTTATGTGATATCAATATGTTAACCTAACCTAACGTAGAGTAGCCCACAGGTCAAAGCGTAAAGTGTTAATTGTTCAATCCAAAATAAGAGATTTAGGTAACATAATATAGTGCACATGCAAATAGGTGGCTAAAGTAACTATCGGATCTGGGGTTGGGTGCTACAATCATTACGAACAATTTTCATTTTAACTCAATATATATACCTTCAATGCAATCTTAATAAGTTTATTTTGCAGATTTAACTTCAACATACGTTGTTTCTCGATCACTATATTGGGTTCAAAGTGAACACCGGAAACCCCAGGTCCCTCTTAACCCTGGTTTTGGCATTGATGAGGAAATCATTGTCACCAAACATGATTTACTTTAAGAAACAGAAAAACAACAACTGTTAAATCGTCTTCATAGGATATTTCCTGAGGGCGTGCCTTTGCTGGTATTCTGATATCACCAGAGCTGAACAAACTGGTCGAACTGAAAATCCAGACTATACCAGTGTTTAAATGATATACACCTGCCGTAGGCAATCGAAACTTACCTTGTTGACGTGCCCAGGTAAACCTTTTATAATCCAGTATGTTTTAAACTTCCTTGTGCTGGGTAAACATGTGAATTACAGTACGGTGTATTGACTGTACCGTTAAGGGTCGTTTAAAAGCATGCGGATACTACCGTGCGTCTTTTCATTTAGGGCTCATCCCATGCGTTTGTCATTTCCTACAGGCAACTGTCACCAGCCGTCACATACTTACAGTTCACCATCACACAAGTGTAAATAGTACACCTATACAGTGACACACACCTACCTTTGTAGTGAAAAATATCCCAGTGAAACTGATTACGTTGGATCAAACACACCTGTGTGAAAACACCTGTACGTTTCCTGACAATACAATCATGTAATAAAGCTTAAAGTCAATGTCAAAGTTCACATTGAAGTGGTGAAAACGTGTGCATAGACTGGCTGTCGCAGCGCACACTTGTTAAACACTTACAGTGCTCCATCCTCGGTATAACACAGACATGTTCCGCCTTGTGGTGTCATTTGTTAGATTGTTTTGGCTACTCTAGATTTGCTCTTATGTTTCAATGTATTGCTACATCCGGCTGAAATTCAAATCCAAAACTAATGTTGTCCTGTTATACACATTTTGATATAAAATAAATTTCAATGGAGAGTTATTGTCAGAGAGACCATGGTACCTACAGGTATTGTGTACAATAGTAACCGTCCTGTCTACACGCACACCTGTACCTGTACACATCAACAAACACGATAGTATAACACCTTACGACACACCTGTCCAACAATAATGGGTTACATCTACAAAGGTATTGAATGTGTAGCTATCGTACGTATATATACATATTTAAACGACCTAATTTAGTCTCGCTTACCTGTAAACGTGAGGTCTCACTAAATACTTCCTCTCATACATGTCTTTTAGAAATGCCCCTGTCGTATGCAGGCTATTCCCGAGACGGACATGATGACTGAATTATTTACCTATAAAACAGCTAAGAACCACGATTATGGTGGTGTAGACAAGTGATCAGGCAGCTATAAATAGAGGTTTACTTCCTGTCCATCTTAGTACCACGCATAGAACCCTGCTATCCACATACCTATTTATAATTACTAAACCTCAGAAGGGGCTAGCAGTCACTCATTCTACTCTGCAGAATGATATCATAGTACTTGACAAATACGAGGAAAATGTATACGTGACAAATAACCTCTCCTTGAGAACAGAACAACTTATTCCGAACAACGTGTATATATGTGTCTGGATTAAAAGAAAGGTAATTCACTAAGTACTTGACTTATGTGAAATCAACAGGTAGTGCATTATAAGCCCCAGTGCTTCTGAAAAAAGTATAAAAATGTTACTTAGAATTGTTTTGCTGTGTTGATATATTTAAAGGTCATACCACGAGTATTTCCCCACCGCGATCAGTTGAAAGGGTCACAACGCGAACATTTCCACACCGCGATCAGTTGAAAGGGTCATAACGCGACCATTTCCATACCGCGATCAGTAGAAAGGGTCATACCGCGAACATTTCCACACCGCGATCAGTTGAAAGGGTCATACCGCGAATATTCCCATACGGCGATCAGTTGAAAGGGTCATACCGCGAATATTCCCACACGGCGATCAGCTAAAAGGGTCATAACACGAACATTTCCATACCGCGATCAGTAGAAAGGGTCATACCGCGAACATTCCATACCGCGATCAGTTGAAAGGGTCATAACGCGACCATTTCCACACCGCGATCAGCTGAAAAGGTCATAACGCGAATATTCCCACACGGCGATCAGCTGAAAGGGTCACAACACGAACATTTCCATACCGCGATCAGTAGAAAGGGTCATACCGCGAACATTTCCACACCGCGATCAGTAGAAAGGGTCATAACGCAAATATTCCCACACGGCGTTCTGTTGAAATGGTCACAACACGAACATTTCCACACCGCGATTATTATTATAGTTCATTTTGATAGGATTTTATGAAATTAAACCACAACTTACACTTAACTAGCCTAAAATTATGTTGTGGAGGAAAAAACAGCTGAGCTCATTATCAAAACACAATTAGATTCGAACTTCATCCCCTTTTTTTTCTGCTTCAGGTAAGGAACGATTTATCTAATATAGTGCATATTGCAAATGGTTAGTACTAAGTGACAACATTGTGTACAAATTATAAGATGTTTATTCTTTAATCTTGATGGATCAGACTCATCTTTAAAACACTGGTATATGATGTTTATGAATTCAAGCAACTTTTATGACTACATTATTTCAGAAAACTAACGATGGGAAAAGATGCAACACAAGACTTATAAGAAGAATACAGTTATGATTTAAGCAGATGAATGAGAGTAAACAGTGTTCAGAAGTTAAAATTTCGACAGATAATATTTTACTCTTTATATATAAAAGATATTTAATCATAACTTAATTATAACATTCAAAAATCTCGGTAATGGAATTCACAATCAGTCATAGTAGAGCGATTGCTAGTAACTGTCTAGTACAATGCTTTGGAGACAACAATTTACCAAGGACAACTTGCAATAAATCCACGGGGATATACTTTACTGGAAATCTACAATCTAACACACGGATTACTAACTCATGCTTGAAAGGCAGGAACTTATTGAACTCGTTACTGAGTATCGGTTTACATCCAGACGGTCTCAGCCCGCTCACTAGTGTTGATTTCATCAAGCGGGTAATTATACCTAGTATAACACACGGTGTGAGTTATGGAACGACTACAGTCAGACATCCGCTGGCTTATCTGAACGAACTCAACGATATGCCTGTCGACGAGGTCTTGGTTTATCAAAGAGATCGCCAACAGCCGTTACAACTCAGTGTCTGAGAGTTGACGATATTTCAAGAGAAGTTGAAAGTAAGAAGTTGATGTTCTGGAATAAACTGTGTTATGGGGCCATGGCATTTAAGTGGCAGCTCCTGTTCATTGTAAGAATGAGCAGTTTTCTATATGGGTATCCATCAACAAACCAGCGAGGATTCTTCCCTGATTTAGGTACAATTATCATGAGGTTCAAGCTAGAAGGTCTTTTCCGGGATTTTATTATTAGTCCAGTGCAAATACCGAAGCATGCACGGAAAAGATTTATTGAACAATTCATGTCCCACTGGTACTTGTACAAATGGAGAGAGAAACTAAAAACGAAAAATACCCTTCAGATATACTCTCGTATTCATACAACAAAGGGTCCTAAACCATGGCTGCTTTTGCGTTTAAAATTAGGACAATTCACACGGGACCTTGTTTATCTACGGAAGCTATCAATTACTTGGGGGAATAATGAAGTTGTCTGTAAACTGTGAGCAAAGAAAAGTAATGATGTTGTAACTTATTTTTATTATTGAATGTCCAGCACTATATGAAAGTAGAGATGTCTTTTTAGAGAAAAATTGTCGACTGCATCAATGTGCGCTACTATGTTGCCTTTTCGCTCTCGGAATAGACTGATCGGGCCAATTTTCTTCTTGCAGATCGAACTAAAGTGACTTTACAGGATGACGATTGGGAAGAACTAATGATAACAGTTGCCAAAAACATCAAGCTGCTTTTGAAAAATATGAACTCTGCTCTATAAATTTTCTCATAATTTTCTCTAAATGTTGTAAATGTTGAAATTTGTTTGAAGGTTTATAATCTCTTATGAAAGAGGAAATCAAAAATGTCTGTCTGTCTGTCTGTCTGTCTGTGCCAACAGATGCATTACCAGAAATTATAATATTTGTTTTCAAACACGTCATTTGGTATGGTGGATAAGGAAACTATGTATTTATATCACATTAACATAGACCTGGCGATACCCCATGCATCCCCATCTATCTCAGTATCATAGTTCAAATTAATCGATCACCTTAACATAGCCCTGGAGATCCCCCATGTTTCCCCATCTATCTCAGTATCATAGTTCTAATTAATCGATCACCTTAACATAGAACTGGAGATACCCCATGTATCCCCATCTATCTCAGTATCATAGTTTAA